AAAGAACCACACACAAATATGGAGACCGCATTATCTGCGGTGATGATGGCTCCATCATAGCTCACCACACTCTGCCGCTCCACTGCATCGAAGCCAAGGTCCCCAGGACCGATGTCACAATCAACTGCATACTAGATTCCAGTTCGGAAATTGTCGCCATGCCCAGGTGTGTTTGGGAAAAGATTGGGCTTCCATTGTGCTGCAATCATCTCATGACTATGACATCTGCTAACATGTCTAAAGACACTACTGTAGGCATACTAGAGAACCTGAAACTCGACTTCGGCACTGGGCCAGTCATGCTACAGGTTCAAGTAATTGAACATGCCAACTTCAACATGCTCCTCAGACATCTGTTCATTTGCCTTATGAGTGTAGTAACAAATGATTATCCTGACAGTGGACAGCAGATCACTCTCTGAGACCCAAACGATGGCCATGAGTACACTGTGCCCACATGCCTGTGGCATGAGGACTGTCTGCACTGCAAATGCGGCAAGCACTGCCATAGTCACCAGAGTATAGTTGAATGGGGTTTTTGAATATCGATGATCCACCAAGCGGTCAGGGAGAGCCTACTAAAACATCCTGTTTCCTATTTAGCCACTGTTATCTGTTCCTCAGTCCTACAGTATTGTCACTAGCCTTCACTTCTACGAACTTCCCTTTGCCCATGGCAATCATACCATGGAACATACCCACTGGAATACCCTCACCTGCTTTCGCTTTCCTCTCTTCCACTCAGACAATACTAAACCCCTCTGCTATAGCTGCATTTTGCAGCATTTATCAACTAGACCCTGCGGTTCGCACTCTCGTTTACAGGCCAGTTGCCAAGAAGGTTCGGACGGTACCTGCCCCAATGGCAGAAGAATACCACATCATGTGCAGCCTGCCTGACAATCCGCTCGCTGGTCTCCAACCACTTCCAACCCATCTACCAGACTTCGCTCCAGGCATCCACTTCACTGCCTGAATGGGCCTGTGGAACTTGACCTTGATCCTGCAGATTGGCTTTGGCCAGAAGAACTTAAACTCGTAACTTGGCTCATTTCGGTCCATGAGCTCACATTCACTTGGGACATTACAGAGTGCAGACACCTAGACTGAATGCTATTTTCTGCCAGTAAAGATTCCTACGATTCCACACACTGCCTTGGGTCCAACGCAATATCCCTATCCCAAACATGATACATGCCCAAGTCATAGACATGATTAAAGATCGCATCAAGTCCAGCATGTATGAACCTTCTACAGTGGCTTACCGCTCCTGCTGGTTCTGCATAGTAAAGAAAGATGGAAAGTCTCTTGACCTTGTGCATGACTTACAGCCCCTGAATGCAGTGACTATCCGCGATGCATCCGTTCTGCCCTTCGTAGAACATCTCGCAGAATCCTTTGCCAGGTACGTGGTATATGCAATGATGGACCTCTACTCTGGGTATGACCAGCATGCACTTCACGTGGATTCCTGTGACCTCACCACTTTCGGTACCCCACTCGGGCCACACCAGCTTACTACCCTGCCACAAGGTCATGTGAACGCAGTCCAGGTATACCAGGGAGATACTGCATTTGTTCTCCAGGATGAGATCCTGCATCATACCTTGCCCTTCATAGATGACGTCCCTGTAAAATCTGAGACCACCCACTATCAGCGCGCAGATGGGTCCTATGAGACTATCCCAGAGAATCCTGGGATTTGGAAATTTATCTGGAACCACTGTATAGTTGTTAACTGTATCCTTCAGCGTTTGCAGAATGTCAGAGCCACCATCTCAGCAAAAACGTTTGTACTAGCCACTCTGTCCATGGTGATTGTTGGCCACAAGTGCACCTTTGAAGGTCGCATTCCTGAAGAAAGCAAAGTGCAGAAGATCTGCGACTGGCCCAAGTGCCGCAACCTGACTCAGGTTTGCAGTTTCCTCGGTGTCTGCGGTGTGCTACGCATCTTCATCAAAGACTTTTCCAAGATCGCATGGCTGCTAGTTGCACTCATGTGGAAAGATGTACCATTCACATGGGACGAGCCGCAACACACTGCCATGCAACGACTCAAGGACGAAATTGTAAAGTCCCCTGCACTCCGAAGAATCAACTACGAGTGCGGTTGTGAAGTAATTCTAGCAGTAGACACATTGGTCATCGCAGTTGGCTACATCCTCTACCAGCTCGGCGAAGATGGCAGATGGTACCCAAGTCGCTTCAGATCCATCACCCTCAACAAAGTGGAAAGCCATTACTCCCAGGCCAAGCTTGAGTTGTATGGTCTCTTCTGCATGTTGCACATGGTACGCATATACATCTTCGGTCTCACTAACTTCACTGTGGAGGTAGATGCGAAGTATATTAAGGGCATGATAAATAACCCAGATCTGCAGCCTAACGTGATGATCAATCACTGGATCGCTGGTGTCCTCCTTTTCTTGTTCAAACTCGTCCATGTTCCTGCAGACAGGCATGCCAGCCCTGATGGCTTATCCCACTGTCCACGGTTGGAGCTTGACCCACCTGAGGACAACGACCATGAGGATTGGCTAGACCATTTTTACTCTTTCTCTACACAGGTTGTCAACGACCGCCCACCTCCTATGTCACTTTCCAATGAAGATCACCATTCCCTACCACCACCCACTTACCATCAGGCGAGCCTCCTGCTGCCTGCATCCTTCTATTTCGCATTCTCTACAACTGCTGATGCTAATAACCCTTCTGATACCCCTGATGACCCTGCCATTCCGCAATCCGCAAAGGCTCAGGCATGCAAAGCAAAGATAGAAATGATCCACGCATTCCTTGCGACCTGTGAGTGACCACCTGACCTTACTGATGCGCAGTACTCATCCTTTCTTCAACTCGGCTAGCCAGCTTCTTCCTCCTAGATGGAAATCTATGGCATAGAGAACTGCACAGATGGCACCAGCTAGTCATCGACAAATCCAAGCAGGTATTGTCTCATCAAAGAAGTGCATGATGACCTCGGACACAAGGGTGTCTTCATGGTCCACACATGCCTTCTCCTTCGCTTCTGGTGGCCTCTTCTTGTCAAGGATGTGAAGTGGTATGTCCGCACTTGTCATGAATGCCAGATCCACCAGACTGCAGAAGCTTCATATCCCCCCCACTGTACCCATGATAGGGGGCCTGTTTCATAAAGCTCACATTGACATGATGCTGATGCCCAAAGCCAGCAGCTACTGCTACATAGTACAGGCTCGTTGTGCGCTCACCTCTTATCCTGAATGGCATATGTTGCGTGCAGAAAATAGTACCATGCTCGTGTCCTTCATCTTCGAGGACGTCCTATGCCACTGGGGTCCACTCACTGAGATTGTCACTGACAATGGTCCTGTGTTCATCCAAGCCTTAGATGCCCTAGCCACGCAATATCATATCTGCCACATCCGTATCTCTCCTTACAACTCTCAGGCTAACAGCATTGTAGAGCATCGCCACTATGATGTTTGCAAGGCTATCATGAAGAGCTGCAAGAACGATGATTGCTGCTGGCACACCGTTGCACATTCTGTCTTCTGGGCCGAGTGGGTCACCATTTTGAAATCCATGGGTCTATCCCCTTATTTCATGGTACATGGTGTTGAACCACTGTTCCCATTCAACCTTGCCAAGGCTACTTTCCTTTTACCCCTGTCCCACGATGATGTGACACCACTGACTACCACAGAACTGATAGCTTGGCGAGCGCGCCAGTTACAGAAGCATCAGGATGACTTAGACCAGGTCCATGGCAATGTCCTCTGTGCACACTTCCAGTCTATCCAGCAGTTTGAAACTGCCTTTCAGCATTGCATTAAAGACCATAACTTCACTCCTGGTGCCCTTGTGCTTGTTCGCAACTCCCGTGTAGAGAAAGAGCTGAACTGGAAGACAAAGCTGCAGTACACTGGTCCCATGGTCGTCCTTCATCGGACCACTGGGGGTTCGTACCTGCTGGCTGAGCTGGATGGCTCCATCTCCAAACTCCGCTTTGCTGCATTCTGCTTACTTCCCTACCACCCGCGCAACCATGACTCATATTACTGGGTTGGATGATGAGGAGCTAGACCACCTGCTTGAGGAAGCTGAGGATGACCCCACTGATGATGATGTGGAGGCTTTTTTCTGCAAACAGCTGACTATCTGTCTCTTCCAGTATCCACAGTTTGTCCATCATGCTATTCCCCTGTACCCTCTTCTTCCACGATACCCATACCTCTTTCTGCAGCCTTGCCCACCTCCCCGTGGCTTCTTCTACTACACTTGTTCCTTCTCCCATGCTGACTGGGGACAGTCAGCATTCAAAGTCCCCTGCAGGGGTGACCAGCATACCACTTGATCCACCCAATATCAGACATAGTTTGTTTCCTTTTATCTGTTTTACCCTGGGTTTTGTCCAGAGACCTCTATTCCACCCCAGGTTTCGTCTGGTGATTCTACTGATAGCTAGTCCCTGCTCAAAAAACATAAAAACCGCTTACAAAAAGTCCAAAACTGTCCAGAAAAATAACAAAACACCAAATAAGTATATAGCCAAAACAACGTCTCTCCTATCTCTCTTACTAGTCTCGCTGATACCGTCTTCGGCCACTCTATACTGTGTATACTTGCAACCACCCCACACATTTCCTCTTCGATCGCGCAGTCAGCATGCGCCCCTTGATTTATTTTTCTTTCAATTCTCCTTCTGTCTCCTTACAATTGATACACAAAGACCGTCCCAGCTACCCAATAAACAGTCCCTTCGCTTCCTCTTCAAGAATCCATCACATCCTACCATCAAGATTGTTTCATGAGGACATACCGCTGAGAGAAGTCGAAAGTTGCATGAAGAAGACAAGTTGGGCGGTACCCTGCACACCATATCTCACTGTGGCTCATCTTCAAGCATGTCCAGTCATTCGCAACTTCACACAGAAGCAAGCAAAGCGGTATATTTAGCAAAGTATGTGCTGACATGTGGATGGGACAGTACAATACATCTGAACTAACTATAAACATTCTTATTCCACCCAAATCTTCTCCAGAGCTTTGGCGAGTTGATCGATGCGCACCTGCAGGTGAAGGTATGCAGCCTGCAACTCCATGGCCTCAGCACGAAGCAGCCTCAGCGACTGTGACAGGTTGGCCACAACCTTGGCATTGAGCTGGCTATGCACTGGTGCTTTCCCCTTCGCACACATGTGGCTTTCGACCACCTCAGCTTCGTCATCATCGTCATCGTCATCTACGACTCTCTTGGATGAGCTTGCCTTTGCAGTCTTCGAGGCCTGCACTGCTAGCCATTAACTTCACACCTCCTGAGGTGGGGTTGTTACTTACTGACCGATGTGCCTGCCTGTGCCTTCTTTCCCACAGCCTTCATCAACTTCTCGCACCCCTGCTTTATTCACACACAGCCATCGCACGTCCACCCAACGGGTCCGATGCAGGCTGTCTTCTTCACCATGCACTGCATGCATGGGACCTTGTGGAGGATTGAGCTGGGAGGAACAACAATCTTGGGCTCATCCTCGTCTTTGCTCTCTGCAATGGTCTGCTGCAATCACTTTGGACTCCAGTGTCAATCGTTACCACAACCTTCCATCTGTGCACTTACCTTCCACACCAGATGGGACACCACCTCTACATGCGACATCTTCTCTGTCACCACAGGCACTGCAACGCTTGCATGTGGCCCTCTGGTCTCCTGTGCATTCTCATCCCCCATCTGGACGTCCTGCTCGACCCTTGCATGCACTTCGGCCTCCTCCGCCATCCACCGCTCATAGATGTTGTCCGCTTCAGCCAGTATAGGCACTTCTGCTGCATCCACCCTTACTGTGACGCCAAGCTCCTTCCTGCGCTCAACCAACAGCATAAGCATAGCCTAGAAATGAATGCGATCAGCCTCTGTGCTACTGTACTGCTGATGCACATTCATCTCACCATCTTCTCCTCCCAGCATCGCAGCCACATTGTCTTCTCCTCTTGCATTCCTTCATGATCCTTGGGGAAACACCTTGCTTCAGCCACGAGGATAGCCGATGCGGCTGCGATTTGCTGTTGCAGGTTGGCCTTCTCTGCTTCGACCGGGTCAGGGGTGGCTGTACATATGAGTTGGGAGAGACGAGGGGCATGGTTAGCTGACATGGTTAGAGCAATGGGGGGATTGATGATAAAGGGGGAAAGAATCAAATCAATGCGAAGGTTTGAGCCCCGCACTAACAATTATATACTTAGCAGCCATGAGGCGCTTATGTCATCGGTCCGGATGCCTATATGCAGCATTCAATGGTGTTCTTGCATCCCTCGGCTCTATGCTTCCTTCGCTTCTATGCAGAACTCGCCAGTGTTCTCGAACCCTCGGTACCACACTGTTGCCATCACCATGCGGCAAGCTATTTATGTCCTCCATGCCACGTGGCTGACCGGGGACAGTCAGCATCTAAGTCCCCTGCAGGTGTGAGGAATCCACATTCCCTGGATGCATAAGCCCCTATCATTAACCGTTCTGTGACTCCTGTTATGTCCGCTCCCCTCTCGCATTCACCATTGTTCATGCGCTACCTTCCCACACCCTCACTCCCTCTCGTGCGATGCTATACCCATGGCTGCTGTGCTCCAGTTGTTGTTTTTCCTCAGACTCTTTCTCTTATCACGGTCTCTATTCCTTTAGTGCTTGTAGTATACCCTCGGCCTCTGTTTTGGCCTGTCTTCTGTGTACGTGCTGTCGCACAGCTTTCCCTTACTGTACCCTGTCTTACTTAGGTTCTGGGTTTGTCTGGACTATAAAGCCCTGTACTTAGGTACAGAATGATACCTTTTGGCACTTGGAAGGTCACCACAAGTTTCCTTTACACTTTGTCTATACTGCACATCTCACATTCCACTGCACATGAACTATGTATACTGCTCGCACTGCTCGCATCACCAGTACTATTCTGCAGACCACACCGCACATGTCATGAACCACTACCACTACAAAGCACCAGGTCTCACCTTCTAGTCTCGACAGTCCAGAATCCCTTGGGATGAGCAATTTGTTCCCTTCATTTTTTTATTGTTGTTATCTAAGCCATCTAGCTCGTATTATACAGCTACTTGGACTTTTCCTACAGCACGGTCTACGATGTCAACACTGCCCAGAGGGTCCCTGGGACCTCTGTGGTGGTCACTGTGACCAGGCAGCCCCCTTGCACTCGCTGCATAGTGAGTCTGACAGCGGGTCAGTGCGAGCCAGGGCAAGGTAAGACCAGGGCCTGTGTGCCCTGCCACAACAAGAAAACCTGCAGCTGGACATGGGAAGAGGTGGCGGTGGGACCTTCGCAGAAGAGGGCAGGGACAGGGAGCTCCCGAGGGGAGAAGAAGAAGAAGCCATGAGGGAAGGGAAAGGAGAAAGTGACAGAGATGGAGGAAGTGGATGACGAGTGGGAGATAGGCAGAGAAGACGAGCCAGCAACCCCCCTCGAGGGTCCCTCAGGGGTGGGGGTACACATGCGGTGGGCAGAATGGGAGAGGGAGTGGCAGCTGCAGGCCGAAGTGCATGAGACCACTGCGCTGGCCTCTGAGAGGATGGCAGAGGCAGTGGAGCGGATGGCAGAGGCTGCAGAGCAGACCACTGATGAGTGGGCACTGTACTGCACCTGGGCAGAGTGGGCAGAGATGAGGAGGAGGGAGGATGTGCAAGAGGCCAGGATGGCCAAGTTCAAGCGCAGAGGTGGAGGGTGGAAGAGGCCTCAGTTGGAGGTGGAGGAGGACAAGAATGAGGAAGCGGATGAAGGTGCAGAGGGGGATAACGAGGAAGAGGAAGAAGTCAGAGGAGAGAAGGAAGGCAGAGAAGAACAGGAGGGTGGCGGAGGACAAGCAATGGAAGAGTAGAGTAGTTTTCTTTTCTTTTTTCTTTAGTTTGTATATTTTGTATTACTACGAGATAGACTTGTGATTTTGTTTGTGACTCTGAGAAGTGAAACGGATAAGCAGAGAAAGTTCTAAAGTACTTAAGGTAGTTCGGTAAGAGGCAGAGTTGGCCTGCGGAGGAAGTTTATGTAGGCAGAGTATTATGGTGGAGGTTGGTATGGGCCAGGTTTGTGTGGATAGCATTCATGGAAAGCAGATACTATGTCAGAAGCATGATCTAGCTCGGTTGCAAGCAACCAAGAGGTTTCTTCGTCAGTGTTCTCGTAACCAGCCCAGCGGACTAGATACAAGAGTTGACAGTGGTGGCGACAGCGGTCCACCTTAGAGTCGAGTATCTCTGATACTTTGTACTCAAGGTCACCATCAACATCCACTGGTGGAGGCGGAGGTTGTTGCCAGTTTGGGAAAGGGTTAGCCGCTGCAGCTTCCAGTTGTGAGACATGGAAGACCGGATGTACTGAGTGCATAGAGTCAGGGAGCTTAAGGGTGACAGAATGCATACCTGGCCTGGCCAGGATGGTGAATGGACCTAAGTACTTTTTGGAGAGTTTTTCCGAAGGACGAGTGGAGCAGAAGTACCTGGCTTTGATGTAGGCCTGTTCTCCAACCTTGAACTCAGGTGGAGGTATGCATTTAGCATCTGCTGGACCCTGGTAGCACTGTTGAGCGGTGGACATTTCAGAGTGGAGGAAGTCATGAAGGGCAGAGAGCTCGACAACATAGTCGTGAGCCCTCGGAGAGGTGAAGTCTTGGTCAGGGACCACAGACAAGTTTGGATGGTATCCCTTGTTAGCGAAGAAGGGAGAAACTCCAGTAGTTGCACTTGGTGCATTGTTGAAAGCGAACTCCACTAGAGGTAAGAGCTCAGCCCAGTTGTCTTGTTGGTAGTTACAGTAGACACAAAGGTACTGTTCAAGAGTCTGGTTCATTCGCTTGGTCTGGCCATCGCCTTCTGGGTGGTAACCCGAAGTGAAGTGAAGGCGCATATCAAGGGCTTTTCCTAGAGAGCAGAAGAAGTGTGAGACAAACTCAGGACTTCTGTCGGAGGTGACATTAGCTGGCACTCCGTGCTTGGAGAAAACATGGGTTAGGAAGAGCTTAGCGAGTTCAGCGGAGGTGATGGAATTGTGGGTGGGATGAACACTGCTTGCTTTGTGAGGTGGTCCACTACCATGAGTATGGTGGAGTAGCCATCGGAGTTGGGGAGGTGTTTGATGAAGTCCATGGAGATGGAGTTCCAAGGTCTCTCTGGGACAGGAAGTTGCTTCAGTAGACCATAAGGGTGGTGGCGTGGAGTTTTGCTGCGTCCACAGGCAGTGCAAGACCTGACATATTCTTTCATGTTGGAGTGGAGGTTAGGCCACATGTAGTCCCTGTGGACGAGTTCTAGGTTGTGGTTTTGCCCGAAATGGCCTGCTAGAGGATGATCATGCTTGAACCAAAGCACTTGAAGGCAGAGGTCATCAATGTCAGGGACAAAGATGCAACCGTCAAGGTGGAGTAGACCGTCGGAGTCCAGGGACAATTGAGGCTTAGTCAGAGTTGGAAGATTGCTGGCGGAGACAGGATTGGAGGGTAGGGCAGAGATGATGTCAGAGTGCAAGCACTCAACATCGAAGACCATGGCAGCACGGAGCACAGGTGCCATGAGGGTGGTGGTACGGAGGGACGATGCGAGTTGCTCCTGTGTAAACATAGGGTGGAGATTGTGAGGATTTACCTGCATGTAGTCCCTATCCCCCCCTTTTGGGTAGATGTCCCAATGTCACATAAGTGCATCAGGTTTGGCTCCTAAGCAGCCAGGTCAGAAGTGGATGGAAAGATTAAACTGTGAAAGGTACTCTGACCAGCGGGCCTGTCGACGAGTGAGGACCTTAGAGGTGGAAAAATACTCAAGGTTCTTGCAGTCTGTCACCACATCGACAGGTAAGGCAGAACCTTCTAGGTAATGCCACCAATGGCAGAAAGCCTCGAAGATAGCCAACAGCTCCTTGTTGTGGGTATCATAGTTGAGTTCTGGTGTGGTCATGGTGCGAGAGTAGAAAGCAACTGGGCAGAGTTCACTGTCAGAGCAAGTGATCGACAAAATGCCAACAATGGCATAGTTGGAGGTGTCAGTTTCAACTGTAAGTGGAGCATCAGGGACCCAATGAGTGAGAACAGGAGCAGAGCTGAAGGCATCCTTCAGGCAGAGGAAAGTGGAGCAGCACTCCTCAGAAAAGTTCCAAGGAGCACCCTTTCATGTGAGGCGAGTGAGCGGAACGACAATGTTGGAGTAGTTATTAATGAACTGTCTATAGAAATTTGCAAAACCAAGGAAAGACTGGATGTCTCGCACCTTCCGTGGCTCAGGCCAGTCATGGACTGCCTGAACCTTCTCAGCAGACATGGTGAGACTGGAGGGAGAAAGAACATAACCGAGGTACTTGACAGAGTCAGAGTGAAACTCACACTTCTCCGGCTTGGCATAAAGACCATGCTTTCGAAGGTGGCAGAGTACCTCTTTTACATGTTCACAGTGCGACTCCACGTCCTGTGAATAAATTAAGATGTCATCAAGGTATACCACAATGCAGACATTGAGCATGTCTGCAAAGATGCTATTGACAAACCGCTGGAAAGCCGCAGGCATGTTAGTCAGACCAAATGGCATTACCTGCCACTTGTAAGAACCATAACAAGTGCAGAAAGCTGTTTTCCATTCATCTCTGTCTGCTATGCAGACTAAATGATAAGCATGGTGGAGGTCGATCTTGGTATAGACTTTAGTGCAGCTTGGGGAGTCAAGTAGGTTGGAGATGAGCAGCAGCAGATAGCAGTCTTTTTTCGTGATTTTGTTGAGTCCTCGATAGTCTATGCAGAGGCAGAGTGAACCGTCCTTCTTCTTTATGAAGAGGACAGGGGCACCATGAGCAGAGGTGGACTGCTTGATGAAACCATAGCCAAGATGCTCATCAATGAAGGTGCAGAGAGCTTCAAGCTCTGGTGGAGAAAGAGAGTAAATCGTGCCAATGGGCAGAGAGGCTCCTTCCTCGAGGTCGATCTTGAGATCAAACGAGCAGTGTGGCAGAAGTTCTGTGGCCTTGTCTTTACTAAAGACATCAGCAAACTCGTGATACTCAGGAGGAACTGAGGAGAGGTCAGGAGGCAGAGATGAAGTGGAGGATGCACGAAGCTTCACATCATCAGTGGAAAACTGCAAGCAGAACTGTCGAGAGCCAGGGAGAGCACAGGCTCTAACATACACAGCAGCATTGATGAGTGAGACAAGCAGAGCAGAGCATGGTGAGTCAGTTGGAGGTGCAGTTGGAGCTGCAAATGGAGTGGAGGGTGTTGGATCTGGAGCAGAGGTCACAGCGGAAGATGACGAAGACGCCTGGGGTGTCAGCATTCTCTGTAACAATGGTTTGAATGATATACTGCCCAGTACCCAGTCAATCGACGGATTGAAGCGGGTGAGCCAGTTGTGTCCTAACACCAGCGAACATGAAGAATCCAATGGAGTAACATAAAATGAAATGGAATTGACATCACCAGAAGGAAAGCAGAGGGAAAGATCTACTTCTTGGGAAATGACAGCATTTGTACTACCATCAAACAAGCGGAGCGGAATTGGTGGAGAAATGGAGGAAACAGGAATGGCATATTTTTTGATTACAGATGGGTCTACGAAACAATGAGAGGAGCCAGAATCGATCAACACAGAAAAAGTATCAACAGAATAATCTGGAAGAGTTACAGTTGGAAGTAAAGAATTGGGACTAGAAAGAGTGGACACATTGAGTTGGATGTCTGGTTGCGCACAGTTGGGTTCAACGCTTCCTCCAGGCTGTGCGAGCTCCCTGGAGGAGTGGACTAATTTTTTGGCTCTGCCTGCTCTGCAGGTGGAGTAGGCGGAGTTCCAGCTGTAGCTGCACGGGCTTTGGCTGCACGAGAGGTGGACTTGGGACAGTCCTTAGCAGAGTGGCCAGCCTCACCACAGAAGAGGCAGAGGTTGTTTTTCATCCTGCACTGGCACTCAGCAGAGGCGAGTTTGCCATCTTTACCCAGAAGGTGGGCAATATTGGACTTGGGCAGATCTTTCTGTTTGCCCTTGCCCTTGGCATTGGACTTTTGAGTGGAGGTGGTAGACAACAATTTAGTTTTGTTGCCAGAGTTGGAGGACTGTGACTTGTCAGAGGTGGACTTGGTGGTATGTGAGATCTCCACTTTGCGCTCCCAGTAGCACACATTGATGGTCTGGGCGAGTTTGTGGAGTTGTGCGAGGGTAGAGGGTTTTCCGATGCGAGTGATCTCATCCTTGATGCAGTCTGGAAGTCCGCTATAGAAGCAGTGGCAGAGTGCACTGACACTGTAGTCCTTGACCTGTGAAGCCCAGCGATTGAACTCCACGACATATTTGGTAATTCAAGAACCGTCCTTCATGGTAAGGTTCTTGAGTTGTTGGATGGCATCTGCTATAGCATCGTGCGGACTGAAATTAGCTGTGAGCTCTTGTAAGAACTCATGGTAGTCATCCATCCAGAGCAGGTGGTCATAGTTGTCAGGATTTAGCAGGTCTGGCTCGAGCCAAGCCAGAGCCATACCCTTAAGGTAAGACTGAGCGAAGGTGACCTTGGCTCTGTCAGAGCGGAATGCATGGGGGCAGTCTTGGAAGTTCAACTCGCATTGTATGAGGAACTCGCAGAGTTTCTTAGGGTCAGAGCTGTTGAAAGTGTCAGGCTCGTGGACCTTGGTTTTTGGAGCAGAGTCCCCAGTGCATGAACTAGACTGCGCAAGTGCATGGACAGCTCTAGCAAGAGCTACAAGGGGGTCCTCTGGCAGCTCAGCTGGGTCTTCGGGGACATCCCCATCACTGCTGCCCCCACCATCAGGATCACCATCTGGATAATCAGGGTCGGGGTCGGGTCCATCATCTCGGTTATGAGGAGGCAGAGTATGGAAGGCTGATGGGTGGAGGTTGGAGTGACCAGCTTGTGAAGCGCTTTTGCCTTCAGCATGAGAGCAGCATCGAGCGGAGAAGGACTGGAATTGTTCAATGACAGAAGGGAGTTGACGCAGATTAGCTAGCACTACAGCAAGGTTCTCAGTGACCTCTCTTTGAGATTGAGCTCGAGTTCTCATAACGGTGTAAGTTTTTCGGAAGACAGAAAAGGAGATCGTACAAGTGTGAGTACGAATATACTGTCAAGTCCGGGCCTACTCTGACCAACTCCGACGCTAAACAAGGTCTAGAGGAGGGTTCAGAAGCAAGTCCGACACAGAAGAACAGAACTCCGACTAGTGGAGTGTTGGCAGGAACAAAGACCACTGAGACAAAGGCAGAGCAGAGTGAGGGCATCAGGTTCAGCTCGTGCGCTACCCCCTTGCATGATCTCAGCCCTCATATTTCAGAGGGAGAGTACAGATGGAGAGTCGGAGATAACTCCGACAGGCAGAAGACAGAATCAGAGGGAGTAGGAACTAAGTTGATATTTGTACTGAAGAACAGTGGAGTACAGTACATGCTTTTATACTGCTACAGAGGTACAGTAACCAGAATCGGAACTGACATATGGAGACTCATAAATTTTCAAGTAAAATTTCCTGGACGATGAATGAAGGGTAGACAGAGGACATATGAACCAGTAACACAGAACATCCAGAAAAGGAAATAGTCCAGGCGCTGGACCATGCAGTGAGTGCACTGCAGAGTACCTGACTGCGAAGGTAGTCACATGACCCCTCAGAGAATGGACCACTCAGTCCAGTAGGAGAGCAACATAAGTCCAACAACAGTCAGAGTGGAGATGGTTCGCAACCAACAGAAGTTGGGTGGAGTTGGTGCAGAGTGAGCAGATGACCAGCAGAAAAGGTTGTGGAGTGAGCAAAGACCTATGATGAACGCATGGTTATGACAGATGTCTCCTTCAAATTCTGCAACAAACACAGAGAGGCCATGGATTATCTTCACCAAGCTATTGTCTCATCCCCTGTGCTATGTATTATCGACTACAATTCCAACAGGAAGGTCATTCTAGCAGTCAACACTTCAAATATTGCTATAGGATACCTCCTCATGCAGGAGGGGGAAGATGAAAAACATTACCCTGCAAGGTTCAGCTCGATAACTCTCAATGACTGTGAACACCATTACAGCCAAGCTAAACTCAAGCTCTTTGGTCTTTTCCATGCTTTACATGATGTCAGACTTCACATTTTTGGTGTGCAGAATTTAGTTGTTGAGGTTGATGCATGATATATAAAGGAGATTAACAATCCCAACTTATAGCCCAACACAACCATCAACTGCTGGATTGCAGGAAATCTCCTATTTGACTTCGAGCTCCTACATGTTCCAGCTCAAAAGCATACAGCACCAGATGGTCTTTCAAGGAGACTGAAAGCAGAAGAAGATAAGGATGGGGGAAGAGGACTATGAAGATTGGATAGATGATCGTGGAGCTTTCACTGTCAAACTCTTGAATCATAGGGAGGCCTGTTTCAAGTCTCAGCCTTACCCTTGGGAAATTCTGAGTACCCTGTCAGACTCACCCACTGCCATACCACAGAGTCTAGGCCTCTTTTCCTCCAAAGGGTCCCTGTTGAATATCTAGAAGACAGAAATTCTGCAATCAGAGAAAGCAATCCAGAGGGAGGAGAGGTTGAAAGAGGTGAAGAATTTCTTGGAGACAAAGAAGATGCCAGAAGGATTGGAGGAGGGGAAATTGGAAAGCCTAGTGTGTCTTGCCACTCAGTATTTTGTTAAAGGAGGAGAGCTGTGGAGGAAAGAGCCTCAAGGACATCACCAACTAGTAGTCACCCCACACAAATGCCTTGGAATTCTTCATCAGGCTCATGATGAGCTAGGACACAAGGGTATCTTCATGACCTGCGTGTGATTGCTGACTCACTTTTGGTGGCCTATGCTAGAGCAGGACATCTGCTGGTATGTCAAGTCATGTCATCAATGCCAAATCTGTTGTTTGGATCACATACATATTCTGCTGGTCATTGCCATCCAGAGCCCCTATTCTACAAGGCATACATGGACACATTCTTAATGCTGAAGTTGAATGGATTTCATTACATCACTCAAGCTCATTGTTCACTCACCAGCTATCCAGAGTGGGCCATGCTTTGCACAGAAACTGGAAAGTCCATCAGAAAATTCATCTTCAAGAAGATCTTGTGTTTCTGGGGTGCAGTCATGGAAATTGTCACAGATAATGGTGGACCCTATGTCCTCACACTTGATTGGCTTTCCAAGACCTTCAGAATTGGCCACATATGAATCTCACCTTATAACTCACAAGCTAATGGAGTTGTTGAGTGTCAGCATTTTGATGTGAGGGAGGCATTGGTAAAGTGTTGTGGTGAGAAGCATCAAAGTGGTCAGAAGTGGCTCCTGTGGTGTTCTGGGCAGAGAGGGTTACAATTCATGAGGCAACTTGGTTTTCTCCATTCTATATGGCTCACAGCATCAAACCTAGACTCTCCTTTGACATTGCTGAGGCAACATTCTTAGCCCCTTTTGAGGCAGAATTTTACTTGATATCAGAACTCATTGTCCATTATGCTTGCCAACTCCAGAAATGTCCAGAAGATCTTGCTTGCATCCATGATCTTGTTCTGAAATCCCACTTTGTGTCAGTCAAAGACTTCATCATGCATTTTGCACACACCATCCAAGACTTCAACTTCAAACCTGGGTCACTTGTCCTTGTGTGGAATTCACATATCAAGTGAGAACTAGATCACAAGACCAAACCATGCTACCTAGGCCCCATGATTATCATTCAGTGTACCAAAGGAGGCTCATATGTCCTGGTGGAATTAGATGGTGCCATGTCCATATTCTGTTTCACTGCCTTCTGTCTTTATCCCTATTTCCCAGAGAACACCTTGCATATCAAAGTCATGCAGTTGACTGGAATTTCTGCACATGACTTAGATCACCTGGAAGATGATTCACTACCAGATCCCACACTTGCTGGCATCCCTTTGGATGAATCAGATGAGCAGCACACCTTTCTCTGTATCTTTTTCTTTCTTTTCTTTCCACACAGGGACAACTTGTGGGAGGAGAAGGTGATGTGGATGCGATGGTGAGAGAAGCAATCAGTAAGTGTGTGGTTTAATTGCAACTTGCTGCATTGACTGTCCCCTAGGGCAAAGTATTCCCCATCAACATGAGGATAGATGTGGCAGATGGGCCAGTAATAGTGGAAGCATATGAGGCATATGAATGGTGGGTGAGTGAGGAGATTGCATGGCACAAGACCAACAAGGACATGCAGATGGGAGAGGAAGCTGCACAGGAGGTTGGAGGGCAGGAGACAAGTGCTATCATGCTGGCTGCAATGGAGAAGATGTTGCATGTCAAGGTGGTGTCCCAGCCTGTTTGGAAGGTAAGTGCACAGTTTGAATGGTGTGGTAGCAGCTGATACTGGAGTCCAAAGTGATTGCAGCAGACTGTCACAGAGAGTGAAGATGAGGACAAGCCCAAGATCATTGTTCTGCCCAGTTTGATCCTCCACAAGGTCCCATGCATGCAATGCATGGTGAAGAAGACAGCTTGCACAGGACCCATTGGGCAGACATGCAAATGAAGCAGGGGTGTGAGAAGTCAACAAAGGCTGCAGGAAAGAAGGTGCAGGCTGGCACATCAGTTGGTAAGTGGTGGCTTTGCCACAGGAGACTTACAGCTGACATCAAGTAGTTTGGTCTTCGAAGGCTGCAAGGGCTGGCCCATCCAAGAGGGCTGCTGACAACGATGACAACAACAAAGTGGAAGTAGTTGAGAGCCATGCACATGTGAAGGGTAAGGCCCCTGTGCAAGGAGGGCTCAACAGCAAGGTTGCAGCTGATCTCTTGCAGTTGTTGAGGCTGCTGCATGTGGAGGCCACAGAGTTGCATGCAGCTTAGCTCTGCCTTCAAGTGCATGTTGACCAGCTCACCAAGGCACTGGAAAAGACTGGGGTCAAGTAGGGCCAACTGTAGCTAGTTTGTATTTGCTATGTGTTCCCATCTGCATGTAGGCACACACAGCACTAAATATACTGCTTTGTTCCCTTCTGTGTGACACTGTGACACAAAATGACTTGACATGCTTGAATGCTCTCTGCAGGACAGTGCAGCTGCAGTAAGATACAGTGCATGGGCTACTGCCTGACTTGTCTTCTTCATGCAACTTTTGACTTCTCTTAACAATGAGTCCTCATAGTATGGTGTTGACAGTAAGATGTGACAATGTCTTGAAGAGAGAATGAAGGGACTGTGAATTGGGTAACTGGGACAGTCTTTGTGTATTAATTGTAAGGAGACAGAAGGAGAATTGAAAGGAAAATAGATCAAGGGGCACACACTGACTGCATATTCAAAGAAGAAATGTGCAGGGTAGTTGTGGGCATTCACAGAGTATAGCAGCTGAGGATGGCATCAGCAAGACTAGTAAGAGAAGGCATAGGAGTGATGTTGGTTTATTTATATACTTATTTGGTGTTTTGTTATTTTTCTGGACAGTTTTGGACATTTTGTTAGCGGTTTTTATGTTTTTTGAGTGAGGACTAGCTATCAGTAGGATCACTGGACGAAACCTGGGGTAGAACAGAGGTCTCCAGATGAAACCCAGGGTAAAACAGATGAGGAGAAACAAACTATGTTTGGTGTCAGATGGAGTGAGTGGTATGCTGGTCACCCCTGTGGGGGACTTTGAATGCTGGCTTTCCCCAGTCAGCATGGGAGAAGGAATGAGAGTAGTGGAAGAAGATGCAAAGAAGTGGGTGAAGCCATGGAAGGAGGTATGGGTATCATGGGAGAAGAGGGTATGGAGGGAGGGTGTGATGGACAGACTGTGGGTACTGGAAAGGGCAGATAGTCAGCTTTCTGAGGCAAAAGCCTCTACCTCATCATCAGTGGGGTCATCCTCAGCCTCCTCAAGAAGGTAGTCTGGTCCTTCATCATCCAACCCAGTAATGTGAGTGACAGTTGCATGAGTTTGTGACTGCAGGTGGTATGGAAGTAGGTGGAATGCAGCAAAGTGGAGCTAGGAGATGGAGCCATCCAACTCAGCCAGCAGGTACAAGCCCCCATTGGTCCAATGAAGGATGACCATGGGACTGGTGTACCATGGCTTTGTCTTTCAGTTCAGTTCTTTCTCTACACAGGAGTTGTGAATGAGCACAAGGGTGCTGGGGGTGAAGTCACGGTCTTTAATGTGATGCTGAAAGGTGGCTTCAAACTGTTGGACAGACTGGCAATGTGTGTGGAGGATGCTATCATGGACCTGGTCTAGGTCATCCTGAGGCTTCTGTAACTGGCATACACACCAAGCAATCAGTTCTGTGGTAGTCAGCAGTGTCACATCATCATGGGATAGGGGCAAAAGGAAAGTAGCCTCAGTGAGGTCAAACAAGAATAGTGGTTTGACCTGTGGACCATGAAGTAAGGGGATAAACCTGTGGACTTCAGAATGGTGACCTGCTCAGCCCAGAACATGGAGTGTGCAATGGTGTGCCAGTGGCAGTTGTCATTCTTGCAGCTCTTCATGATGGCCTTGCATACATCATAGTGGTGACACTCTATGATACCATTAGCCTGAGAGGTGTAAGGAGAGATATGGATGTGACAGATATGATATTGTGTGGCTAGGACATCCAAGGCTTGAATGAATGCCAGACCATTGTCAGTGATGATTTTGGCAAGCAGACCACAGCAGCATAGGATGTCCTCAAAGATGAAGGATGTGAGCACAGTACTATTTTCCATGTGCAACATGCACCACCCTGGATATGAGGTGAGCATGCATCAAGCCTGTACTATGTACCAGTAGCCATGAGCTTTGGGCATTAGCACCATGTCAATGTGAGGTTAGCATGCATCAAGCCTGTACTATGTACCAGTAGCCATGAGCTTTGGACATTAGCACCATGTCAATGTGATCTTTATGAAACAGGCCCCCTATCATGGGCACAGTGGGAGGGATATGAAGCTTCTGTGTCTGGTGGATCTGGCATTCATGACAAGTATGAACATACCATTTCATGCCCTCAACAAGCAGAGGCCACCAAAAGTGGAGGAGAAGGCAGGTGTGGACTGTGAAGACACCTTTGTGTCTGAGGTCATCATGCACTTCTTTGATGCAGTGATACTGCTTGGACTCATTGATGACTAGCTGGTGCCATCCATGCAGTTCCCTATGCCATAAGTTGCCATCTAGAAGGAAGAAGTGGCTGGCAGAATTAAAGAAGGAGGAGTACTGTGCATCAGTAAGGTCAGGAGGTCGCTTGTGGGTCACAAGGAATGTGCAGATCATTTCTATCTTTGCCTTGCATGCACAAGCCTTTGCAGACCACAGGATGGCAGGGTTGTCAGAGGTATCAGGGGTGTTATTAGCATCAGCAGTTGCAGAGAAAGTGAGATAGAAGGATGCAGGCAGTGGGTGGCAGTAAGGAATGGTGATCATGATTGAAAAGAGACATAGGATGTGGGCAGTCATTGACAGCCTTTGTAGAGAAAGAGTAAAAACAGTCTAACCAATCCTTGTGGTCATCATCCTTGGGTGGGTTAAGTTCCAACCATGGGCAGCAGGACAGGCTGTCAGGGCTGGCATGCTTTTCTGCAGGAATGTGCATGAGTTTGAATGAGAAGAGGAGGACACCAGCAATTTAGCAATTGATCATCACATCAGGCTGCAGATCTGGGTTATTTATCATGTCCTTAATGTATCTTGCATCTACCTCTACAGTGAAGTTAGTGAGACCAAAGATGTATACATGTACCACACACAATGCATGGAAGAGACCATACAGCTCAAGCTTGGCCTGGGAGTAGTGGCTTTCTACTTTGTTGAGGGTGATGGATCCAAAGTGACTAGGGTATCATTTGCCATCTTTGCCAAGCTGGTAGAGGATGCAGCCAACTGCAATGACTGAAGTGTCAACTGCTAAAATTACTTTGTGACTGCACTCATAGTCAATCCTTCAGAGTGCAAGGGACTTTACAATTTCATCCTTGAGTCATTGCATGGCAGCACATTGCAGCTTGTCCCATGTGAATGGTATGTCTTTCCACATGAGTGTGACTAGCAGCTGCATGATCTTGGTGAAGTCCTTGATGAAGATGCAGAGGACACCACAGACACTGAGGAAACTGTGAACCTGCATCAGGTTGTGGCACTCAGGCCAGTCATGGATCTTCTGCACTTTGCTTTCTCAGGAATGTGACCTTCAAAGGTGCACTTGTGGCCAATGACCACAGCAGAGGGAGCAGCTAGTATGAACTTCTTTGCTGAGACAGTGACTCCAATGTTCTGCAAACACTGAAGGATCCTGGGGTTCTCTGGGATAGTCTCATAGGAACCATCCATGTGCTGATAGCAGGTGGTCTTGGATGTTATGGGGACATCATCTATGAAGGGTAAGGTATGATGTGGGATCTCATCCTGAAGCATGAATGTGGTATCTCCCTGGTATACCTGGACTGCATTTGCATGACCTTGCAGCAGAGTAGTAAGCTGATGCAGTCTGAGCAGGGTACCAAAGGTGGTGAGGTCATGGGAGTCAACATGAAGCATGTGCTGGTCATACCCAGAGTAGAGGTCCATCATCACATATACAGCATATCCAGCAAAGGATTCTGCAAGGTGTTCTACAAAGGGCAGGACAGATGGTCACTGCATTCAGGGGCTGTAAGCCATGCACAAGGCAAAGAGACTTTCCATCTTTCTTTACTATGCAGAACCAGTGAGAGCAGTAAGCTGCTGTAGAAGGCTCATACATCCTGGACTTGATGCAATCTTTAATCATGACAATGACCTGGGTGTGAATCATGCTCAGGATAGGGATATTCCATTGGACCCAAGGTGTGTGTGGAATCATGGGGATCTTTATGGGGAGGAAATAGCATTTGTCTAGGTGTCCATGTTCTGTGATGTCCCAAGCAAACACAGGCTTGTGGACTGAAATGAGCCAAGTCACAAGTTTAAGTTCTTCTGGCCAAAGCCAGTCTTCTGGGTCTAGATTGAGCTCCATGGCCCAATTGGTAGTGAAGTGGGTGCCTGGAGTGAAGTCTGGCAGATGTGGGGGAAGTGGTTGGAGACCAGCAAGCAGATCATCAGGCAGGCTGCACACAATGTGGTATTCCTCTGCCATCAGGGCAGGTACTGTCCAAACCTTCTTGGCAACTGGCTTGTAAATGAGGGTGTGAACCATGGGATCTAGTTGGTAAATGCTCTCAAAAGTGGCTAGAGCAGAGGGGGTTAGTATCATCTGAGTGGAGGAGAGGAAGGCAAAAGGGTGAGGGTATTCTGGCAGGTATGTTCTGTGGCATGGGTGCTGTGGGAAAAGGGAAGTTCATTGAGGTGAAGGCTAGGGAAGAAACTGTGGGACTCAGGAATGGATAGCAGCAGCTGAACAGAAAACAGGATGTCTTAGTAGGCTCTCCCCAACCATTTGGCAGATTCAAAAACCCCATTCAACAATACTCTGGTGACTGTGGCAGTGCTTGCCACACTTTCTGTGTGGGCAGCCCTTGCACCATGGGTGCATGGGCAGAGTGTACTTGTGGCCATCATTCAGATCACAGAGAGTGATCTGCTGGCCACCATTGGGATAGTCATTTGTCACCATGCTCATGAGGAAAATGAACAGATGCCCAAGAAGCATGTTGAAGTTGGCATGTTCACTTACCTGAACCTGGAGCATGACTGGCCCAGCACCAAAGTTGAGTTTCAGGTTTTCTAGAATGCCTACAGTAGTGTCTTTAGACATGTTAGCAGAGGTCATAGTCATGAGATGGTCACAGTGCAATGGCAGCCCCATCTTCTCCCAGATGTGCCTGGGCATGGTGACAATTTCCAAACCAGAATCTAGTACACAGTTGATTGTAACATCAGTCCCAGGGACCTTGGCTTCGATGCAGCAGAGCAGTAGAGTGTGGTGAGCCACAATGGAACTGTTGTCACCATGGATGATGCAGTCTCTGTACTCATGTGTGGTTTGGTGAGGGTCATGGCTGGTCAGTTCATGTACATGCACTCCTTCATTGTCATCACTACAAGCTACCTTGATCTCATTCATGGTGATGCACTTGGCCATGGTGATGTCCCTGAACTGTTTGCAAAACTCAGGGGCTACTGCCAACAATTCTTTGACTGGCAAGGCAACACTGGTTTCAAGTACATGCTCCATGACATGCTTGGGTGCAGCTTTGTCTTTGAGTGGGAATGAGTAATGATACTGGTTCTGGTTGCAGGCTGGAGCTGGGTATGATGTTTGTGATGGGATGACTGCCAGGAGCACAGGATCCTTGCATGCAGGTGTCAGAGTGGGATTAGTTGAGGGAACATATGGTTTCACAGCAGTGGATGTTGTCACAGGTGCAGATGGCTCAGATGCCTGGCAAGTGGCATGTGAACTCTGAACACCAGGTGAAATGATTTCCTCTTCAACAGTGGCTGTGCAAGGATCTACTCATGGAGGGTTGGCCAGATGTGTGCAGGTTGAGCTGTAATCTCAACCCCATCAAAGTGGGCTTTCATTCTGCAGGACATGACTGTGCCCTTGTTACCTTTGTCTGCCTGATAGGTAGCCCAAGCTTGGGCAATGTATGCCTGGAAGTCAGGGTTCTCTAAGTCAGCAGCTGATTCATCTACAACCTGGATGGTGTTCAGAAAGGCAGATGGCTGAATCTCCAACTGCACATTGACTGTGGGATGAGTGATGCAGAAGAGGTTAGCTGTGCCTTGGGAAGCTGGGTTGCATGGAGCAGCTGGAGTTGCAGTGTGTGCACTGGCCTGATCTCTGTCAGCCATGACATGGTCAACAGCTTCTTTCAGTGAGTCACATTCAGGGAAGCATGGAATTCAGCTTCTGTCTGCAAGATATAGATGGTTGTCCATACCCCTCATGATCTTACCAGCACAGATATAAACTTCAATGAGCATGCACATCCTCATCCAGTGATTGGGGTCTGTGCAGATTCTGCAGCCAGGTCTGCATTGCTGTGGTGGGTGCTGTGTCTGGAAGTTGTATTCTTGTTTGACAACAGTACCAGCAGGTGGCACCTGTGGCATGTAGGCTGGTGAGGGAGGTGCAGCTGGCGAGGCCACAGTATCCATCATTGGTACCATGCTTCAGAGAGCAGATCCCATCAGAAGAAACTTGGCAGCTTTGACAACTTCTGTGAGCAGGTAAGGGTCATCTGGGTGGAGGTCAGTGTGGACTATGGAGAGTCAATGATGAATATGATCTGCAATGGCCCTCAGGAAGCTGTTCAGGAACATGGAGTCCTGTTCTGTCTCTGCTAGCTTTTTAGTTTTAATGAGGAGGGCAGAAATCAAGGCAAATTTCCACTGGTATTCTCCTAGGTTGTCCTGGTTTCGCATGGGCTTGGACTGATATTCTTCAATGAGGTACTGCAAATCTGCATGGCAGTAGCAGTCATCACCTTTGCAGCCAGGGGACAAACCCTTAACAGTGACTATGAAGGCATCCCAGTTGTCAGCCATGGGTGCAGCTTCTGGAAGTGTTTGCCAGATCTCAGCTTCTTCAAGGTCAGTGTAGCAGACCACAGCTCTGATCTTGCCATGGTCATTGAGAGCAGCAAGAGTACCAAGGAAGTCAATGTCTTCAAGGTATCATGGGAGCTGTGTGGGTGAATCTCCACTAAATTTAGGTGAATTCTGTGTACTGTTGTGGAGTGGCATCTGAAACTGAGGATTAGCCATTGGTTGGTTAACCTGTGGTGGCAGTGCTGGATTGGTGACAGGAGGAATGGGTATTGGCTGTGGGTGTGGAGTGGGTGGTATAGTGCATGAGCAGACTGGTGGAAGCATCAGCAGGTTACTAATTGGCTGATGGGTGGTCTGCAACTGAGTGAGTGGTTGTGGCAGTGTGGCAGATGGAACTGGGATTCTGGGTATAGATTCAGAGGCATCAAAGAGACAGGAAAAAGAGGGTGTCAGTGATGCTGAATCAGATGATGTGATGGGTGTTAAAGGTGATGGCAGGGTTTTGGGTCTTTGGGGAGTTGAGTGGATAAAGCCACCAGGAAAATCAGGGGCAGTGAGATCTAGGTGATCCAGTGCAATGGATATCTAATCTGCCAAAATCTCAGGAGGAGTGATTGCAGGTAGTACCCATGGAATGTCAGTGGGTAATTGCACATGATCTGGTGTTACAGGTGAAACAGGGCAGAAGAGGTTGGACTCCTCTGACAGGTTCAGGTTGCAAAAGTGGGGGCATAAATTTTCTAGTTCAGTGCATTTGGTGGTGTGCCTGAGCAACCTTCTGGAAGTGACAGCAGAATCCCTTGCAGTGGGCTCCAGTTGTAGGAAAAGTTCAAGTAGCTGTATAGTATGAGCTAGATGGCTTAGGTAACAACAATAAAATGAAGGGAACAAATGGCTCATCCCAAGGGATTCTGGACTGCCAAGACTAGAAGGTGGGACTCAGCGCTAGGTAGTGGTAATAATTCATGATGTGTGTGGCATGGTCCACAGGGCAGTACTGGCAATGTGAGTGGTGTGAGTGGTATACATAGTAGGTGCATGGCTGTATGCAAGATGTGCAGTGTAGATGAAGTGAAAAAGAAACTCATAGTGACCTTCCAAGTGCCAAAAGGTATCATTCTGTACCTAAGTACAGGGCTTTATAGTCTGGGCAAACCTGGAACCTAAGTAAGACAGGGTACAAGTAAAGGAAAACTGGGTGACAGTGTGTAAACACAAGACAGGCCTGAACAGAGGCTGAGGGTATACTACAAATGAAAAGGGAACAGAGACCATGTTAAAAGAAAGAGTCTGAAGGAAGGGAAGCAAGCAGAGCACAGCAGCTGTGGGTATAGCATTGTGCAAGAGGGAGCAAGGGCATGGGAAGGTAGTGAGGTAGGTGGGAAGACAGCATGTGAACAGTGGTGGATGCAAGTGGTCTGGGGATGTAATGATAGTCACAGAACAGTTGATGATAGGGGCTTATGTGTCCAAGGAATGTGGATTCCTTACAACATACTTACATGTCTCTGAGCTGATCCTTCAACCTCTTCAGCTCCTTGCATTGCCCTTAAACTGTGCCAATCTGCCCCTCTACTTGCATCACCAACAGCCCCAGCATCTGGTGGATCTGGGTCAACTCAAACTCCTCATCATCTGTGCAACCTTCCAACAGTTGGATGTGCTCAGCAAGAGCCTTGCATGTAGTCGATTTGCTCAGGTTTGTGACTGGCAGAGTTTCTTTGATTGGGGGAACTTCAGACTCATCCTGCACAGTGACATCAGATGCAGGTGGATTGTCCAATAATCTGGTCAGTCTGCTAAAGAGTCCACTGTCACTGAGGTCTCCCAGTTTGTCCATATGTGGTGGTGTTGGCTCAGGGCGAGGTTGAGGTGCAGGAGTTGCTGATGAAAGGAAGAGAGGAGGTTGAGGTGCAGGAGGAGGAGGCATGTTTGAGGTTGAAGGGGACTAGCATGAGGTATTGGGTGCTCAGGAGTTGGTTCAGAGTTTTGCCTGGGGGGTGGTTTGTGAGCAGGGATTCAAAGTTTCAGCCCAGTCATCACCATTACTGTTACTGACTTGGTCCATTTATGCGATGGCCCAGCAGCCATCTCTCTACTACCAGCATTCTTGCACTGTGTTATGGTTCAGTGTCCTCATTCTTCATGTCACAATCAGCTTGTACTCACCTTCCTACCCACTCTGAGCAACCAGCTGCACTTCCACTTGGCCTGCCTGCATCACTCACATAACTCCCCAGGTAGACCTTCACACTCAGCCCCTGCCTTCACACACTCCCTGCATGGAAGGTTGGCTTTGGGTGCCAGAGCACCAGTTTTCAATGGGTCAGGGTTAGGTGGGCATTCACCTTCATTGTTCTCCAGCTCATCAACTTTGTCTGTGGCCTGCAGAATTTTCTGAATGTTAACTGTCACACTCAGAGTTTCCTGGAGGGTAGGATGTACCTTTTCCTTACCCTTCCCCTTGCCTGTGCTATCCATCTGTTGCCTCACCTCTCATCCAGTCCCCCTCATAGACTCCCCTGCTTCAGTGTTGCTTGGCACACATTCTTGACCTTCACCTACCACCCTTGCTGCCTGTCTGCACATACACATTGAAGGTTCCCTTGTCAACCTCTCCACCTTGAGCTGCACCCTCAACTCTATCCTCTCCTGGTAGTCTTTGAAGATGTCATCTATGTGGATCTGTCTCTGTTCCACTGGGTGCCAGAGGTCAGCAATGGCAATGGCACCCAGGACTAGAATGTTTTGGCACATCACAGATTCCTCAGTGTAGTTGTGCATGCACTCATCATGAACCTTCAGTACAGTAATCCTGTTGTCATCAATGTATTTCCACCATGAGTGAATGCCAGCCTGCAGAACTCTGTCAACATGTGACACACTGCAGTGGAAGGTTTACTCACCCAAGTCTTGTCCCAGTCCTCCACCCACATGTAGATCATATCCAAACTCTCTTCTGGCTGTGGCACCATCTTGATCAGGACCCAGATGTGCCCCAGAGCTTCCAAGAGTGCCATGGTCACCTGGTCCCTCATGCTGAATATGGGGTGTGCATTGTTGCTGGAGTAAGCTTGCATGGTAGTTGGCAAGGGTAGTGAGAATCTGAGAGCAAGGTGGTGGAGTAACAAGGGTGAATCTGACAATGAGACAGTTTCTGGGCAAGTTTTTCATTCCACAGGGCTGTTTCTGATGCATTTACCATGTGCAGAGTTTTTGCTCACACAAGGCACATGGCTGAACATGAGTCATCTTTGTTTACATCACCTGCCAAATCTCTGCCACCCTTCTGTCATGACTCAATGACCTCTGACTGAGGATGGTCAGCATTCAAAGACCATTGGAGGTGTAGGGAGTGGTATACTCCCTGAGGCCAAAATAGGGATGCCAACACCAAAATTCTGCCATTACAAAAGTTGACCCCTATCAGAGTTCCACATCTGTCATCTTTGGAATTATTGCATCTGCCTCATGCACTGCCTCACCCATTGAACCTTCAGAGCTCCCCTGTCCATCAATAACACACACAAGTCATTGTCCTGGAATTCCATGTCAACATCAACCTGACATACATCTATCCAGAATTCTGCAGTCATGCCACCTCAACCTTCACCTCACCATGTAGCCAGGAAATTGTGCAGATCATCAGTAAAAACTCTGGTTACCCCTCTTGTTCTTTTCCCATGAACCTTTCTCTGCAATGCAAGTACCCCTTTGCTTGCAGCCAGTATTGCACCTATGGCCTCTACCCTTCATGTTCCACTCCATGGTACAATGTACACTTGTCCTGTCAGAAGATACCCATCTTTTCCCATTTGTTTTTCTTGGTTACTACTTTACAGTTTGTTTTCACACAATTCTGTATGGCTTTGACATCTGACACATTGCCCTCTTTGTTTTTCAGAATTCTGCTTTACCTGCCCCACATTTCTCTGATTTGTACCTTACTATCTGTGTACTATATAATTCCGCCTCTGTGACAAAAAAGAAAGGATCATCTTTTTGGGACCCACAATCTGTGTCATTTGTGAGTCTAAAGTGTTCAAAGGGTCTTTGCATCCTCTGTGTCTGCTGCATATCTGTGTCTTTGTGTCACCTGCATCTACTGTGTCTTCTGCATCTTTGTGTCCTTGAACCACTAGTACCTCATGTCCCCTCCCATGCACCTAACTCATCTCAGAATTACTTTGTCAGGTCAAGATCATCACTTGGAATTTTGAAAGTGAGTCTATTCATACCCAATTTGTTCTACCAGCACAGTGACTGCTGACCTTGTGTACCTTAGGGCAGGTCTCAGGGGCTTGACCCTAAGGGGGGGATACTGTCATATGCCAAGAAACCCACAGTTTGGTCTTACATTCTGAATGCTGCACCAATGCTGAACACTGAAAACATACATGGTTCCTCACTATACTTTTCTAGTTAGTCTTTGTACTGCCCTCACTTGTGCCAAGGCAGTGTCTGCCTTTGGCTCTCCAATCCCTGCCTCCTCATTTAACCTGTAGTTAGTTCCTTGCACCACTATTTAGTCCCTCACTGGTAACCCCAGCCTTTGGGTTGCCAGTCTTTGGTATATTACTCTATGTAGATTGTACTTAGCTCTGCAGTCTGAATATCAACCTAGTTCACCCCCTAAGCTCCTAGCTTAAGCTTGAGTCAACTCTCAGCTTTCACTCCTGACCCCCCTTGGCTTACTCTGACTTCAACCTGGCTTGTGCAAGGGTCTAGCACACAAGCTAAGACCAAGGGTTGTTGCACCTGGTGCTTGGCCTTCAGCCTTTGATCCTCAACCCAGTCATGAACTTAACACTAACACACTGCAAAAACCTAGCATTGGGGATGGAATGAAGGAAGCCAAGTCTACCAGGTAGGTGAAACAGAGCAAGGTGCACAATGCCATGAAGCTGGAGGACAAAGTGGACCAAATGCCAGCTTTTACATGAGGAACACCTGGTCTGGCACCTTGTACAGGGATGTTTCTTGCACATATGCCTAATCTGGTCATGAATGCAGGTTGTAGAACCATGGAATTTTACTCATGATGAGCAGGGTGACAGCTTGAACTTACAAAGTGGCTTTCTGTTTGAGCAGGAAGCATGCTGAATCATTGACAGTCAGTTCAGTGTTCACTACAGGGGTTTGGGGTTACCAACTCACACTGGTTGCAGGAGTAGGGACTGAATCTGCCACAAGTCCCCCCTCCCCTTGTGCTATATGGAAGGGACCTAACTCCTGGCTTGATACTAGCCTTATTTGTAATAGCATAGACCAACTTGATGACCATAGGCTTTTGTTTTTGCTCAAGGGAAGTGCTGTATTAATGGGAAGTGTTGTAGGAATGAGGTGAGTGCACCCATTGTCAGGTGCTGTGAAGGGCAATATATATGCAATGCATTGAAAGGTGGGGGGACCACTGCAGGGGCATGGGAAAACAGCTAATTGGGTAGGAAAGCCTAGATATGCATAAATGATTAAATTAAGCATGTATGCCAAGTTAGTATGCAACCAACCTGTGTGTGGTGACAGGTATGCAATGTCATGGGTTACAAGGACCTGCACAGACATGATGGTCCTGGGGTATGTAGTCAGATTGATAACCAAGTAAACAGTGTTCTTCCTCCCACAAGTAAACTTCTCAAAGAAATTTCATAAACCAATTCATACTGTATCTTGCAGGCAACATCTCCTGTGTCATCCTCTCCCCCCAAGCTCCTTCATCACAGACTCATAAGCTAATGTTCACCTTTGGTTTTGGATCCCTTGCTAACCATTCAATCAGGCAAAAGCTCACACAGATCCCACCACTCTCTATGCCCAGTGAAGTGTCCAAGAATGAGTGAGTCCACTTCCTGATATCTGAATATTTCTGCATGGGAGGATGAAGAGGATAAAGAGGAAGATGAACTGGACAATGAAGCTAACTGTTGTCCAAGGGTGACCAAGATAGCTCCATTGGGGCATGCAAATTTAACTCAACAGTTTGAAAGCCTTTTTCATCACTATGGTGGTGAGGGGAGTGCAGAAGGGTCAAGGGTGAAGGTGCATCAGAACCATGGGATGAACATAAGAAGTTCTGATATGGAACCACCATCAAGTTCAAAACACACCTTGTACATTTGACAGCTCCTGAAACTGTGCATTACTGAGAACAAGGATCAGGACGTTGCGAGAAACGCTATGGTGCAAACCAGGTTGATGGGGTATATCAAACTCATCAACAGATTTCATCAGTGATTCTTAGTGCTCCCCATTCCCTAGCTGATGCCATGCTCAATAGAGAAATATCTTCTATTGCACGTAGCATTTGTTCAGTTTTTTTGATGTTACTCTCACTCTTGTCTGAGGGATCCCTGGACTTCTGTGGGTCCACTTTTCTTTGCCCATAAACAACACTTATTCACTAATTGCAGCCAGGAATCATATGCCAGCATTCACAGTGCTGGACCCACTGGTAGGAAAACTCTCATCATCCAGTGGTCTTGCAGTTGTAACAGATGACATCTGTTTGAGCTATTGTATCCGAGCTGGAGTGTAGAAGCATAAATGTCTTGGAAAACAGAGGTAGCGGGTCGGTGACCACCTGGTCTTGAAGTGGCAACTAGGGAATCATGTGAAGCCTTCTCTTGAAGATGTGGATATCATTATGGCTTGGAAGAACACCTTGATAGATGATAGCGAGGAAGATAACTACTTGTTGGAGGCTAAAGCGAAAATGCAGAGAATGGAAGGAGAAGCTATGGGGACTGTCATCATCCATGGCATATGAGTATGAACGTTCCTCAACTTGGGCTCAGGTATTAGGTAGGTGGTTTTGGAGGATGACAAGCTGCAGGATTGTCAAGTCTATAGAGAGGAATATACTCAGACTTCAAGTTGGTTGAAGCTAAACAATTAACTACCTATAGAGAGGAATATACTGTAGGTAGGTAAGTAAGTGTTCCAATATAATGAATGGAAGGAGTCCCACCTCAGACTTCAAGTTGGTTGAAGCTGAGGTGCAGTAAGGAAAAAATAAACTGCTAAGTGTCCGCTTTTGGATTACGTAACGCTGTGCTCGGTGAACCACAACTAAGGTAAAGGTGATAAAACTCCAACAGGTGGTATTATTAATATGAGCACTCTTGGGCCTCCGCCTCCCGTCTCCATATCACATGCAAACGAAGGGGAACATAATGAACAATATGAAAAGAAAAACTACCAGTAAAAGATGAAAGATACCGAAAGCGTTAGAAGCTTCTACGGCGTGGTTATCCCAATTTTAATGACCACTGGCAGCTGAGCCCAAGCATACATCAAAGAATTTCTAAGACTGTCGCCCGAACGTTCTTGGGGGCGATGTTAGTTCCGAGTCCCGAGACGACAATCTCATTCTCTGCAGCGACCCTCTTGCACTCTCCGTTCGGCTGTTGTACGAGAAGCAGTGCATTGAACGGCTGTCCGAGACGAGCAATCATTTCTAATGCCCGGGTATAGTTGTCAATCCGAGGCGCGGAGACGGCGTGTGATGGCGCGACGCCATCCAAGTCAGTGTCAGTATCGGACTCTAAGTCATCTCCCCAGGCAACCCCACTGCTTGGACCTCGAATATAACGAATCCACGGATGCGCGAAGACGAATTTTCGTGGCTCGTTCCGCAAGAGATCGTCTGTGGTCGTGAATTCCACTTGGCCAAGCCCCGATACCCGAGCACGATATAACTTCTCATTGCCTCCGTACGGCTTCTCAAGACTTTTCACAGAGAAGATGATGCATGGAAGGTGTAGACGTCGGGCTGTAAAACGGACAGAGGAAAGACGGTTGATCTTGTTACATATACTCCGCACTTCTTGTTCGGGCAATTTTTCACGCAATTCATTGACACACCTTTCCATTTCTTCTCCTTCAAGTAATGGAGGGCTGTGTGGAGTTTGGTTGTAAACGGAAATGGAAGCCGGGAGACAACTGTTGTATGACGATGACTTCCCCGACCACGCAAGCACGGTGACCTCGCCGGACCGGGCCACAATCTCCTCCAGGAGATGTCCGAGAGCATCGGCTCTCTCCCCGTAGTGGGGCCGGATATCGGACTTGAATATACCGATGAGAGAGTATGCGACGTCCTCCTCGACCGTCGCATTGCGCGTAGAAGCGAGACGAAGCTTCTCGCGCACCCCAAGATCGTCTGGGGTGAATGTGAAGATGGTTCCGTGGGGAATCTTGGTGGCATCTACTAGCTCTTGCATGATCTCTGGAGATTCCTTATGATTCGAGCCAGTATTGCCGAGGTATGGTTTCCACTCGGAGTCATAGAAAAAGATCACTTTCGGTGAGAGAAGCTCCTGTAAAGTCCACGCCCGCGTCATCCATAAACTACGCATAAGGTCCCCAGGCCTGGACGGATGCGCTACGCCGGCGAGGAATACGATCGTGGCTGCTGAACCTGCATACCATTGGTACATAGACGTAAGAGATTGATTAAGGATGGAACTCGTGGATTTGTCGATACAACATGTATCGCACCACGCCCAATTATGACCAAGTCTCCTCGTCTCCTGGCAGAAATTGCGCAATTTCTTGTGCAGAGGCGTGTCGGGAAGGTTCCACACAGATTTGACTACATTGACGTCCTGGAATGATGGCTCGTTCCCCTGCCATGCATGGGAGAACATGACATATCCGAAAAAAATTGTAACCACTCGTAGGATACGCTCGTTGTCCACTTCTGTCGTCATGGATGAAACAAGCGCTTTGAATGACGGACCAGCCTTGAAGATACGCATCTGCTCGGACCTGTTACAAAGGCAACCAGTGGCGACATTGATGACGACGAAGGGACAATCCTTGAGGATCTCGTGGATGATAAGATCAATAGCTGCAATCGTCTCGGATGGAGAAACATAGTTCTTGCGCAGTTCTGTGAAACCATCAGTTGTAGGTATTAGATGCACACAGGAGGCACATACGCCTGACTTGAGGGTCATTTGACTGTTCGATCACTTGCAGCATAGACTTGAAAATATCGATCGCATCGTCATACCGTTTTGCTCCATGAAGAGCCGCATGCTTGACCTCGTAGCTCCAAGGGCTGGAGGGGTCCACTTTCACCGCCTGTACAACTACTATATGGAGCTGACTCATACAACAAAGATACCGTGCATACCTCATTCGCATCCTGCAGTGCATCCTCCCATAATCCTTTTGCCGCACGAGCTCTGCTCCGCTTGATTAGCAGACCTGCGGGACTTGGAGGACTGAGGGACAGTGCAACAGAATATTGCGTGATTGCGTCGTCATATTTTAAAGATCTAAAGGCTTCATCGCCGACATGCTCAAGTGTCGTAGTACATTTTTTGGTGAAACCTAATAAGAGACGCTGGTTTGCACATCAACCAGATTAGGAGCTACAAGACATACCTGCGACCCAGTCTGCAGTTTTCTTGCTCTCTCGAATCTTCTCGTCTGAGGTCCTGATGATATCGAGGAGAATTTCCACAGCTTCGGTTGTACGTTCTTCACCATAGAGTGTTTCACACAAACGTTGCCGGGCAAGGATGCCCAGTCCGTTGAAATTCCACCCAAATATCTTTATGGAGGGTTAGATTGATAGGTGGAGGTAGTAACGGCGAAAGGCCTACGAGCGAAATCGTCTCTAGGGGAGGATACCGTGTGTCGTTGTGGGCTAGGTTCTTCGCACGGTCAAACAATCGTATCGCACGTCTGTGATTCCCCTTCCTCATGTGCATAACCCCAAGGACCTGTGGAATGTATCAGCGGTGATACTTGCATCATATGAAGCACGTGCCTGTGTGTAAAGGTAGGCGGTATCATCGTCCTCGTCGTTATCACTGTTTGCCCTCGTTGCAAGGTGCTCCACACGGTCTATCGCCTCATCTTGATTTCCGGATTCCAGTGTAAGGACAGACTGGGCGGAACGTAGATTAATTGCGAGAACGATCTAGATCGCCTCACCCACCTTCAGTAGTAAGAGAAATTTAATGTCATGCAACCCGCAATCATGAAACGCAAAGCCGAATGTACATAGCGCTCCCTCCCGATTACCCTGACCAAGTAGAGCAACCGCCACAGCAATATAGCCGATAGGCGATGGTTGAGCCTGGAGCGACTTGAGACGCTGTGAGTAAACATGCACAAGGAGTAGTAAAGCAGCAGACTCGCCTCCTTGGCATCCTCTATCGCACCTACCAAATCTTTCAAACGCACTCTTATGAGGGCGCGGTTTGCTAGCAAGTAGTGCCTAGGAATTGAAGCGCTCCTGATCTCCTCTGACAGCAACGATTCGGTGTTCATCGGGTCGTCCTGGGTCCATGATTCTAGAATCTCGTCACTCATTTGTACAAGTGGAAGCTTAGAAGCGTCGAGCCGCTGCTGATGGATCAAAGCCTTACGCAGGACACGACGACTATCGACGATGTGAGCTTCACGAGCAGCATCGAGCTGCTGCTGACGGATCAATGCCTTATGCAGGGCACAATAATTATCAACGACGTGAGCTTCACGAGAAGACATACACTTACACCATGATCAAAATACTTAGGGGGAAGGACATCTCTGAGATTGTGGATTGTGATATTTGTGCCACTTCCACATGCGAGATGCCCCCCGCTTGGTGAAAGAGCGAGACAGGTGACATGGGCAGTGTGTGCGGTAACAGCACTGATCTGCTTGTGGGACACACAATCCCATAGGGAAACAGATGAGCCTGCAGCACATGCAATGAATCTGCCGTTGGATACGATAGATACACCAAATTGGTTTTCATGAATTGGCCACTCCGAAGACAGAGAGTTGGGAAGGTCGAAACAAACAATTTTGCCTATGCTTGCGACGAAAAGCTGCTGGCCGTCAGACGACCAGGCCAACGAAGCGTTGGGAGTGGAATCGGTTGAACCACTTTCAGCTGAATCGAACAAGACACTGCCATCGTGGGTGTTGTAGAGGCGGAAACCGTGACTCTCCGAAGCGGTAGCAAATCGACTGCCGTCTAGGGAGAACTTGATACCAATAACCCCTCGGTGTCGGAGGGGTGGAAGGAGTCGTATCGGGCGGGTGCCGGAAGTGAGGCTGAATAGCCGGGCGTCGTTGTAGTCCGCAGACGCAACTTTAGTACCGTCGCTCGAAATATCGACCCCAAGCACAGAACTACTATGTTCTTGTGACTCGCGCACTTTTTTATGAGTCACCGCATTCCAGACGATCGCCTTGCATCCGCGATCTCCAGACACCAACCACCGGCCATCCAGGGAAACGACAACAGAACAGACAGCGCCACCCGCTTGCATGGTTGGACCCTGCTGTTGTCCGTCCTTGAGCTTCCATCGACGAATTTTGCCATCCTGATATCCTCCGACAATTTGACCTTCACCCGCGAAGGCGACTGCGCACGCATCACTATGAGATACGATTTCGATCTGTTTCGTATCTTAACCACCACAGTGAACTGTCAGCTACAGGGCTACCTTAGCCCCTCTGGCTGCCGGTACGCACCGATCGTCATTACTGGAAAGCCCCAGAACACAATAGGAGGAGGTAAAGAAATCAAAGAAGTTGGGAAGAGAGAAGAGTGGACGCTCGTGCCGCTCAAGAAGGCGCTTTATTGGCATGTGAGTAGCTCCTTTTCTTTCTTTTATTTGCGAGACCCGTCGGCGTCGATTCATGGAGGATGTGACTCATGTGGTACATTATTCTATCCCTAGTTTATATCGTCTGGTGTCTCCCCGTCCCATTGCACACATACCACCTATGCACCAAACTTCTCATTTCTTCAATACCACCCTCAGTTACCAGCGCTCGAAGATTAAAAGACCGCCAACACCGGCGAAGCTCTGGCCCGCCAAGGCACGTCCTCACAGCTCCCACTGGACAGAAACCCCTGTCGAGGGACAGTAGCGTCCCGCGGACGGCGTGTATTGTCAGAAAATGGTGAATGCAGAGCCAGTGGAAGAAATCCTGAGGATGCGAGAAGAGGAACGAGAGGGATGAAGATACTCGGTGGTGTGTCGAAAAGCATACAGTGCGTCTATTGGCGTTTCGCACAATGTCCATCATTCTGATGCTATACTATTATTAAAGCCCAGAATCCGCGATACTGCATTGGTCGATACGTATATGGAGTGGGTGGCTCAGAAGAAACGTGACGCCGATGAGGCACCAGCCGCCATATGGAACCACTTGCACGACCTGTCAATCGGGGGTCGTTTCATGGACGAGAAACAAAAGAAACAATAGTTGAGAGGGGCGAGAGCCCTCGGGGACAGGTTTGGAACGGGCAAGAGTGATGAGTTCCTGTAGCAGGGTTTACTCTGTACGTGCATGTCCCGATATTTGGGTTTCCTGCTCCGTAACTTGTGTCGGGATCGATGAACCCAGAGTCTATGGTGTCAGGAGAACTCAAGTACATGCTGTCGTTCGACTTTGCTTGTGGAGATGTTGCTGTCCGATTTCGAGGATCTGCGTTCTGCATATGCTGGCATTACCTTGGGGTCCCGTCATGAACTCTCAGCAATCTGCAGTACGATTAACTGGTTCCGGAGATTGTCGTGTCCGTCAAGAACTTGATGGCAGTTTTAAATTGCTTGACTTGACTTCCGGCGAAATCGGTACCCGACTTCTGGAACTAAGCCATGGTTGTATTAGACGACCTACGTTCCGCGTTCTGTATATGCTGACAATACCTTCCAATTATTCCTGTCATAAATTCCTAACGAGTTGTAGTATGGTCAACCCGCGCTCAACTGCTCTCTTAAGCTGCGCGAATATGGCGTTCTCAAGTATTTGACTACATGTAGGTTCGTGACGGTTGATAAACACTGGGGGGCTTTGCACTGACCAATAAACATGCCATCCAGCAAATCGGATTAACAACACTGGACCTCAGCACCACTTTGATTTTACTGAGTCGGGCCGACAGAGTGGTCACCGTCTACTGGTTGAGTCCTCGAGAGAGAGAATCAGATGCGACAGGTTGATCGGTTTGGGGGGGGAGACTTAATGGAACGACCAGAGAACTCAGAAGGCAGCAGGAACAGGTTGACACCCCTAGCAGCTTTCATGGGAACCACAGCTTAAGCGGACCAACTTCGAGAATCGAACCGCACTTACGGCGAAAGACGGGAATCCCCATAACTGCACTTTGGACGTGTCATACAATAGGACATTAATCGTTACGCTTGATCTTCGGGGGTACCTCCCGTGGGCGGGAACGAAAGAAGACGGGTGTTGAGAGAGGCGAGATCGCTAGGGGACAGGTAAGAACGGCTGGTTTTTCCGGCAAGTTTATCCTGTTCAAACGTGTCCCAAGTTTCGGGTTTCCATGATTTTTGCCTCATGTATGAGCTAACTTATACGGTCGACTTCGATAGATCCAGAGCCTGTCATGTCAGTGAAGAACTTGACATCTGTCAGGTGCATGCTCGGGTTGTTCGGGGGTTAACTGTGGCGATGCTCTGTCCGATCTCGGAGACTGAGTACTAACTACTAAACCATCATTCATCATGCATCAACCATGACCACTTCAAGCAACGCACGTCTACATACGTGCGTTCTGCATGTGGCCTGACAATACCTTATGGTTTTGTCATGAACCCCTAGCAATTTTCTCCTTGGTCGACCTGAATTCTGTGTCCCGAGTTCGAATGACAGGCTGGATCTCGCGTCTCGGAAAGGACTGCTGCTCATTCTCCCCTGTATAGCCCAGTTCACTTCCTGGTGCTGTGGCCTTCTCATAGTACTCCGCGCCGTGTGTTCGTAGCTAAACAATTGCTGACAGACTTGCCTTCGACAGCGAGTACACCATTCAATGGCCAAACGGAGCAGTATAATAACATTGGGCCTAGGTGGATAGGCAACTCCCTTCTCTCTACTGCGTCGGGCCGCCAGTCATTCACAAGTCACCCGAGATACTATAACTGTTCGGATTGATTTGCTCAGAGTTGTAAGCATCGGATTCGAGCCCTGTGTTCATTCTTCCATCTAAATTTTATGGGGGGTACGGTCTCGTTTTGGATGTGGTGCGTACCCATGTCCTCAGCCGCTTTGCACTGGTCCTGTAAAAACCCCTCTATCCTCCCTCGATTCAATCCGGAGAGGTACGTCTACGCTTGGCCCCCTGGCCACAGCTACGTAGTCGGCACTGCTGACAGGTTTGTCTATTCAAGCACGCTTAAGGTACGCCCATAATAAATACTCCTGTTGACCTTTTACATAGTCGTGGACTACGACATCACAACGGTTTCCTCACGTTTCTTCGTTCGCATCTTTACATTCTACAGAGTTCTAGAGTTTGACAGACTCAACGAGCCCGAGTACGTCTATCTACGTCGAGTAATCAGAGTTTGGCTATGTAGATGAGCAAACACCAGTTGGTGCATCAAATGTTTACAAGCCTAGCTGACAAATATGACAAAACGGACACGATATTCAGCCTAAAAGGTACGAGGTGGACCCAGCGAAAAGGGAGAATTTCCGTAAAATCACGTAGTGACGTGGCTACACGTGGTCAGAGAAACAGAGTAAGGAGAACGCACAAAGAGAAGGAAATCTAGCTGCGCGGTATACCGAGTGAAGGCAAGTCTACTCAACATCTATATCATCTGTATCATCTGCATCATCTGCATCATCTGTAACTCCAGCAGATGATTCGGGGAGATAAGCAACTGTTATGATAGGTTTCATGAACTCGCCGTGTAGTAAGTGTTGCATCCTCTCCAACGCAGAATTGAGAGCCATAACCATGTCGCCATGCAATCCATCCATCTTCGGGATGCACCATCGAGGGTAGATCTTTCCATGACTACCACGCGTTCTAAATGTAACGCCACCCAGAGAAAAGTACTTGATGAACGCAGCACAAAGGAAGCAAGATAGCTTGCTACATCCGATATACGGGTATATTTCCTTGTACATGCTTTCACCGTATGCGGTCTTCGTGATGTAGAGGATGAGCTGAAGATCGGCGTGAGTGGGAAGAGGCTTCCGAGAGACTTTGCTCTGAAGTTGCGTGAACCTCCGTTCTGCCTTGGTGACGTTCAATTTTCTGCTGATATATTTCCCGACGCTGAGTGTACTCAAGGTCTGACCAAGGTGTCGCATCGCATCCACCAAAGGGGGTAATTTGCATGAGAGAGAACGGGGTTGGAGGTTCTCTACGAGAATTATAGATAGCTGGGCAAACCCTGGGATACACAGTGCTCCTTTCACGAGTGTAAAAAGGCAAGATTTCAAACGGCCCAAGAAGCAAATGTCGCGGAGGAGCTTATGCCCAACAGAAGCCTTGGGACAGGAGTTGATCAGTATCCTCAGAGATGCCATGCGTCGGATGGAATAGGTATGCTCGGCGAGAAGGCGCCGCTGGGCTGCTCCGTCGCTGGAGCACAAAATATTGTCAAGTTCGAGAATACGCTCCTGGGCGAGCCTCATGTAGACGGCATGAGTGTCCGCAGAGTAACCACCAATACCAGGATTGTCACAGAAAGTGGTAGACCCGATCCTATAGGGAGGGATGCTGGCGAGGGATCCAGCATTCTTGAATGCATTCAAGTTGTCGCGCAACCTCGCTGCATAAAAATTGAGGCGAGGTTGGTTATAACATAACAGTTCCTCCCAAAGCTCCTCTTTGACCGCAGATGTATCTTGATTGCACGAATCATCAAGTCTGACCTGGACGCAAAGAGGAACGAGCATACCGTATTGCTCTCCATGAACAGATGCACCAATAGTGGCAAGCAACCCTTCAAGCCTGCTACGGAATGCCCTGTCCAGATCCCCGAAATTGGTATTGCGAGCAACCAACAAGGAGATCTTGACGTCCTTGTCGAGGCATCGATCTCCAGACTCGCGGAATGCTGCACAGCAGACATGTTTTCCACCCTTCTTCCTCGACATCATTTCTGCAAACCTGTCTAAAAAGTGCTGCTTGAGTTTGTCTTCTTTGCTATCCCCAACGGAGTGTTTATTCCAGTGGATATCGATGTCAATCTCTACTCTTTCATCTGCTTCATCCTCGTTCGGTTCAAACTGGCCGCCGTTGCGCAGGGATAGGAGGTGGATGAGGCTGATGAATTGTTCGCGATTGTCCCACTGAAAGTTGGCCATACCAATGGAGTCCTCTCGAGAGAATCAGGCGATGGGACTGAGTAGGTTGAACGGATGCTAGCAAGGTGCAGCGTGTCAGAAGGCGTCAAATTGACGCCCATGGAAGGCCCGTAACCAAACGACATATCTGGGGTGGTACAGCGCCCTTGGCTGCGGCTGCAAAAAGAATTCGAGAACCTACGTTACGGGCCGCTCTCCTCCGATGACAAGAGTCGTCAGACTCAGAATCAGACACGATTCGGACTCGAAAGTAGGCACTCAGCCCGTTCCAGAAAACTTCTCCGAAGCGGAGGAGCCAGCTGGAAAGGTGACGAAGGAATTTGCAGTAGGGGAAGGAGAAGAAACGACCAGTTGCTCGTTCAACCTGGGAATGGGGTTGGTGCGGAAGTGAGTGATCTTTCTTTCGTTCCCTTGGTGTGCTGTATTGCCATACTCTTATCCTCACTTATACCTAGGGTTGTTCACATATAACACCGTGGGGCGACGAACGAACTCCGTTCCCGTATCCGCTAACACCGTATGCTCAGCGGGTACGGGTCGGTACCGACTCGTCGACCCGCGGTGTGGTACAAACCCGCAGGTAGTGCAGTCAAAGAGTACCATTCTACAATCACTGAGAGGTTGTAACTGACTAACTAGGAACCGTCACTTTAACGGATGTGTTGTGCGTTGGAAGGAAAGAAATGGACAAAACGTGTAGATGTGAGAGCACCAGCTCATTTTGTGCCACTAAGTGCGAGATATCAGCAACCAGCATTCAATTAGTTACAACCAGGGAGACATACCTAGCTCTACCTCGGGGTTTTCTTCGACACTAAGTTGATATAACTGAGATCGGAGTCATTGGGGAGGCAGCATCTCCATCATCCTTTTTTTTGGTACTGGCATCGTCAGCGCGATCTGTGTCAGCGACTAAGACTCCCTGTATCGTCGAAAATGTCAGGAAGGTATCCGACGACTTTGACCTTCTGCAAAGAGGGAGGAGCACCGATGGTAATCATACACTCCGAGGGAGTTGATGTGACTTTGGGGGCTGCAAAGCAACGTAAGCAGAACGACTTGAACAGAAATCGGAATCATTACCAGTTGTTGGCCCAAGCTTTTTCCACTCCTCCTTCTCTCGGCGTGTTAAAGCTGTTGCGACTACGCCAAGTCGAAGCGAAACTTGAGCAGCTTAGATGTCCTACAAACGATGCCCATGAACGAGCAATCGTCCATGGGCTTGCCGCGAAAAACCCATTCCCCCGTTGCTATGTCTTATCTCCGCATCACAGATCGCCTTGTCAATACACAATGCGACCCCTCCAAACGAAGGGCGAGCTGATTCGAGCGAAGCTCAGAATCGGGAGTGACGCAGATGAGATATTTAGTTTGAAAGAAAAAGCAGTGGGCTCGGGGCCGACAGAGGACTTGTGAGGATGTGAAGAAGAGGAAAGAACGTGCATGTGTGCGGAGGGGTGTTGGATACGTAGTCCATCCTCGTCTCACGCATTTCGCTAGGATCTGTCCTGTCAGTGGTTGGGCTGGGCCGAGCGTTAGCTCGGCGGAGGCGAGGCAGGCGGAGCCGCTCGGGAGGGCGGGTCACCTGCTCGCTCTGACAGGACTGCGTAGGCATAGCAGTAGCATTTCGAACAGTATGTAATTATTGGGCTAAGATTAGAACAGTGGCTGGGCTAATCTATGGCTGTGGCTATAGTGTGAAGAAGAGGGCGTGGTGGGTGGGTGAAAGGAATGACAATTGGGCGAGGAGCTGGAGTGGGAGCAGCGACGGTCTGTTGGGGGGTGTTCGTCTGATGCAGAAAGGCAGGGTGGCAGTGCTTCAGGCTTGTCGCTCGGATGGACATTTGCTACTGGAGGTAACCGGCATCTACACTATCCATCCTCGTCTCACGCATTTCGCTAGGATCTGTCCTGTCAGTGGTTGGGCTGGGCCAAGCGTTAGCTCGGCGGAGGCGAGGCAGGCGGAGCCACTCACCCATAGGCCGGAACCCTGCGGCTGTGTGCCTGCCAAATGCCCAACCCCGAGAGTGGAGGCCTCAGTTTCGGATACAGCATTAGCTAGGTGCTGGGACACAATTTGCTCAAAGGCTCGTATATATACTTGATAGGCTAGTGATTTCCACTGTCCGGCAATGTGAATGATTTCTGGGTTTACTTTCTTGGCAAGGAAGAAGGAGGCTCTGCTGATATGAAAGGAGTGGCCAAAGTGGTTCCCCCATCCCCATGCTGATAGGATGCTGTTGATGCACTCCATGGCATGGGATTTGGCCATGGGATGGGGAAGACCTGAGGAGTCCCTCCATGAGAATAGTGGGTCTGAGGCTGATGCTGGTGTGACCATGGCCATGTTACGAAGGGCTACCAGAGGGCAGAGACTACCCTGTTCGTTCAGGAAAACTGACTGTGATTCTCCGGGTTTGGCTGTTTTGGCTGTGGGTAGGTCTAAATGGGCATAGGGGGAGCCTCTGAGGTCTGTCCCGAAGAAGGCATTGCCTCTTGTGAGATGATGGCTTGGATTGAAGGCTGCACGCGATACTACAGACACTTCACCAAAACACATCATCCCAAAGAAGGCACATGTCAACATTGCCCAGATGCAGGCATCAAATGGGTCTGATAGGGTTAGTGAGGCTTTCAGGGCTGATAGCATAGCAATTGTGATAGGGGGACGAGGAGGGTGATGGCGACACACTCTGAGGTTCTCAAGGCCACAGAGAGACCAATTGATGTGCTCGAGGTGGGAGTCATCAAGTGGAGCAGGCCATCCTTGTGCAATGTGCCATGCTCGGACTGCTGATAGGTACTTATGAGCAACAGATGGTGCTACAGGTTCAAATGGCACAGAGGTGCCTGAAATTCCCAATTCAGGTGATGTGGGGTCTGAAGCTGCCCATATGGCAAAGGAGTGTAGTAGTGAGAAGGATGCTGGGAGGTGCTCAGCTTCGGGGATGGAGAAAATGTCACAGAAAATGTGGAATTTGTGGATGCCTGATCCATATGCTGCAGCATCACGTAGGGAGGCACAGGATGCAGTGGCTGCTATTTGCTGGATTATTGGATTGGCTATGGTGGCAGAGGGGGGAGTGTTGATGCCTCTCCACAGGAATAGTCGTTCTGCAGCTCTACATTCTGGATGAAGTGGGGATGGATTTAGCTGCAGTGCAGAGGTGTTTGTGGTAGGAGATAGCATCATTCCTATAAATATTCTAACATGTTGGCTAGGTAGGGGGGGATTGGGGGATAGACTTGGGTTGAGGCTGCTGGGAAGCCAGTGAGGAAACCCTTGACGTCGCCACAGGATAATGCATCGGCAATGTTGTCCCGACTGGGAACATGGATTGCCTGCACTGCTACGTCTAAGTCAGCTTGGAGAAGGTACAAGCAGCAGAGGACTTCGTTGATCTGATGGCTGCAGGAGCATCCCTTGTTGGTAACCATCACTACTCCTAAGTTGTCGGAGTGAACTAGTATATTGCAGTGATGTGAAAGTGCAGGTAGGCCAATGTATATAGCCATTAAAAGGCCTAGCTCTACAGAGACTGCTTTGGCCCATCCTATGTTGAAGGCCTGGTCTGGACCGACCTGGAATCCTGGCTTCCATTTCCATATGGCCCAGTAGGATCCTATTGTAATTCCAATTCCAAAGGAGGAGCTTGCGTCGCCCCACCAGTCGATGTCTATTGGGTCTGTATGACTCAGTGATATTTTGCTCTTTGATCGGGTTAATAAGGTATGTATCCATGGTAGATCGCTCCGCACATAGTGTGGAGATGCTCGTCGAGCACGCTGTGAGCGGAAGGATGTTGCGAAGATGGATAGTGAACACAGGAAAGGGTGGATTAGTGGGAAGATGCAGGATGCATGGACAAGTTTTCCGTGGAGGCTCTCAGTCTCTTTCTGAGTGTGCCGAGAGCCTGGGGCTAGCCAGCTCTCCAGTAGTTGGATGAGATGTGTCTGTTTTTCTGATGGTAGAGCTATAGTCTTTGTTTCGAGATCCCAGTTGAAACCAATATACCGCTGGCATGAGGCTAGTGGGCAAGTCTTTTGTTCGCTCCATGGCACGCCAGCAGCTGATGTTAGGTTTATGAAGTCGCATTCTGTCCAGGTCTGGTCTGGTGTGCAGAAAACTATGAAACCGTCGACCCATTTTTTTATTAGGCAAAAGCCAGCTTCATTGCAGATTGCAACTAGCATGTCCGCAACCGAGCCAAATACTCCGGCACTGGATGATAGGCCGAACATTAGCACTCTGTCTACATACACGAGACCTTGCCATGCTATGCACAGAGCTGCTTGTTGTGATGGGCAGACCGGGACAATGCGGTAAGCTGATTCTATGTCAAAGGTGGCTGCTAAGGAGCCCGGTGGTAGAGAAAGGACCAATGCAGCTGTCTCTTCGAAGGTTCCCCAAGCCGTTGGAAAAAGGTTTGCATTGATACCAGAATTGGTGGATGATGTCGATGGATCATCTCTGGGAAATGACAGGTCCTGGATTATGCAGAATTTGTCTGAGTTCAGCTTTGGCACTACGCCTAGAGGTGAGGTGTGAAAAGGGCCAATTAGAGCTTCGAGCTCGAGGGGCAAGAAGCCTCGTGAGTAGTGGCCAGCTCTCTGCTCTGAAGTAATGTATGCTTCGATTATAGTGGGGTGGGATAATGCTGAGCTGTGGTTGTCGAAATATACGGGTATGTGCAGGGGGTTCATGAATACCAACATCAAAGCCTGTCCATAGGCCAGAAAGGATATGGGACCAGTCACTTAGGATATCGTATTTACATAGTAAATTCTCAATGCGGTCAGGTATCAGAGGAGTTGTGATGCAGCATGGATCAGATTCTGGGGCGGCAGGATGCAGCTCCATGGGATGACTCACCACAGACTGAACAGCTGTGCACATTTCAACATTCAGGGCCAAATGAGCAGGAGGAGTGTGCAGCCCAGTTGAAGCAGAAGTGACAGCCATCAGGCACAATAAGGGTATGTTTGCTCTTTCCATTTGATGTGAGGGTTGCAACTGGTTTGCCTGCTGCAGTGGATGAGGCTGTGCAGCTGGATGGTAAGTGCCCTGAGTGGCCGCAGCAAAAGCAACAACCATGATTGTTGTTGGGATGCACTGGCCTTTTACAGGGGAAGGAAGGAAGGTCATTCGGTGCTGTGCACTTGGTGGTGGTGGCTATAGTCAAGCTCTGCGCAGCGAGGAGTGCACGGTTGTTTGCAATGGTTAAGGCTGCCATGTCAAGGCCTGTGAGGTCATGCTCTGGGTTTGCATGTGCAATCTCGCGCTGTTGTATATCATAGTGCATGGCCACTAGCCAGCTGTGTGATGCACTGATACCGGTGACCACTTGGTGGTGGGATGCCAGGGCATTGGCACGTTCTTCCCCATGGTGGAAGCGAGTACGCTCTTCTGCAGTGCATGCAGCGTTTATCCAATCTGCAGCAGATATGGACAGTTCATTCGCCCGATCGAGTGACTTTGTCGCAAAGCCCTCCGGTGTGAGGATATAAGCTGCATCCTCGCCTTTCATGTTCACTTTGGCACGGGCCGAAAGGGTTAAGAGGGAGTATGGTACATAACGGTACATTTTGAATGCTTCTTCAACTCTAGACGAGATTGCTGTGGAGTGCCAGTCAGACTGTGCTCGGTAGGTTCAGAGGTAACAATGGGCAAGGTCGTGGCAGTGTAGCAAAGTGGCAGTACGGTGGAAACAGTATTACAGTGAGCAGAAAACGGTTACAGTGTACGGTGACGGTTAAACGGTGTGGTGGCACGAAGGTGATAACCAATCCATTGTTTACAAATAGCATGGGAACAAGGTCAAGACTTACGAAGGCTTAAAGGGCTGACTTTGAGGCCCGGTCAAATTGGTGGGAGGACAATTCGTTTGGCATCCTCCTTGCGGGAGGTGGCGGCTTCGCAAATTCGCTCTAGGGTCATTGCATCGGCCACTAATGGTGTCTGAGTTCCAGCGTTATGGTTGCCTGGGGGAGTGGGCTGCTCCTGGTCGTGTCGGTTGTTGAGCTGATCCATTAAGGCTGCTATAATGGCTTCATATGTTGCTGGTGTTGGGGGGTCCAGGTTTGTTGTCGTGTGATCGGCCAGTGGGTCAGGGATATTGGCTTGGCTGGTTGACTGCGCTGGTGCGGTCAGCTGGACTTGTGGCTGTGCAGCCTGTGCTGCGTGGGGCTGAGTTGTCACTGAGTCTGATGACTCAGATTGGGTTGGTTGTTGGATGAGCGGCGGAGGGGGTGGTGCTTGGGACTGATTCCTGGTGGTTTGTCTGGTCTGCAGGTGCCCTGGCTGTGATGGCTGAAGGGTCTGATGGGGCGCTACTGCATCAGTTCCAGACACTGTAGTAGAAGATGGTGCACTGCTCGAAGGGTTTAGTTGGAGGCCTAGGTGTTGATGCATTGGGTTATTGTAGGAATAAAAGGAACGACGAGTGAATCGAAAGGAATGACAATTGGGCGAGGAGCTGGAGTGGGAGCAGCGACGGTCTGTTGGGGGGTGTTCGTCTGATGCAGAAAGGCAGGGTGGCAGTGCTTCAGGCTTGTCGCTCGGATGGACGTTTGCTACCGGAGGTAACCGGCATCTACACTAGGTGTTTTTGCTGGTTCTCTGCGGCGGTATTATGTAACGGACCCTCGCGTGCACCAATTCACCAGCATCCCTGTGTCTACAGTAGTAGATGGCCTTCCCTTCCTTAAACTATGCGGGAAAGTATGCAGAAGGCAGGTATCTTATTTTGAGTTATTGCGGGTGTGAAGCCGCAGACACGAACAAACTACGCTAGCGGAGTCGCACTTGACAACCATTTTACAAGCCCAAGATAACCATAAGTACTGTTGGCTGCTTCGAAGACTCAGTACTTAACCCCAGAGGTACGCGAGTAAAATCGAAAGGAAAAAGAAAACCAAGCATAAAAGAACACCCGGGGACGTGCCTGCCCGCCAAGTATTGTTACGTAGTGGGTAAATGTTGGTCATCAGCGTCTTGAACTCCTGCTCGAGGTTCGGGTTATGTCTGCGAGCCGAAATTATACAATCTACCCTTGATACAAGCTGCGCGCAATTCCATGGGATCGACCCTTGGAGACTCAAGGAGTTCTTTGTACACCGCTTTGAGAGAGAATATCTCTCGAACTGTCATGCAGTTGAAGAACCCGTAGGCCATAAAGACAGATAGCGGAGGGTCCACATCCTGCGAGTGAACGAAGTGTCTGAGGCGCCACACACTGGGCCGCAGATGGTTGCGCTTGATTTTCATAAAGTCCTCGAAATGCAGGACTTTCTTGCGTTCGGGTCCAAGCCCCTTTTCATCCATCAACCCAATGAGGTTGTTGGATTGAAACGCGGTCCAAAACTCCGTGAAAGAGCATCTAGAGATGAGACTCCTATACACCCCGAGTAAGACCTCCTCGCCCTCGAGGCCACGACCGGTCACGGAACCGAACTCGAAATATAAGTCACTGCACAAGGGTAGACTAGGATTTGGATGGTACTCGTTCAGTAGCAGACCATAGAGCAAAAATGAGTTGCGTTTCTCCACTGGCACTGTGAATCCGAAATCTTGCATAGTGTCGTAGTCAAGGTAACCCAAACGGTACATCCAGCACGCGCGGACGAGGCAGTCAATCAAACGGCCCAAGGCGAGAACGTCTGACAGAAGCCTATGTCGAATGGAAACCTCAGAGCAAGAATTGATAAATATCTTGAGAGAGTACATATTTCGGATGGCATAGGCGTGATCAGCGAGAAGGCGCCGCTGGGTGGCTCTGTCGCCAACGGAAAGAATAGCATCAAGTTCGAGGATATGCTTCTGCGCAAGCTTCATGTGGTCGTCATGAGTAGCCTTTGAGTACAGACCGATGAAAGGGTCGTCACAGAAAGTTCTGTGTTCAAAATCATTATTCTGTGACAGTTGAGGGGTGTAATGTGGAATGCTGTCCAGGGATCCAGCAGCTTTGAACGCCTTCAAATTGTTGCGCAAGCAATCCACATAATGATCAAGGCGGGGTTGGTTATAGCGCAATAATTCCTCCCAGAGCTCCTTTTTGACCACAGATATATCTACGATGCAACTATCATCCAGCCTGATCTAGACAAAGAACAGGCGTACCATCATCCGTATCATCTGTAACTCCAGCAAATGATTCAGGGAGATGGGTGGTTGATACGATGGGTTTCATGAACTCGTCGTGCAGCAGGTTTTGCATTCTCTCTAACGCAGAATCGAGAGCTGTAACCATGTCGTCATGCAATCTATCCATGTCCGGAATAGACCACCGAGGGTAGATCTTTCCGTGACTCCCACGCGTTCTGAATGCAACGCCATTCAGAGCAAAGTGCTTGATGAAAGCAGCACAAAGGAGGCACGATAACTTGCTGCATCCGATATATGGGTACATCTCTCTGATGTTTTCACTATACGCGGTCTTGGTGATGTAAAGGATGAGCTGAAATTCGGCGTGAGTAGGAAGAGGTTTCCCAGAGAGCTTGCTCTGAAGCTGCTCGAACCGCAGTTCTGCCTTGATGACGTTCCACTCTTTGCTAATAAATTTCCTGACAGTGGTCGTATTCAGAGGCTGACCTAGATGTTGCATCGCATCCACCAAAGGGGGTAATTCGTATGAAAGAGAAACAAGGTTGGAGGTTCTCAATGAGAATAATAGATAGTTGGGCCAACCCCGGTATATGCAGTGCCGCTTCCATGAACATACTGAAGGCAAGATTCTAAACGGCCCAAAAACAGGATGTCCCTGAAGAGCTTATGCCTAACGGAAGTCTTTGAGCAAGAGTTGATAAGTGTCTGAAGTGATCTCATGCGGCGAATGGCGTAAGTCCGCTCCACGAGCCGACGTCGCCAGGCTCTGCCTTTGGTACAAAGGATATTGTCAAGTTCGAGAATACGCTCCTGGGCAAACCTCATGTAGGCGTCATGGGTGTCCGCCGAGTAAGGGCCAATACCGGGATCGTCACAGAAAGTGGTAGGTTCAAAGTTGCCGTATGGCGGAAACTGAGGGTCAGAGCTATAGGGAGGGATGCTATCCAGTGATCCAGCACTTTTGAATGCTTTCAAGTTGTCGCGCAAGCTATCTGCATAATGATCGATGCGAGGTTGGTTATAGTGTACTGACTCCTCCCAAAGCTTCTTTTTGACTTCGGATAAATCTAAGATGCCAGGAATCATCAGTTCAAATTCTCCTGTGGGGCACAGCAATGCACATACCTCTAATCTCATCATCCGCAGACGCCCCGATGGCAGCGAGCAGCTCCTGAAGTGTGCTACAGAACTTCTTATCGTGATTCTTGAAAGCAACATTACGAGCAATCAACAAGGAAATCTTGACGTCCCCATCGAGGCGTCGATCTCCTGACTGGCGCAATGCTACACAACAAACGTGCTTTCCACCCTTGTTTCGTGACATGATCTCCGCAAACCTGTCCAGAAAGTGCTGCTTGAGTTCGTCTTCTTTGCTATCCCCAACAAAGGGTTGGTTCCAGCGGTTATCAACGTCAACCTCTACTCCTTCATCCGCTTCCTCGTCGTTCGGTCCAAGCTGACCGCCGTTGCGTAGGGATAGCATGTTGATGAGGCTAATAAATTGTTTGTGGTCTTCCCACTGAAACTTGGCCATACCGATGGTATCCTCTCGAGGGAAAGAGACGATGAGCTGACTGGGTTGAGGGTTCGGTGAGATGACTAGCAGGATGCAGCGTGTCACGAGGTGCCAGATTGATGCCTATGGAAGCTTCCAGATGTCCACGAGTCTACCCAAATCTAGAACGAAACAACATATCTGAGGTGGAAGGGTAGCTGCAGGACGAGCGCAAGAACCTGCGTTACACACCGTTTGTCCCTGTGCACACGCTGCAGTGGTGGCTCTCCCTTAATGAAACGAGTCATCATACTCAGACTCAGGCACTGAAAATAGGCGCTCAGCGTCTTCCAGCAGGCCGTTCTGAAGAGTCGGCTGGACAGAGGAGCAGATAGAAGAATTTGCAAGCGGGGAAGAAGCCTCAGAAACTGGAGCGAAAAGTTGATGGCCGTCCCACCTGAGAACGGAGTTTGCGGGGAAGTGGGTAGTCTTGCTATTGTCTCCTTAGCATGCATGGTGGACTATAAGTTACCGTTCGTTGTGTCATTCTCTCCCCATCCTTTCGCCATGCCCTACGTCCAAATTAAACCACACAATGCAACCCCACCAAACGAAGAGCGAGCTCACTCAGGCAAAGCTCGGGTTCAGGAGTGATGGAAATGAGATGTTTGGTCCGGAGGAGAAAGCAGTGAACTCGGAGCAAACAGAGGACCCTAAGAATGTTAAGAACAGCAGAAACCGTGGATATATTCGAGGAGCGGCTGTTGAACACAGTATATTTTTGCTGGCTTCCACTTTGCTCATTCGTCTGTCCATTAATGGACCCTCGTGGATAGTAAGCCGTATCGACTTCGTTCATATTACTGCGCCGAGCCGGCTATCGTTCAAACGTTCATGGCCAGTGACCGCGCGTCCCTATCCTCGCACGTCCTCCCGGATCTAATGGCGGCTGTCACCTTACGTGGAATCGCCAATGCAAGAAATCCTAGGTCCCTTCGTACTGGTGTGCTTGGTATGCCTTATCCTCCCTCGGGTGAGTCCAAACCACACGCTGTTTCCGCTTGACGAATCGACGATTGGATACCTGCAATTTATAAATAAAATTTCTCGTGTGGGCGCGAGATGTCGAGGTGGACTCAGTCTACTAGGGGGAATCGTCGCTGGTTCGCACCATTCGTTAGCTACGGTAGCAAACAGTCAACCCTCCTTCCTCTTCCTAGACAATAGTACTACGAGCAAGTATCCTGAGGGTTGATATCTTTTGAGAGTGACTTCAGGCGTCAAACCGCGGACACAGACAAACTACATTGAAGTCACACAATCGACGCCGCGTACTACACCTCCCTCAACATCCATTTTACGTACCCAAGATGGCCATACGTAGTCGAGCCAGGATTGGCTAGTTCTACACAGGGTAAACTCGGCCCGGAAGGTACGTTAAACTTGAAGTAGAATCGAAAGGAAAGAGAAGGCAACCAAGAGCATGAGTATACCCCAAAGGCACGTAAATAGAATCGAAAGGAAAGCGAGGGCAACCAAGAGCTTGAGTGTGCCCCAAAGGCACCTAAATAGAATCGAAAGGAAAGAGAAAACCAAGAACATGAGTGTACTCCAAAGATTCGTAAATGAAACCGAAACGAAGAAGAGAACCAAGAACAAAAGAAAACTTGGGGACGCGACTGCCCACTGCGTATTGTTACGTAGTGGGTAAATGTTGGTCATCAGCGTCTTGAACCTCTGCTCGAGGTTCGGGTTATGTCTGCGAGCGAAATTGTATAGGTTACCCTTGATACAAGCCGCGTGCAATTCCATGGGGTCGACCCTTGGAGACTCGAGGAGCTCTTGATACACCTCTTTGAGAGAGAATACCTCTCCAACTGTAATGCAGTTGAAAAACCCGTAGTCCATAAAGACAGATAGCGGAGGGTCCACATCCTGCGAGTGAACGAAGTGTCTGAGGCGCCACACACTAGGCCGCGGATAGTTGCGCTTGATTTTCATAAAGTCCTCGAAATGCAGGACTTTCTTGCGTTCGGGTCCAAGCCCCTTTTCATCCATCAACCCAATGAGGTTGTTGGATTGAAACGCGGTCCAAAACTCCGTGAAAGAGCATCTAGAGATAAGACTCCTATACACCCCAGGTAAGACCTCCTCGCCCTCGAGGCCACGACCAGTCACGAAACCAAACTCGAAATATAAGTCATTGCACAAGGGCAGACTAGGATTTGGATGGTATTCGTTCAGTAACAGACCATAGAGCAGGAATGAGTTGCGTTTCTCCACCGGTACCAATTGGTGGAATTCCCTGCCCCTATCCGCCGGTTTGAGATACGGCCTGGCAATCTTCAGGAGCTCGAGGTTGGGGGGTCCGCTTCGTGAGTTGAACACGCCGAAGGTCTTATGGAACCATCGATAACACTCGCTGTGACGATTCTCCGGAATCGCTTCATACTTGGCCATTATATTTTCTGTCAACGTGCCTTCCTTTTGCCACTTACGCAACTCCCGGCTTTCAACTCCCAGAGAAAGGGTGAGGCCAACATACAGGCCAAAGAGTCTCTCTACATCGTAGACCGACGAACACTTTGTGAATCCGAAATCTTGCCGAGTGTCGTCATCAAGGTAACCCAACCAGAGTGTCCGGCAGGCCCGAACGAGGTGGTCGGCAGTGTCGGGTCGACCCATGGCGCACTCGGAAGTATGTCCATAGTAGCACTCGTTCTCGCAGCGTTCGCTGCACATCCATGGGCCACGACATCTAGAGCATTTCCTTGCTGTCTCTCGCTCGCAATGTCTACATTCACCGGAGAGCCCAGGGGTTTTGCGATGCTCAAGAGCTCTGAGTGCATCGCGGGTTCCCACTTCGACTGGACCAAAATTCCTACAAATAACACAGTTGGCACTCACGATTGGTTGCGCAACAGGAGTACGCACCTGATCAAATTCTCCGGTGCACCTGCCCTGAGGAAATCGAACTCACGTTGAGCAGCCGGATTTCGGTGATATTGACGCATGAAAGGTGGTTGGGGATTACAATCCGTAACTCCAGCCGGTGACTCGGCAACATGAGCAGCTATCATCACAGGCATCATCATCTCGCGGATGAGGAGGTTCAGCATCCTGATCAACGCAGCGTGGAGGAAAGCAACAATGTCTTCGCACAACCCATCCATATCCGGGATGGACCACAGCGTGTAAATCTTCCCGTGACTGCCACGAGTCGTGAACGTAACGCCATGGTGATTAAAAGACTCCAGGAACGCTGCGCAGAGAAAGCAGGACAACTTGCTGCATCCAATATATGGGTATACTTCCCTGTTCACGGTGTCGATATCCACCGTCCTTATGATATGAAAGACGAGTTGAAGTTCCGCATGGGTTGGGAGATGTTTCCGAGAAATGGTATCTTGAAGCTGCTTGAAAGCGCGTTCCGCACTGATGACGTCCAACTTTTCGCTGATGAATTTCTTCACTGAGGTTGGATTCAAGGTCTGACCAAAGAATTCCATCGCATTTGCCAAAGGCGGCAAAGCGGCTGGACAGTTACGAGGTGCCGGGCTCTTCACAAAAATGATGGATAGATGTGCAAATCCGGGAACATTGAGCGCCGCTTCCACGAGTGTATAATAGCAGGACATCAGATGACCCAAGAAGAGGATGTCCGAGAGAAGCCTATGCCCGGCGGAGAAGTTGGGGCAGGAATTGATAAGTATCCTGAGAGATTTCGCACGTCGGACGGAATAGGTGTGCTCAGCGAGTAGGCGTCGCTGAGTGGCTCTGTCTCCAGTGCAAAGAATGGTATCCAGTTCGAGGATATGCTTCTGTGCAAGTTTCATGTAGTCGTCATGAGTAGCCTCTGAGTAAGGACCAACACAAGATTCGTCCCAGAAGGTTCTCTGTTCAGAATAATCACTCTGTGGCTGAGGGGTGTAAAGGGGAATGCTGTCCAGGGATCCGGCGGCTTTGAATGCCTTCAAATTGTCGCGCAACCTATCCGCATAAAAATCAAGTCGAGGTTGGTAAAAACGTAGCAATTCCTCCCAAAGCTCCTGCTTGACCGCAGATATATCTGGGACGCACGTATCATCAAGTCTGATCTGAAGGCGGAAAATAACGGGCGTACCGTTTTGTTCTTCGTAAACCGATGCGCCGATAGCGGCAAGCAGCTTTTCAAGCCTGCGACGGAATTTTTCATCCACATGCTCGAAATTAACATCACGAGCAACAAAGAGGGAAATCTTGACGTCCCCGTTGAGGCATTGATCTCTGGACTCGCGGAGCGCTACAGAGCAGACATGTTTCCTGCTCTTAAATCTCAACATTATCTCCGCGAACCTGTCCAAGAAGCGCTGCTTGAATTCGTCTTCCTTACCACTCCAAACAGTTGAGTCGTCCCCACAAAGTTTATCGTCTTCGTGTTCCTCTTCCTCCTTGTTGCTCGGTTGGAGTTGGCCACCGTTGCGCAGAGATAGCAAGTTAACTAGGCTAATGAATTGTTCAGGGTTGTAGAACTGAAACTTGGCCATACTGGTTGGGTCCTATCGGGGGAATCGACGAGAGAACCAGAAGAACGCCGTGAGTCAGAATATATGTATGGAACGCCGCGTGGAAGTTTCCATGTGGTCCCATGAGATCTAGAATCGAACCACACACCTGCGGCGAAAGTTCAATGAATCAACTACGCCGTGTATATGGACTTACGGCGGAAACTGTCACTGGACGCATACCGAAATGGCCTGCATCCCCGTTGAAGAATGTAGATTGTCCTCAGCACCGGGGGACGGCGTAGCCGCCGGAGACCTTGCTTCCATCGGGGTAGATGTAATGGGCAAGGTTGTCCATACGTACCCTTCAATGAGCCATATACAGATTTATTGCCTGCGCCATACGAGTGTGTAGGGGGATAGCTGTTAGTGACTGGGTGCTTAGGCGTGTGTTTGGTGGTGTGTAATGTTCTGCACGCAGGGCTTACGCGGGCCCGGCCGTTGCGGAGCCGGCACACGGAGTAGTTGAGCGTCGAACGGCTATTAAGGTAACTATGCGAGTTCTACCCCAAGAGTGTACAGGTACCGACTGGTATAATACAGAGCAGACAATAGAATAGTACAGGGACGCAACCTCCAATCCTCACAGGACTTCTCGATTGTACAGGGCAGAAGCAAACCAGGCCATCAAGCCCAGCCATTACTTTTTCACGTGGACGATACGAACATTTTGTTGACCCAAGGTAGACATCATATTTTGAGCGACTTCAGCCGTCAAACCATGGATCTCGACGCGTTCCGCGCACATGCCAGCCCATTCAACGTTGCCGGGGAGTGGATAGGAGTTGGTCATCAACCTCTTGAACCTCTGCTCGAGATTCGGCTTATGTCTACGAAGGAAATCGTACAGTTTTCCTTTGATACAAGCCGCATGCAACTCCATGGGGTCGACCATTGCCAACAGCTCCTTATACACTCCTTTCAAAGAGAATTTTTCTTCAACTGTTTTGCAGTTGAAAAATCCATAGTCCACAGTGACATATCGCGGAGGATCCACATTTGGGGAGTGAACGAAGAGTCTGAGGTGCCACACAGTAGGACACCAATCGTTGCCTTTGATCTTCATGAAGGCCTCGAAATGCTGAACTTTCTTGCGTTCCGGTTCAAGCCCTTTTGCATCCATCAACGCGACGAGGTTGTTGGATTGAAATGCAGTCCAAAACTCCGTAAAAGTGCACTCGGGAATGAGTTTCCTGTATACCCAGGGTAACACCTGTTCGCCTTGGGAGCCACGGCCAGTTACGAAGCCGAACTCAAAGTAGAGCTCTTTGCAGATCGTGTCAGGCTCGATAGAGGGATTTGGGTGGTATCCGTTCAAAAGCAGGGCATACAGTATGAACGACTTGCGTTTCGCTTCTGGGACCAACTGGTGGGGATCTTTCTCCCTATCCGTTGGGTCGAGGTATGGTCTGGCGACCGCCAAAATGTCGGGGGTTGCGCCTCGCGAGTTAAAGGTGTGCAGATTCTCACGGAACCATGGATAGTACCCGCCACGATGGCGTTCGGGTATGGCCTCGTATTTTGCTGTGATGTTTTCCGTCAGCGTGCCTTCTGTTTGCCACTTGTGCAATTCACGGGTTCCAACTCCCATACGGGTAAGGCCGACATAAAGACCAAAGAGTTTCTGCACATCGTAAACCGATGCAAACTTCGCGAATCCGAAATCTTCCTTGGTGTCTTCATCAAGGTCATCCAACCAGTCCGTCCAACACGCCCGGACGAGGTAGTCGGCAGTATCAAGAGGCCGACCTATGGCACACTTGAAAGTATGTCCATGGTAGTCCCACTCGTTCTCGCAGCGTTCACTGCACAGCCACGGCCCACGACATTTAGAGCATTTCCTCCCAGTCTCGCGTTCGCAGTTTTCGCATTCTCCAGAAAGCTCTGGAGTTTTTGAACGCTCTAAGGCAATCAGTACATCATAGGTCTCGACTTCTTCGACTGGGTCAAAATTCCTACACATTACATGGTTGGTACTCATGGGTGACTGCAGAACCAGACCAATTACCTAGCTAAAATTTTGGGTGCATTTGCACTGAGGGAATCGAATTCACGTTGAGCAGCCAGAGTTTTGTGATATTGATGGACCAAGGATGATTGGAGGTTATAGTCCGTAACTGCAGCCGTTGATTCGGCGACATGAGAAGCTACCGTAATAGGCTTGATCATCTCGCGAACAAGGAGGTTCCGCGTCTTCTTCAGCGCGGAATGGAGGGCGGCGACCATATCTTCACAAAGCCCATCCATGTCCGGGATGGACCACAACGTGTAAATCTTGCTGTGACTTCCGCGAGTCCTGAACGTAAACCCATCGTGATCAAAGGACTCGAGGAAAGCTGTACAAAGAAAGCAGGATAACTTGCTGCATCCGATGTACGGGTATGTTTCCCTGCTCATGGTCTTCACGTCAACCGTCCTTGTCATATAAAGAACGAGCTGAAGCTCCGCATGGGTGTGGAGATGCTTGCGAGAGAGATTGTTCTGAATTTGTTTAAAATTTCGTTCTGCACTGATGACGCTTGACTTCGGGTTAATGAATCTCTTAACCGAGCTCGGATTCGAGCTCTGACCCAGGTATTTCATTGCATCTGGCAAAGAGGGCAAAGTGGCCGGACAGACGCGAGGTGGAAGGTTCTTCACAAGAACGATAGATAGACGAGCAAATCCGGTAATGTTGCGCGCCGCTTCCACGAGTGTGTAATAGCAGGACCTTAGGCGGCCCAAGAAGAGGATGTCCGAGAGAAGCCTACGCCCAACGGAGGCTTTGGGACAGGAATCGATATATATCCTGAGCGATTTCATATGTCGGATGGAATAGGTATGCTCAGCGAGCAGGCGTTGTTGGGTGGCTCTGTCACCAGCGGAAAGAATAGTATCAAGTTCGAGGATATGCTTCTGTGCAAGCTTCATATAGTCGTCATGAGTAGCCTCCGAGTACGGACCGATACAAGAGTCGTCACAGAAAGTTGCGTGTTCAGAATCATCATTCTGTGGTGGCTGAGGAGTGTAATAAGGGATGGTGTCCTGGGATCCAGCAGCTTTGAATGCTTTCAAATTGTCGTGCAAGCTATCCGCATAGAGCCCCAGACGAGGTTGGTTGTAACGCACTAGCTCCTCCCACAGCTGCTGTTCAATTGCGTGTGGGCCTACGATGCACGCATGATCAGTTCAAGGGCTGTCACGAACGACACTAACGTGCATACTGATTGTGTCATCGTACACGGAAGCACCAATGGCCGCGAGTAGCCTTTCAAGAGTGCGAAAGAATTTCGCATCCTGCTCGTTGAAAGTGTCATTACGGGCAACCAGCAGCGAAATCCTGACGTCCTCGTCGAGGTGTCGGTCCCCCGACTCCCGGAGTGCTACACAACAAACATGTTTTCCCCCCTTGTCTCTTGACAGAATCTCCGCGAACCTGTCCAGAAAGCGTTCCTTGAGCTCGTCTTCCTTGCTATCCCCAGTATCCGAATTGCCTCCGTTGAAGTCAACGTCAACCCCGACGTCTTCGTCTTTTGACGTATTTCCCGGTCCAAGCTGTCCGCCATTGCGTAGAGACAACAGATTCGTTAGGCTGATGAATTGTTCGAGATTTTCCCACTGAAACCTGGCCATGTCGGTTGAGTCCTCTCGAGAACGTCAGACGATGGGTTGACTGGGTTGAGGGGACTCAATGAAATAGCAACCAGCAGGATGCAGCGTGTCAGAATACAATAGATTGACGCCCGAAGAAGTTTCCATGGGTCCCATGAGGCGACCCAAGATCTGGAAACCAACCACACATGTAAAGGAGTTCCATTGACTGCGCTGTGTATATGGACTTGTCGGACATCTTGAAATGACTTCCCTCCTTGTTAAAATCCGAAAACTGCAGATCGTCCTCAGTTGTGAACAGCTACTGCAGAACCGGAGAATTTGAAAGTCGTACCTCAGATAGCATCTCTTCAACATTCCCGACGTCGTCACCTAGTCTCCCGTTATAGGCAGACCCCAAAGACTCGACAGACGACAATTGTTTTGCGAAAGAAAGGAGGCGAGAGGTGCATATGAACCTGCAGTACAGGCTGTCGGACAACCTTTCCAATTTGAACTGTAATGCTCGCACTCGAACGGGGACTCTGAAGCCTCGGCCTCCCACGGTGGATGTCCGTTTCCACTGAAGAAACGAGGATTTGATCGGACGTGAGTGATCATGCTTTCGTTTTCTTGACGACTGGTTTGGTGTGGATGTTGTACTGTGGCAAATGGCACATCCTTCCTACCCTCTCGATGAGATCGTGGATACTCGTAGCAACTTCGTACGTCTTCCTCGACTTCACTTGCGGCGACCTCGGTATCCAAGTTTGAGTGAAACATAGTCACAGGAGACACCAATCGTCGTCGTCATCGTCTACATCGCGAACACAAACTACAAACTGCCGCAAAAAGAGTCTCATAACATACACCGTGTATTGCAACTTCATTGACATCCATTTTGCACATGGAGCACACGTACAATCAACGCGGAAGCCATATAAATAGAAACGCAAGAAAAGAAAAGAAGAAGAGAGCCAAAAACAAAAGAAAACTTGGGGGTTCGACTTCATCCGGTGCACCGGCACCTACCCCCTTGATATCGCTAGGTATCGTGTAAATGTTGGTCATTAGCCCCTTGAACTTCTGCTCAAGCAAAGGTTCACGTTGACGAGCAAAGTCATACAGCTTTCCCTTGATGCAAGCCGCATGCAAATCCATGGGGTCGACCGTTGGAGACTCGAGCAGCTTTCCATATATCTCTTTAAGAGAATTTGTTTCTTTGACTGTCTTGCAGTTGAAAAACCCATAGTCCGCAGTGACTTGTAGTGGAGTATCTATATCTGGAGATCTAACGAGGAGTCGGAGGTGCCACACAGTGGGACACCAATCGCCGCGCTTGATCTTCAAGAACACCTCCAGATGCTGAACTTTGCTGCGCGCTCCTTTAAGCCCCTTCGCGTCCATCAGCGTGATGAGGTTCTTGGATTCGAATGCAGTCCAAAACTCCGTGAAAGAGCATTTGGAGATGAAACTTCTGTACACCTTCGGTAGCACCTGCTCGCCCTCGGAGCTGCGACCAGTTACGAAACCGAACTGGAAATACAGGTCCTTGCAGGCCGTGTCAAACTGACAAGCTTTGGGGTCGTTTCCGTTCAACAGCATAGCGTACAGCACAAATGACTTGCGCTTCGCCTCTGGCACTAGGTGACGGAGCTCCTTCTTCCTATCTTCGGGGTCGAGGTATGATCTGGCAACCTTCAGGAAGTCGGGAAATTCGTGTTGCGGATTAGAGACGCCCCAGTTACCACGGAACCATACGGGGCACTCGTCACGAACGTGTCTGGGCATCACTTCGTGCTTGGCCACGATAATTCCTCTCAGCCCGTTTTCCACTTCTAATTCATACAACCTCCGACTTCCAACCCCCAAACCCCTAGCGTCTCCACTGGGGTCACGCAATAACCCTCCCGGAGAGGCCTGAACAAACCCGTGAGCAGTGTCGAGAGGTCGACCTATCACGGAATTGGAAGCATGTCTATAGTAGTCCGGCTCGTCAGAGTTCACTGCGCAACCACAGGCCATGGCATTTGGAGCTTTGCGTCGAAATTTCAGACGTGGCTTCTTCACATTCTTCGGAAACCTTTGAAATCCTGGCAGGTTCAGAAGCCCCGTCTGCATTGCAAATCCCCAATCCTCTAACCAGATCAGAACTAGTAAGTACAACAGTCAGTATCCATGACCGGCACTTAACGCGGGCACCCACCTGGCAGGGTTCTCGAATGCATCAGTGCTTGAGGAACCAACTTCGCGCTGGGCAGGCGGATATTTATGGTGTTGATGAGTGAAAGACGACTGGTTGTCATGAACTGTAAATCCAGCAGATAATTTGGGGGTATAAGTAGCTGATGTGAGAGGTTTGAACATCTCATGGAGAAGAGATTCCCGCATTTTTTTCACTGCGGAATCGAGAGCAGTGACCGTATCGTCACGAAGTCCATCCATGTCTGGGATGGACTACAGCGTGTAGATCTTCCCGTGACCTCCACGAGTCCTGAACATACTGCCGTGGTGACGAAAGGAATTGAAGAAAGCGGCACAGAGAAAGCAGGACAACTTACTGCAACCGATATACGGGCATAACCTCGAGGTCTGCTATTTCTGCGAACGCCTCTGTGTGCTAACGACGCTTGAATTTCTGCTGATGACATTCCTCACTGAGAGTGGGTTCAAATCCCGCCAAAGAATTTCATTGCATCAGTCAATGGGGGAAGAGTGGACGGACAGACGCGAGGCCGGAGGTTCTTCACAAGAACAATGGTCAGTTGGGCGAATTCTGGAATCTTGAGAGCAGCATTCACGAGCATATAATAGCACGACCTTAGACGGTCCGAGGAACGGATATCCAAGAGCCTATGCCCGGCAGAAACCTTCGGGAAGGAAAGGAGGAATATCCAAAGAGATCGCATTCGCCGAATGGAGTGGGTACATTCAGTCAGGCGGCGTCGTTTAGCTGTACTATCGCCTGAGCAAAGAATGTTATCTGGTTCAAGAATACGCTCCTGGACAACCTTCATGTAGGCCTCGTGAGTTGCCTCTGAGTAAGGTCCGATGCGATGGTCGTCGCAGAAGGTTCTGCACTCGGAGTCATTATAAGAAAGGATGCTGTCCAGAGATCCACTAGTCTTGAACACTCGCAAATGTGTGCATAGCCTATTCGCGTCCTTATCGAGGCGAGGTTGGTTGTAGCACACCAACTCCTTCCAAAGTTCCGTGCGCTTGACCTCACGGATACTACCTACAACATGAGTCGAAGATCTGTGGGGCATGATAACGGGGCATACTGTCTGTTTCTTCCTGCACGGACGCGCCGATATCAGCGAGCAGCCTTTCAAGCTTGCCACAAAATATCACATCCAGCTTCTGGAAACCGTGATTGCGAGCAACCAGCAAGGATGTCTTGACACCCTCGCCAGGGTATCGACTGGCTGACTACTGGGGTGTTGCACAACAAACGTATCCGTTGTCTCTCGACATGATCTCCGCGAACCTGTCCAGAAAATGTTGCTCGAGTTCGTCTTCCTTGCCATCCCAAGCAGCTTGGTCGTCCCCACAGACGTCGATGTCTTCGTGATCCTCTTCTTTCCCGGTTGGAGTTGGCCATCGTTGCGTAGGGATAGCAAGTTGACCAAACTGATAAATTGCTCAAGGTTTTCCCACTGAAACCTGGTCATACTGACAGAGCCCCCTCGACAGAGTCAATCGGGGGGCTGGCTAGGGACTCGATAAGATCGTGTTAGAAGACTCAGCGGATTGACACCAGCGGGGGTTTTCGTGGGTCACCAAAATCTACACTATTTAGTATCAATCGGCGCATCCCGCCCGCATCTACGGCGAACGGGCGATCATTCGAGCGTGGGTGACTACAGCTGCAAGAGGTATTAATGAGTGCAACACGACAGCATTGGATCTCAGTGTTGGCCATTTTGACATTGGCCTGTAGCGTCGGACCGGCGATCGTTCCTGGCCATTCGAGATGCCGTAGGTATTCGAATTCCCTCAGGGAATATAGCACGCTGGTGGTGAATGTTCTTGTGCCCATCCGTCTCCCTGAATTTAATGGCAGGTGTCGCCTTGCATGCAACAGCCTGGGTTCCTTCGAATTGTTGCCGGAAGAATGTCTTTCTCACAAATCCGGCATCCCTGTATGCATTCGTTCGTGGTCACTGCCACGGGTATTCGAATATCCAATAGATTGATGCCCGTAGAAGTTTCCATTGATGCCCGTAGAAGTTTCCATAGATCCCATGAAGCGACTCCAAGAACCAGAACCGAACCACACACGTAAGGGAGTTCCATTCACTGTGCTGTGTACTTGAAATAACTTGCTCCCCGGTTGAAATTCGAAAACGGACGAGGAGCTGTCAGCCTGCCACCTAAGAGCAATTTCACACTATCAGAGTCATAACCAGCCAATTCTAAGAATGCTATCTTGCCATTCCCTTGTACAGGCGATTCTGTCACTGACCCGCTTGCCACCCAACAGTAATTCACACCATCAGAATTACGACCGGAAAAATAGGACCCGTTACGATCACCGTGTACTCATCACTTCTGTGGCTGCTCGAGCAAGGGCCGAGGAAGCAGTGGAAATCGCGCGTGCCCACCAAGACGTTACATTCAACCCAGAGGCCGCACCTTCCATTTCTCCCAGTCTTCAATGCAAAAAGTCAAGATGCTGTGTATCGCTGGGAGCAGTCATTAATGCTGACACGGGCGGAATCATCGAGAGCACTAAGTCAGGGACGACGACTACGACGACGTATCCCTTCAATTCCCATCTGAACCCTACCGCTCACTCGGCATGTATGTCAAATCCCAGCTATCTCCTGTTATTGATGGACTCATCCATGTTTGGGGCCTGCCGTGGTTCATGCTGTACGATCATTCATAGAAGCCTCTGTAGCGTAACCTCGAGTCAGCAGAGCACAAATTATGAATGTAGAGTACCTCAACAGGGTAACTACATACTAGATATCCACTTCCACGCACAGCTTTCGTTTACATACTCCAAACACCAGTTTACTCCTCAGCATCAATGGGGATATCGGACGTAGCATCAATACTGGGATCAGCACCAACGCTCGCAATGACATCCTTGCCTCGTGCTGTCTTGGCTTCACAGTCAAGGACGAACAGTTTCATGGATGCCACTAATCCGGTCAGATGATCGTCTCTCGGGAGAAATCCGACGAGCTTATCGATCTGGAGTAGTGTATTAAATAACTCATCCCCTTGCTTTACGCGCACATCGGTATTTTCGTTGGTGTCTGGGGAGGACACCTCGAAGGCTTCGTCAGCGAGCGGGAGCGCATGAGAACCACCAAAGTCCCAGTCGAGAATCGCCAGTATACGGCGGGGGGAAGAATGGCTAGGCGTTGCATTAACTTCGCTCTGAAAGACTTCCAAGAGAAAGTAGAACATACCTCACCATGACATTCCGCCCATGTAAATCGCCATGCCGCAACACGAAGGGGTAATTGCAGTCGTATGGCTGTGCCATAAAATCATCCCTCTTGCTCTTTACAAGTTCGAATGCCTCCTCCAGCGTCAAACTGCGAAGGCACTCGCTCATATCCTTCCTGTACTCTGCTTCGTAAGCCGATAGTGTACCTTTGCGCAGCATTTGATCCATATGATGGAATTGACGGTCGAAGACGGACTGAACGTATTCACGCACGGATTCGTACCTGTTTAAAGTTGAGTACACAACGCAGATGTGAGCGAAAATGGTCATCGAAGCACTAACGGCCCAATACTGTATAGACCGAAACCGTCAACTACTCCCTGTACGAGGCTCAGCATCTGCGGAGCTATACGGTCAAGGTAAACATACCTTCCCACTCGCGGCATCCCTGTCATCGACTAGAGGACAGGAGGAACCATCTGGGGTGATTCCTCCGATCAACTTGAAGCTCGTCTTTGTCCTCATCGTACGCATTATCTCTACGACTTGGTTGACCATATTCTGCTTTTCCTCCTCTGGAAGGTCCAGCCACACGTTGTTCAGGGTATCTCCATCGATATATTCCATGGCAATGAATTCCGATCCATAAGTGCAGTTATAAGCGTAGATGGCTGGAGTGGGTATGTTGAGATCGGGGTGTTGCTGACAGTACATCATACAGCCCACAGCTGTACAAGTCTGCCATCGGGAGATGGTATCCGGATCAATTGGAAAGCGCAAAACAAAGGGAAAGGGGCGGCCAGATTCACCAATGTCGAGGTTAAGGATATGTACAAAGTTGTAACCCCCCTCGATAACATCGATTCCTTCTACTCTAGAGACGAGTTTCGAGGACAGAATCTCAGTGGGACTCGATACAGAGGCGAAAAATTTCCTCGCTGAATCAGGGATGCTGGTGAGAGAATCAGTGATGGACGGTGGAGGTTTAAGAGGGACGTCATGATCCAATAGTAACTGGAGTCCGGATGAGCGGATTGCGCCTTTCGGGATGTTCATTTTATGCAATGATAGCCTGCATCAGGAAATGAATAAAGCTATAGTCACGTGACCACTCACCGGGGATGAACTTGGCTCATGTGCCTCAATACTCAACTATCTGTAAATGGTAATTAGTTCCCATTCAACAGCCATAATTATTGATAATTTTGTGGCTAGTGCAGTGCGACCTCTACGCAGAATTGACGGTGGCCTCTCGCGTTTTAGACATTGTAACCTAGGTTGAATTCAATCGTTCCAGAGTCTTGAAGGCAATCTAACACTTTCCGTTACCCGAAGTTGCTTAGTTTGCTGAAAAAGAGGAGTACCCCTGGTGGGTGCCAGGCATCCTGCTTATTGGTATCAAGGGCTTGCCTTCAGATGGTCACATTGCGGTATCCTCGCAGCATCCTGTGCCGTAGTTTGCTAACACGGCCATTCGAGATGCCGTGGGCTTTCGAATCTCCTCAGGGAACGTAGCGTGCCAGTGGTGAATATCCCTGCGCCTATCTGCTCCCCTGAATTTGACGGCGGTTGTGTGCGGCACGGAATGGCCTGGCCTCCTTTGGATTGGTTCTGGAAGAATGCCTTTCCCAGAAAATCTGGCATCGTATACGCACTCGTTCGTGGTGCGGATAATGCGAAGAAACATAGAAGGAACCTAGCATACACAGGCGGGACAAGCCACAGAAAACAGCTACAGGGTTCTATCAAGAGGCTGTCCATTGTACAACACTAGGCAGGAGAGCGGAAAATGCGATGAATGGGGTGAGGACGAGGTAGAAATGAAACAAGTCATCTTACATATTGCACCAAGCCGGCGTCATTTCTCTACATAAAATATGCGAGTAGCTTGTCGTCTAAAGGCAGGCAACATGTTGTGAGCCACTTCTGGAGTGGAATCTAGTATCAAGACATTCTCCGTGCGCATACCGGCCCATTTAACGTTGCCAGGGAGCGGGTACATGTTGGCCATTAACCCCTTGAACCTTTGCTCGAGGTTTGGTTTATGTTGGCACACGAAGTCATACAGCTTCCCCTGGATACAGGCCGCGTGCAATTCCATGGGGTCGACCATTGAAGACTCGAGAACCTCCTTGTATACCCCTTTGAGAGCGAATATTTCTTCAACTGACTTGCAGTTAAAAAATCCATAGTCCACGGCCACATGTGGCGGAGGGTCCACATCTGGCGAGTGGACGAAGAGTCTGAGGTACCATACAGTGGGGCGGCAATTGTTAGGCTTGATCTTCAGGAAGGCGTCCAGATGCTTGACTCGCTTGCGCACCGATTCAAGCCCCTTTGCATCCATCAATGCCGTGAGACTGTTGGTCTGAAATGCATTCCAAAACATTGTGAACGAGCATCTGCTAATGAGACATCCGTAAACCCAAGGTAATACATCCTCGCCCTCGGACCCAATCCCGGTTACGAAACCGAACTCGAAATAAAGGTCTTTACAGATTGTGCCAGACAGCGAAGGGTTCGGATGGTACCCATTTAGCAGCATGGAATACAGCAAGAAAGACTTGCGTTTTGCCTCCGGTACCAATTCGTGGGGCTCCTTGTTTCTATCTTCTGGGTCGAGGTAAGGCCGGGCAATCGCTAGGAAATCCGGCTGTACATCTCGCGAATCGAAGATGTCCAGGTTCTTACGGAACCACGGGTAATACACGCCACGAATGCGTTCGGGTATCACTTCATATTTGGCTATGATATTTTCTGTCAGAGTGCCTTCCGTTTTCCACTTGTGCAGTTCTCGACTTCGGACACCCATACGCGTGAGGCCGACATACAAACCAAAGAGCCTCTGCAAGTCGCGGTCCGATGCAAATTTCGCGAATCCAAAGTCCTCCGCAGTGTCCCCATCAACGTCGTCCAACGAGCCTGTCCGGCAGGCCCGGACAAGGTAGTCGGCAGTGTCCAGAGGTCGACCCACGGCACACCGGAAGGTATGTTCGAAGTAGTCCCACTCATTCTCACAGCGATCACTGCACAGCCAAGGGCCAAGACATTTGGAGCACCTCCTTGAGGTTTCGCATGCGCAGTGTTCGCATTCTCCAGAGGGCTCTTGTGTTTTCACAGATTTAAAAGCGCCAGGCATGCCGTGGCGATCACAATCTCCGTATTCTCCGGAGAGCCCCGGGCTTTCCGAGTGTTCCAAAGCCGTGGAAATGTCGTAATTTTCTGTTTCTTCAACCGACGCGGAGTACGAGCACATGCTATGATATTCGCTGCAATCTTCTGAAGTCTTATACTCGCAATTTTCGCACTCTCCGGAGCACTCTGGAGGTTCAGTGGGCGTAAAAGCGCCAGGCATGTTGTGTGTCTTTCCTCCTTCGACTGGGTCAATAGTCCTAAGAAGTAGCAAGGTCAGCGCGCACAATCTCACACACACCGCAAGTACGCACCTGACGAAGCTCTTGCGCGTATGTGCGCGTAGAAAGTCGAATTCGCGTCGGGCAGCCAACACTCTGTGATATTGACGAATAAAAGAGGATCGGGGATTATAAACTGTAACCCCAGCAGAGGATTCGGCAACACGAGCAGCTAGCGTGATGGAATTCGTTGCCTCGCAATGCAGCAAGCTTTGCATTTTCCTCAGCACTAAGCCGAGAACTGAGACCATATCGTCATGGAGTCCATCTACATCCGGGATAGACCACGACGGGTAGACTTTCCCATGACTCCCACGAGTCCTGAATGCAATGCCAGACTGACCGAAGAACTCAAGGAAAATGGTACAAAGGAAGCAAGACAACTTGCTGCATCCCAAGTATGGATATATCTCCCTGTCCATGGTTTTGGTATCCATCGTCCTTATGATATGAAGGACAAGCCGAAGCTCCGCATGAGTTGAGAGATGTTGCCTAGAGAGTTTATTCTGACACTGCTTGAAATCGTGCTCTGCACTAGTGACACCTAAACGTTCGTTGATAAAGCTTTTGACAGAGGTAGAATCCAAGGTCTGACCCAGGCAATTCATCACGTCTGCCAGGGTGGGTAAGGTAAATGGACATGCGCGAGGCGGGAGGCTCTGCACAGGAACAATAGATAGCGCAGAAAATCCAGGAATATTGAGGGCTGCTTCTACGAGCGTATAATAGCAGGACCTCAAACGGCCCAGCCAGTGTATGTCCGAGATGAGCTTACGCCCAACTGAAGCCCCCAGACCGGAATCGAGAAGTATCCTGAGAGACTTCATATGACGGAGAGAATAGGCATGCTCAGCAAGAAGGCGTCGCCGAGTCCCTCTGTCATCCCGGGAAGAAAGGATGTTACCCAGATCACGGATATGCTCCTGGGCAAATTTCATGTAGGCATCATGAGAACCATCTGAATAGAGGCCGATGTTGCAGTCGTCACAGAAAGTTCTGTGTTCGGAATCGCCGCCCCGCGGGGAACAAGAGTCGTTATACGGAGGAATGATGTCCATGCATCCCGCGGCCTTGAACATTTGCAAATTGTCGCGCAGGCTATTTGCGTGATAATCCAGGCGGAGCTCATTATAGCATACTAATTCCTCCCAAAGCTCTTTCTCAACTGCAGGCAAACCTAAAACGTACATATATGCATGTCAACGGCTAGAAGTCTACCAGAGTACAACAATGCACATACCAATGCTTATCTGTTCGGACACAGTGGCACCGATAGCAGCGAGCAACCTTTCAAGGGAGCTAAAAAAATTCTTATCCTCCGGCTCGAAATCCTGATTACGGGAGACCAGCAAGGAAACCTTAACGTTCCCGTCAGGGCATCGACCCCCCGACTCGCGGAGTGCTACAGAGCAAACAGCGACATGCCTGTCACCTTTGTCGTTCGAAATAGCCTCCGCAAACTTGTCGAGAAAGCGCCGCTTTAGTTCGTCCTCCTTACTCTCCCTGACATCTGAATCGTCCCCGCTGACCTCGGTGTTAGTGCTACATTGAACTTCTTCTTCCTCTTTCCCCGTCTTTGGTCCAACTTGACCACCATTGCGCAGAGATAACAAGTTAACAAGACCGATGAACTGTTCGATGTTTTCCCACTGAAATATGGCCATACTGACGAAGTCCTCTCAAGAGAGTCAGACGGTGGCGCTGACTAGATCAAGAGGGCTCGGTAGGATGACTTGTGAAGATGTACGTTGGGAGAGGGCGAAATTGACGCCCAGAGGCCATCCATAGGCAGACCCAGAACACTTCCCAAATCGAAGTCGAAGATCATATGCGGACATTAAAGGGTGGTTGCAAAGTCCAAGCTGGAGTGTGACCCCAAGTGTGTCCTGTCTGGAATTTAGCACCTTGTAGGTCGAGGTCTTTCCAAGGATTATTGCGGCTCGATGGTCCAGTAGTAAGATACGTGCTTCGGGAATAACCCGCCGCCCCGGGTGGTCAGATGTACGTGACCCGGGTTCAATTCCCGGTCGAGCCCACTTTTTGCAACTTATTTTCTCTCACCTCAAAATACTCATAACACTCTTGGATGTACCGGTATCTGATAATACACTTGGATTTTTGACTAGCTAAACATTGCGAATCCGGGAAACACAGACATCTATTCATACATGTACTATGACTACTTTGCTTCAACTCTGCCTTGAACAAAACGCGCTTCCATGCCCATCGCCTGCGATCCTCTTCACCTGCTCGCGGCCAAGTCCAAGACCCAAAGGAGGCTTTGCGAGGAGCTGGGCGTATTCGGCTAGCAGAGTAGTCCGGAATGGGAGGGTATCGTCAGTCTACAATAAGCGATGCCAGTGGTGCAAAATTCAGTACAACGAAACAGCATAAAGCAAAATTCAGCGCATACGCATATTGAGATAGGATGGTCATTTAGCGAGGTAATATTGTATATGGTGGGATTCGAGAGACTGTACAGTCCTGGAACTGCACGTGGTGTGAGACGTAACGCAAAATCGAGAAATAAAACAATGGTCCTCCCGAACTCACAGTAAATTGGAGCTAAGGCAGATCTCGATACATGGTTTGTATGCACCGTTCCGCCGCTTCGACAAAACTTCGATGTCTTTCAACGCAGCACGACGTGCCCCTTTGTCAGCGTCAATGTGGTAACTCAGCATTCGGCGAGTTTCCTCAGATTCAGTGCTTTCCTCGTGAATGCGCTTCAGATGTGCCTTATATGCAGTCAGGTATGCTGTATGGAGCGGATGTTCAGGATCCCATGGTTGAACCGAGTTGGACTCAGTTGTCGGCGAGGAGACAGAATCTGGTTGCAGGAGATCGGCGAAAAACAATGCCTTGTGCTCGTCAGAAAGGAAGGTTGCATGCCCAAGCCTATCCGGACGCCAGTCAAGTAGGGCGAGTGATTCTGCGGTGGTATTTCCCTTGGTCTGCACTATAACTTCCAGGCAGGGTGTAGAACGGAATATAGTATGACACACACCTCGGCAATGTGAAGAGTAAGTCCCAATCCGGCGTCTTTTCCTCTCTTGAAATGTTTCTCGAACGTGGCAATGTCACCCTTTCCCGGATCACCACACAGGTCCAGCCCCACTACACGCCTACCCGCAGCTCGAAGCGCGATAGCAAGATCGACGCACTCTTTCGCGTCTGCCTCAGACATCCGTCGATCAATGGAAACGATCAACGCTGCCTGATCAGCTGAGAATTTCTCGATCTCATCTAGCACAGTGGTCAGGTACGTGTACCGGGACATCTGTGCAGTTGCGCGGGGAGTCGTGCGCAGTTCGAGGTAGCTGCATTCGGGGGCAGGTGTATATGCAAAACCTGGTGGAGGATTGCTCTCGGCCTTGAGGAATGAATCGAGAACATCCCGAGTGACCCGGCCCAGTGCTGATGGGGTCGAAGTGATAGCATAGATCGCAGAAAACAACGGAAAGAACTCTGATACGTCATTTAGCGTCAACCCAGACTTCAATCTTGCGACTGTCGCTGCTATTTCATCGGTGGTGTCTGCGGACAGTGTCAAATGCTCAGCGAGGTCTGTGAGTGTCTGTAAAGGGATGCATCCGTTGAGATGGGCGTGGAGCTCAGCCTTGGGTAACGATTGCAGAAAATCGACGTCAGAAGGCGACAAGGAGTGCAAAGCAGCTGCAGATGGGCCAGATATCGTTGCCATCGTAGATCGTCGGCGGTGATGCAGAGGGTATAGACGCTCGAGTCACCATCGTGGCTACATACTCAATTCCTCACTGGTGACCAGTACCGCGGTTACCACGCGGGCAGGTAGTCTTGGCACTAGACGGCTTGGGTAACAGTGACGCGAAGATAGGACGATAGAATTCTTCTCTGATCTAAAGGCTACTTGGAGTTCCCAGACAATGCAGTCTGTTAGTTCGAGGTAGGGAAAAAGACCCCATACATTGTACTACATAGGCCCTTTTGTACTGTAGGGAATAGGCACAAGTATGCCAGCACATATCTACGGAACAGATAGGATCAAAAGGCGTGCTCAATTGCAGTTGTCGTCCAAAATGTCGTCGGGTCTGTCAAACTTATATTGAGGTTTCTGTCACTTGAAGCGAGACAGGCAGGGCTATGTGAGTGCATGTGAGGTAATGCTGTCTCTGGCTGCTCCGGCATGGGAATGACCAATTAGGCAAGTGGGGAGCTAGTCTCCGATGCCTCTGTGACAAGCTACTGGACTCCGGCTCTGTAGTGAAATTCGTACTAGGAACAACAGATGGACTACAACTTCTACTTAGAATGTGATACTCCAGCTCTTAGTCTCACTCCAGCACACAGCTTCCAGCAACTCTATTCTTGTGATGCTATAACATCAGCTGAAAACAGGCAGCCAACAAGCACGTTCAGCCTCAAAAAGAGGTGAGACTCGTAGATCATTTTCTTACGACTTGCCATCTTGTCTGCCTTCGAGATCTTGCTGAATTTGAGCTCGTTCTCGCCTTGACTCTGCCAGCATGCATGCATGTGCAGAATACAACGCAAGCAGGTCACTGGCGTCCTGTTGTCGTAGTCACCCCGCGCACGGCAGGTGGTGAGCATTGAATGTTGAGATAGGCCTTCAGCGCTTCAGCGCTCGAGTCTTCGTCGATAAGCATTGCCACATCAGTGTTCTTGCCTAAATGGGACTCAGAGCGGCTGGACCCAGCATGACCTCACCTGCACTCGCATAGTCCTGCCTGTCTCGCTTCGAGTGACAGAAACCTCAATATAAGTTTGACAAACTCGACGACTTTTTGGACGACAACTGCAATTGAGCACGCCTAAAGGCAATAAAGAAAGCTGAGCAAAGCTGTCAACACGTTCCACATCGGAACGGTTCCTTTTATTGGGTAGCTATTAAGCAAGTCCGGGCGCAAGGTTCCAGAGCCTAATAGAAAGCACGATGCGCGCCAGGTTGTTTGAATGTTGACTGGTTTGAAGTTTCCAGACCACTACTGGATGACCGGTTTTCTGAATTCCCATACATAAGTACTCAAACAAAATAAGCCACAGAGAAGCTGGATTACATTGGTGGTAACATGCGTTTGTAAATGACAATGTGATCGCGATGCATCCCTTCGCGGGCCTAGAGCAGATAGGTACGCTTGTCACGCCGGACGACGCAACCCCCGGTGAGTGGTGGCGGAGGAAGAGGAGGATACGAAGGCTTGAGAAAAGCAGAACCTCAGTTGGATTTCTGTCCCGAAAGCAAACTAGCCTCGATGTCCGCCTTGTCGAGCATCGTGCGTAAGAGTTCCGAAAACTGGCCATGTAAACTTTCTGGAGGGGATATCATAAACGGGAGGCAAAGGATGTCTATCGGCATGCAAACGAAGGACATACTAGCACGCTCGACAGCTTGGATATATTCTTGGTTTGCGACCGTCATCTCGTTTTCCAAATCCTGGAGACGCTTTGCCTAGTCACAGAAAACCGGTCAGTAGTAAAGTACAACACCCAGAAGTTGATATACGACAGACTTGTTGTTCCTCGGGTTCTGGGACAGGCAAAGACTGGATCAACACCTCTATTTGCTTCGCTTTCATGATCAGGTCATCCACCAGTTCCTTCTTATTCGCTGGAGAAAAGTGAGCGGGAGCGTCATCTAAGTCAACGCAAGCTCGATGAGAAGTGGAAACCCTGCGAACCCTCAAACACTTCCGGTGGATCAAACTTGTCCGGATTTCGCTGTTTCGTGATCGGTATCTCCTCGCTGACTTGAAGGAACGTGGATCGAGTGGTGAGGTAGGCAATGGTACTCGACATAATTACAAGGAACTATCGTTCCATCGAGAATTAGCATTCTTCGACCGTAATAATAGAGCTTTTACCCTTTGTATCTCATCTTGCAGCTGCGTTATACGGTCCATATGCGAGAGATCCTGCAGCATTTGCGCTGCCCGAATAGCAGGCAGTCGAAGGACAGAGATGTCGGTATTCCAACCCGGAGGAGCCGCACTACCAAGTTGGCTAACGGCTTGCCAAGCTTGTTGATAGTAACAGAGGGGATGACATCACATCGAGCCAATCAGATACTAGCACGTCCATCCACGTGACATGATACTCCCCTATTCAGAACTTCAAGTCACTGCAGTCCTTCTCTCCGTCAGAAACATGAACACTCCCAATTATTTTCCTTACTCCTTCATTCAGCTTCACATGATTCTTCACTGACACACTTATGAGGGAGACTTTCGAAAGAACACATGGTATAACCATTCAAAGCGAAATAAAACCGAAAATCCAAGTCACGCAAGGGTTACCGAGTACCTTAGAGATCCTGTGCATACTTCTCCATAACTTTTCTCAGGTGTTTCTCGTCCCCGATGCGAGGCGTAAAGCACGCAGCAAAAGGTTTAGGGTGGGCAATCACACCGTCGACGAAACCCTTATCGTTGATTGGGGCGTTAGGATCCTGGGTAATACGGAAAGACCAAAGAAGGAGTGAAGCATTGATGAAGATGGACCGGTTGGCAATGTGTTGGCCAGGGCAAATACTTAAGTGCAAAGACACGGTTGTCAGCACCTGGCTTAGATGGAATGTGGTACGCAAACAGCCTCACCGTCTTCCGAACCCGAAACTGGGGAACCGAACGTCTTCGCGGATACGCCCGTCACTGCCTAACCATCTCTGAGGGTCGAACTTGTCGGGGTTCGGGTATACATCGGGGTCCCGAGAAATAGCCCTGTGAGGGACGGTTATTCGACGGAGGTATACCTTGGAAGATTTGGCTCACCAGTGGTTTCCGAAAACGATCGCTCCCTCAGGAATACACATGTCTTTCTGTAGTGACGATCAGCTATGGCGTAATAAATTCTACAAATTAACTTACGTAAACGATGTCCGTCTGAGCACGGTGGGCGAAGCCTGCGGATGATAAGGTCAGGGTCAATGGCGCACATAGAGACGATAGCCGTACCGAGTGTAGTGACCGGACGCCAGCGGAGACATTCAAGCATGAACGCCTGAATTTGAGGCAACGCGTTGTAATCATCGAAGGTAGGTGCTATTTGCATACATCAACAAGCTTGGCGAGTTTCACAAGCCTGGGAAACATACCACGGTCGCGACCGACGACGTTGTCGAGTTCCTCCTGCACAACGTCCTGTGCCTCAGGGAAGCGAGCGGCAGCCATGACCAGTACCATGATAGCGACGGCAGTCTAGAAATTCCATACACGTCAACCGTAGGGCGAGGCCAAAGAGGTAACGACCTACAGTGTCAGAGCCAGCACCAAAGAGCGAACCGGCGAGATACGCCATCTCCTCATCAGACAACTTGTGTGTCTCCTGGTTCTCAAGGAGGTATTTCGCAAACGAAGGACCAGGATTTCCTGTTTTCTGAGGTATCCGTCAGGATCATATGTCTAGCCAACCTAGCAAGAACTTACTAATTCCTTGGCAACACGGTTGAGCTGATCATGGAATAGTTGGCGTTCCTCTCTGCGCCACTCGTGAAGGTAGCCTGCATATCCAGGCACATACTTCAAGATTGGGTACTTCTCGACGAGAAGCGCTCCAGGACGCATTAGTGTCTGGAAGCGCTTCAACATCTTGTGAATGAGGACGATCTCAGGCGCATTCGTCTCTGTGGCTGTCGACTTGCCATACGTGACACGTAGAATGACGGATGCCGCGTAGCGGTTGGCGTGCGCTTGATGGTTCTTGGGGTTATCAAGAATGTCAATAATCACATCGCGCGCGGCTTGCATTTGGATGGGGCCATATGACTCTGCGGCTTTTGCCTGGAGGTGTGTGTGTGCAGCTCTGTTTACAACACGGTCAGGGAAGCTGTTTGCTGCATAGTAACTCCCAAGTCTCTTGCTCACCTGCGTAATCTACGGAACTGCTCGCCAGCGGGGGCAAGGATCATCCGAAGTCCACGGGACAAGATTTCACCCGCCGCAACTGCACGGGGACGATCTGCCAGCAAACCGCCTTCCTTCTCCATAATATCCACAGATTCCTGGTGTTCGCTCGGTTTCAGCTAGTCCACTAAGAGAACCGGCTGTAAGCCGCACCTGATAACGCCCTATGATGACCATAGTCCTTGGGCCAACCCGAAGCGAAATAATAGGGCCATACTCGTTGATCCATTCGGCGAACTGTTGAGATTGGCTGGAGTGCGTTAATGCTGCTGCTGCAATGTAAAATAAGCTGTGAGAGAAGAACGCACTTTTCCCTGGGAAGGGCATTTCCAAACAACCAATGACCGGGAGGACCAGGAGGTAAAGGCAGACGCCTTCGGGCCCTAAGCTGGGACCGTACGGCCTTGCCGAGGATGGCAAGGGCAATGAGGGCACCAACTGCCTTTGCCTGGAGGCCGTATTCTCGCAACAACGCCTCTAACATTTTCTAGGTGACTGTACAGATACACAGACAGTACACGGTGGAGGCGAGAGGGGAGGATGAACAGGTCGGCCAGGCTAATTCCCGACGTTATATCAAGACCGGTGACAAAGCGGCTGGATAGCTTCCTAAATTTTACGTTGAACAAATAGTTGTTAGCCGGATTTGACGTGCAGCTACTGCTAATTGCCGACAGAAGGCTGTGAGCGCTGGGCAGCAACACAGCTTGCTGATACCAACGGTGTTCATGCGTCTTTTAAGTGTATAGAAGGGGCCAAGGTGGATAACTACTGCGCTCGCTCAATACTGGCGCATCTCTGGCAAGGGTGGTGCCTTGCAGTTGCAAAGTCGATTGGCAAGGACGAAAATCGGTTGCGGTTCAGAACGCGATGGCGGCCATACATACCATAGCGATTTGGAGCCTAGCACGAAATGAAGGTACCGAGATATCTTGCCCGGTTCGCAGCCGAACGCAGTCCTTTACTGCAGGAAAAGACCTCATTTATAGCAATACACAAGTGTATGGTCAACAGCGATCTCGCGGCCGATATGTGCTGCGAGCACTTTGTCAGTCGATTTGGATTGAAACACGACCACCGCCCCATGGAAACTGAAGTCCATGATCGACTACCATCATCCCCTGCAAAGACCGCCACTTCTATCAGACGATGTTGCGTTTCTCGATTCGCACTTTCGTCAAAAATCAAAAGCTATAGTAGTATCGCCTCCGACGCAGCGCTGATAGCGCTGTCTTATGTGGCGCAGTTGCTTCACATGTTTGACCGACCAATTGGTAAGGTTTGGTTGGAGTGCTGGACCCAATGCGGCCGACAGGTACAGCTGTCACCATGTCACCTGCATAAGCTTAAAGTAGAACCAACAAGCACTTAAGCACCGACCACTCCCCGCTGTATATGTCAGCGAGCTTCGCCGCACCCTACTAATCAAGGTGACCAAGCCGAGCGTTACAGTGATTACACCGGCCGAAGAGTTATTTGGACTATTGTAACCTACCAAGCGGAACTGGTCATGTTATGGAAAACATGGGACTTCGGATTGAGTGTTGAAGGAGCTCTGCCACACTCATAGCAGCATGGTCCAGACTCCAGAGCGCGAAGATTTCATGGCGTAGGTAGCACCAGAGTTTAGCGACTTTTGAACAATGTTTTGACAACCTGCATGCGTGTATGTTGAGACATTGACATGTGGACTGAACGAAAAGCCGACGAGTTAAACGGCGTGGGGCTGCGGCCAATCGCAAAAACTGATCTGGTCGCCCAACGATAGCCTTATCGGCTCGACCAAAAAGCATACATCTACCAAATTGATTGATAACAGTTTGCACGTCAAGTCTACTGCAGGTATTCTGCTAGGTATCCAAGACCGCCTCCGGCGTCAACTGCCTTCAGAACCTCAAAGAAACTCTCCAAATTGCCTAGGACAGCCATCCACAAGATACATATCTTCTCTGGATTGCTGTCCTAGGCTGTTGGAGGAGAGGTGAGTAATGATCTCTAAAGCGCCAATAATGCCAATATTTCTTTCCATGTTGCAGATTCGGAGTCCATGGAGTACGAGTGACAATGGATGGATCTCCTCGCACAGTAAAACAATTGGTACTGGCAGAAGGTTCGAGTTGATTTCTTGTACACGTGATCGCGATACGCCACCACGATGGAGCACTTGTCACGCTATCTGTGCTTGCCGAGCTGACTAGAACAGGATCCGCTGGTGGCAAATAACATAATTCTACAGAGGCGATTTAAGAGCTCCCCATTTGTTCTATCTATCCAGCACCAATGCTCCAAAGTTTTGCTGCTGCGGCTGCATGACGGTCATCATTTTTTCTTTTTGCACGATGGACCGAATCCTTCTTTTGATTTGGATACTCTTTTCTTTCTGCTGTTTCGAAACCCTTGCAGCAAATGCGCAGAAATGGAGGTCGCGCTCTATTTACCAGGTCTATCTTACAACCGGGTAACCACATCAACAAGGAGACACTGACCGTCTCCTACTACAGATCGTAACTGACAGGTTTGCGCTTAGCGGCACGAGATACAATACGTCTTGCGATCCAACTGCTTTGCGGTACTGTGGTGGAACTTGGCAAGGCATTACCGAACATCTAGATTATATCCAAGGGATGGGATTCGATGCCGTTTGGATCTCACCACCCTTTACTAATGTCGAAGGATTCACGCCGTTTGGCGAGGCCTATCACGGGTAAGTACACATTCTTGCGTGATACACAAGAGGTGCACTGAGACTGTCATCCCCTCACACAGGTACTGGCCTCAGAATCTGACTTCCTATAATGCACATTTTGGAATGGTCGATGATCTCAAAAACCTCAGTGCATCTCTTCATTCGAGGGGCATGTACCTTATGCTGGACATCGTCGTTAACCATATGGTTCCTGCAACTCCGATTAATACGACAGCGTTCAGCTTAGAACAGGCCGGTGCTAACCCAAAGAATTTCTCCAGTGGGGTGGCGCCCTTCACTGACGTCTCATACTTCCACAAACCGTGCTGGGTTGGTGATTACTCGAACCAAACAGAAGTGGAACAGTGCTGGCTCGGGAACGAAACCATGCCATGGGCGGACGTGAACACGGAGGACGCTGGTGTCGCTGGAGTGCTGAGCCAGTGGATCAGCAAAGTCATCTCGGATATCGGAGTCGACGGGTTACGCTTGAGTACCGTGAAGTATGTCTCTCAGAGTTTCTGGCGGACCTTCACGAATCAGGCGGGGGTGTTCACGATGGGTGAGGTAGGCAGGATTCTTTCGGGTCTGAGATGCTGGGATGACCTAGCTTCCGGTAGGTAATCTCTAACAGTACCAACCATACGAGTCCTTACACAGGTAAGCTTCTACATTGGTAGTGTGGCTTGAACGACACAAATCAGCTCCGAAACAGAGGTGATGGATGCGGTGTTGGACTACCCTGCGTGGTTTAAGTTGGTAGCAGCATTTTCTTCCCCTCAAGGGAACCTATCGAGCTTGGTGGACACTGTCACGGACTCGCAGAAGTCGTATGAGAGTGGAGCATTTATGACTGGTGCCTTCCTCGAGAACCACGACCAACCTCGTTTCGGTGCAATTACAAACGATTCTGCGGTACGTATCAGTATTCCCTGTCTGTGGCACTCCGGTCTGACATGATGGAGTAGCTTAGGGCTAATGCGATAGTCTGGCCGTTTATCTATGACGGTATTCCCATTCTCTATTACGGTAATGCTATATTGAGCCGTGGAGTCTACTGCATGCGCTTATCGTGAAGTATGTAGGACAAGAACAGGGGCTCTCTGGAGGAGAGGTTCCAAACAACCGTGAGCCGTAGGTCTGCACTCATACTCTGCGCTGCTGCTCATGTCTGGTAGGCTTTGGCGTGCAGGTTACAATACTTCACATCCTTATTATAAGATGATCACGTCACTCAATTTGGCTCGCAAAGCTGCGACTAGTTCAGGGGATTATTTCCTGACAACACCAGTAATTGCTTCGGCGCTTCAGTTACACGGCGTCTCCCATGTTAACCATACGTCAACAGGTGAAGTTCTTCCGCGGTGCAGATGGACACACACTTTCTGTGTCCAAACCACCTATGCTCTCCCTATTTACCAACGTTGGTCAAAAAATCTCGTCATTCGTGCACTGGAATGTCACGCAGTCGGTGTTTAGAAGCCGAGAGCATTTAGTGGATGTGTTGACTTGTCGGGAGCACTTGTCCGCGGAGAATGGGGGCGTGGACATCGTTTCTACCAATGGGATGCCAAAGGTGCATATCGCTTCCATTTCGCAAGACAATTGTGTGGAGCTCCTGCTGACTGATGCTTCTACGTACATATGTAGGTCCTGATGCCCGTATCGGTAGTCAAGGGGTCTCCAGAACTTTGTCCACAGGTCCGTTCAAACCGTGTGACCCGGCAAGTTGACTATTCGACCTTGTGGTCGCTGATAGCTGTTCCATTTATATCTTTGGGGTTGACTGCCAGTTTTGCGTAGACAATCCTAACAAGACATGGAAGCCTGTCATACTGTAACAAATCACTTTCACAGGATACATCCTACTAATTACAGCTGTACATCACGCTAGAGATGGACTCGTTGCTGATACCCACTAGAGCCAGATAGAACAAGTACTACAAGGACAGCTCCACACGCCGCTCTAACTCGCGTGGAATTGATTCGTTCTTTATATATCAATATTACTTCCCGATCACGGGGTCCAAAACTAATGAAGACGACATCGCCCATTCCCTTAGCAAATCTGGAAGTTTCAAGAATGCCAACACGATCCCGGTATCGGGGTCGACCGAATTCAATGGTGGGAAGGTCAGCATCACACTGGGAGAGATGGCGAACCAACCCAGTGGTTAACCCACAAATATATTCGTTGGTCGGGTATAGCGCATAGAAATACCCTCCAACGATGGAGACGAATTTGAACGAGTCCATCTCCGCGATTGACTGGGAAGATGGCTCGGCGCTTTGTCCGCCCCGCTGACGGATCGAAGGCCGTCAGCGCGGAAGACAGAATCAATTATGTACATTCTTGTACGACCGCGTGCTTATATTAATAGCGTAATGGTAACTGTGCTTGGGTATTGTGAGCGACTGTCACCGTGAGAACGACTTCGACGGGCGAGCTGTTATTTTACTTCACCTGGGCAGCGACCAGCAAGCATCGCATCTTCCACGCAGCCCCAGTCCACCGACTCGCCTTATTTTCTTTGTTCTGTCGACGTCGATCGTCTGTCGTGTCTTTCTTTTTCGTTTTTTCCCTCTTGTTTTTGAATGCAAGTTCCGTTTTTTTAAGCTTCAAGATGCAACCCGTCGAGGACACCCACCTTCTCACCCGCATCCAACACGCCGTACAGTCGATCTCTGCAAAAATACGTCCGAAACGGTGAGTGATCGTTTTCTTAGACACGCTTGTCCCTACGCACATTTTACCTGAAGAGCCGTTGTGTGACAAAGTTTCCCATCATCTAGGTCTTGCCGCACTCTCGGTACTGCGATACGTCGGTATTCACATTCTCCAGCGCACGATCTGCCATATCTTCCTACTGAATTATGGCTGCTCATACTCCGCGAAGCCACCGCCATGTCCCCAGATCCTCTTGACATCTCCGTCGGCCTCTCGTTCCTGGAGACACCCTGTGATGTCGAGGAATACTTTGCCGCGATGCGCGTCAAAAGGGACCTCGCCCTCGTTAGCAAAGCGTGGAACAAACACATGCAGGAATTTCTCTATGAGTTCGTTTGGATTAGCCGTGCGAGTCAGGCCAAGGCGCTCGCTCTCACTTTGCTGACTCAGTTCGTCAATGGAAAGCTGTCCAGTGGTCGGTGGATTCGTAGGCTTCATATGGAGACTCCAGCATTGAAGCGCTGTGCAACGGATGATATTCGAACCATCCTTGACTATGCACCTCACCTAGTCATCTATTCGGATCATCATGCGGTGCGGTGTACGCGTTACCAGGAGTTCAGCGACGTCCGGTGCTCGCCCGAACACCTCGTCTCTGCCCTTGCAGTCCCGAACAGCAAACTCCGTCGACTGTCGCTAACCAACTACAGCGACCTCCCCTTTCCATATCACATGTCCCCGATGCTCAAGCAGACTGCAAGAAACCTTGAATACCTGGAGCTATCTTCAACCAGCGTTCCTGTTTCGAGTCGCACTCCTACCCGTACGACGCCCGTCGTTTCCCTTCCCGTTTTGCAGTCGTTGAAGTTGACTTTGGATAACACCACCTTCGCCGTCCTCGCATCTTGGAAGATGCCCAATTTGCGCAATGTTTCCGTCGTTTCTTCCGATTTTGGCTACGCTGGCCAAGGCTTTGCCAACTTCTTCGAGGCTCATGGCTCGAAGATTGAACAGCTTGGAGCTTGGACATTCCTCGTCGCTTATCGTGGAGCACAATCTCTCTCTCACTCCGCGTCCCATACAACAGATACCACTTGGTGACTGGTGCCCGAATTTGAAAGAGTTTATTTGTTCTGCTGATGCAGAGTGGAACTGGAGGAATCCAGACTGGATCGCACCACATATTTTGCTTCCTGCCCATCGCCACTTGCGATTTATCGGAATCCGTGACATTGACAAGCGTCTTATCGACGATGCTGCTGCATTCCCCGCGGACCCCGAAGACGACGCGCCATTCTTCCCACTTCTGGAACAGATCTCTTCTCTACTTTTCAACGATGCCTTTCCCTCTTTGCGCTATATCCGGGACCTCAGTCGTACCTCGCATACTATGCGTTCTGGTCGCCGCCCTGAAATTAGGGTTCTGAAATTCTGGGCCAATGTACTTGCTCGCTGCGGACAACGTCAAGTCTGGCTTGAGGATTATCGCGGTGTCAATATCACCGTTCGCGATCTCAAGCGTGCGGGACTTGTAGCAGCGTAATGCAATACTATAGTCGTGTCACATTTCCTTTCAGAATCACCTCACTTGCATTTTCATTTCAAGCTTCGTTCTCCCTAACACCGTTTCTGGCCATCCTTCTCGCATTTCGTTCTCATATTTTCTTCGCTCGCTCTCGTCCCTTGCCTAACTGTATATTTCATCCCCTAGTCGTTCATCACTGTATCCATCGACATATGCATCTCTCGCCATCACTACTATTTCACATCTTACCTCACTATACCGTTGGGCTTTAATCTAAAGCTGTCCGCTCCTTTTCCTTTTCCTTTCGTCTCTCGCGTTTGTCTTCATGACTTTTTCACCCATGCGCTTTTGTCAGGACCTATGCTCACCTATGTCCCATTGTCCATTTTTAGTGGGTATAAAATGGACTGTTAGGGGATAAGGAATTTCGGGTCCTCGACAGTTTTATTGTGTCTTTTTTCCCCCTTGCATTTTGTTCGTAGTTTGTCTTAGCTGCTATTGGTTGTATATACTTCTGATGGGTACCATTGAGCCAAGTGGTTGATTATTGAACCTGATATTGAGTCTGCTGATCTCGAGTACGTCAAGTTTCAACCGCCTAGATCGACGAACGTAAAATAAGTAGACTAATAGCACATCCGGGACCATCCTGATCCGATCAAGGTCGGACGACGACGACGACCGTTTGTTGGACAAAGCTCCTGCAAATTTGCATTCGCTACTACCAGCGCACGTTCAACACAAGAAAAATGGTACGTTTCTCCATGCTCAGGTGTATGCTCGCTTATAGGGTGATCCCTATGTATACACGTATGTTGAATGCACTACGCCCGCTCACGCTCACGACATGTACGAAAATATGCATGTGCACCCTGCGTCTATAGGACGCCGACTATCGAGTACCTCGTCCACTCGGGGAAACTTTTCGAAGGATTGTCGCGCTCGTCCTCGCCAGAACGATCCACATCGCCCACTATCTCGTTTGCATCCAACTCGTCGGACGACTCTGATACTGAGAACTTCGGCTTTGATGGTGATAATCAAGGAGGGAATGCTTGGGTCGGGAAGCGTCGTAGTGGACAGATGGACGGTGTGCCACGCGAATCGATCGGGATGGCTCCTGGGAGGACGGGTGTGAAGGGTGTAATCAGGGACGAACGGGAGGCACAGCAGATCAAAGCTGCGCAACGCCAGCGGGAGATAGATGCTCTGCGAAGACGGATGGAAAAGGCTAACTTGGGTGGGATGACTTATTTGGAGGAGGAGCGGGAGCGTCGTGAGTTGGAAGGGCTGGAGGAGGAAGAGAAGAAGGTGAGGCGGGATGTGTTAGGGCGTGCCAAGGATGGGCGGTTTGGACATTTGAGGGAGGTGGGCAAGGCGGGGTTCGTTGGGGCCGTTGAAAGAGAGGACAGTGGTGTTTGGGTCGTCGTGCATTTGTATGACCCTGTAAGCAGGACCTCTCTTTTCGTGCGGATGCATGTAGGATTGACACGTTTCTAGTCACTGGACAGGTGTTATGACCTCGACGATACGTTGGCGAGGCTGGCACGGATGTATCCTCAGACCAAGTTCTTACGTGCCCGCGCTGCTGCTCTCGGGTTTGCATCTAAAGGACTGGCGCCGAGGTCTCATAAGTCATATTCGAGGCAACAGGCGATGCCCGGTCGATATGTTGATAACGATGAAGACGAAGTTTTTGGTAACGATGAGGATACAGATGAAAAGACACCTTACTATGATGATGAAGAGGAGAACGAGGAAGTAGAAGTGGACACGGACATGCTACCTACTCTACTTGTCTATCGGGACGGTCAACTCGTGCATAACTGGGTACGGGTTGATTGGGAGGCTGGAAAGGCGGGCGTGGACGATCTGCTTGCACGGTAGGTTCCTAAGGATCTGGTTGTCTGGCGTGTCTCTGACTACATACACATGAATCGCAGACACCATGTTATATCTAGTTCGTCGCGCGGTCTGCCTGCGCTGTGGAGTGCTGGAAATGTAGAAGACGATGAAGATTTGATCTGGAGCGACGAAGAGAACAGTGCTCCAAGGTAATGGTCAGATTTTCACTTCCCCGTGTGTATACGTATTAGTCTCGTACATTACTGGCACCGCTTGTCAGAAGATCCTTATCTGATAAAAGTCACCGCTTTCGGTAGTCAGCGCTTCCTTCCCTCAGACTCGTCTTCATGATGCTCGGAGGCTACAGGCGCCTCCCGATTGAACCTTCTGACAGTGAGCGTAGCTTACAGCACTCATGGACGACTCTGGTGACGCTGAATTGTAACAACGAACACGCAGGTGGAGACGAGGATATGCTATCACACTCGTCAGAAGTGGGCGACGATACTATATCCATTGTAGAGCTAGAGGAAGAAGCACACGTTGGCGTAAAAAAGGTTGAGGCTGCTTTGCAGGTGTACGGACGGTATTCACGATGGGTTCTGTTCGCAAGGCGTGTACCGTTTATCCGCTCTGCTTCTCTCTCGTCTCACCAGCCATGTTCCCGGAACGTCGTGTGATCCTAACACGATGACTGCGACCCACTCTGTTCAATACGCTCGTGTCTTGGCTTGTGCCAGTCTTGCACTCGCGTCGTTCGTTTATGCACTCGATTCTTCCACGACACCCGCCTATCTCACCTTCGCCACCTCGAGCTTCGGAGAACATAGCCTTATAGGTGCCATTACCGTTGTACAGTCACTCATAGGTGCGAAAACGTGTCCACACTGCTCTGCTGTCGCCGCGTAGCGATGGTTCGGCCGACGCGAGCGATTTGCAAAACTTTGTAAAGCGAACCTTGCGGCATTGCTGACATATTGTTGCTTTCGTACAGTCGCCGTCGGAAAACCTGTCATTGCAAAGATAGCAGATGTCTCCTCCCGTGGAACGGCATATGTAACTGTTCGTGAGTGCGCATACTGGTTTGTCTCAACGCTCGGGTGTCTCATTATGGAACCCCAGTATGCTTCTACGCTCTAGGTGGGGATGGTCCAGGCCGCCTTCTTATGGGCGCTAAATCGTTTCTCACAGGTTATTCCGTTATTGCCTCAGCACCGAGCGTAGGTGTGATAGCAGGCGGCATTATTCTTTACGCCATGTCCGTCATCGTTAATTGATTCCTTCATCTCGCGCTGCTAACATGACATACACGGACGATGGTGTCCCGTTGGTCATCACAGCGGAAATACGTGCGTTAGCATTGTCCCTACGCTGCTGCAGTTCCTGACTGCCGGATGTTTAGTGGACTGCAACTACTCACACAGATTGTAATTGCTGATATTACCACATTGACCTGGAGAGGACTCGTTGTATCGCTCGCCTCTACGCCGTTCATTATAAATGCATTTGTAGGACCTAATATTTCTTCAGCCGTAATCGAGCATCTAGGATGGAGGTGGGGATGTGAGTTGCCGAGCGTACCCTGTGTTTATCAAGCTCTCATGAATATGATACACAGACGGCATGTTTGCTATCCTGATGCCCCTTGTGCTCGCTCCGCTCATCACTACCCTGTTGTGGGGCGAACGTAAGGCCAAGAAATTGGCGCTGGTGGACTCGCTCTTGAGCAGAACACGATCTCGAGCCAGGTCTCTGTCCCGCTATTCCCAGACAACGCGAAGTTCAAAGGACACCCGCCAGTTTAGCTATGATATCCTGAAGCAACGGTTCCAGCGGATAGCAGAGCAACTTGATCTCGTGGGACTCATCCTACTTGGAGCGGCGATCTCCTTGATCCTGCTCCCGCTTACCATGTCTGTCAGTGGATCGCTGAGAAGTGGTACGACTAAGCCCGCTGTTTCCATCGAAATGTAAATGACTGGCGAGGGTTAGGGCCGATCATCGCTATGTTGATTGTTGGAGTGGTTCTACTTGGGATCTTCGCGTATTGGGACATCCGTGTCGCGAAGATCCCTGTTTTCGCGCCTCGTTTCATGAGGAATACAAGCGTCATTATTGCAGCACTCATCGGATTTTTTGACTTCGTGAGTGTCATCGTTGCACTCACTTCTGGTCTATGGCTTAGGTCAAATGTCCACGCCAGATGTCGTTCTATCTCACTTATACCTACTTGTACTCGTTTGTACTGGTTGTAAAGCCGTGGTACGTGTTCCGTTCCAATTAATGTTACGCGAGTCACCGATGTACTGATTCCTGTCTTAGGTCATTAGTCAACGCGACATACTTCATGCAGGCCCAGTCTGTCGCGCTAACGTTCTCCGGTATCATTGCCGGTATATGTATGCGTTATTTCCATCGCTACAAGGTCCGATTCCTCGCCGCCAATTCGCCGTGCGGTAGTCTCACATTTTGCAGTATGTACTTATCACCGGGTTGATCGTGCGCTTCGCGTGAGCTGCTCTTAAACTATATGATGGGCCGTGTCTGCCGTTCTTACCTCGGTCTGCAGCGGTGTCACGATGATGATCTACTCTCGAGGTGCGAATAGCTCTGACGCTGAACTCGTCGCTACCCAGATCTTGCAAGGGCTGGGTGGTGGCCTCGCGGCGGTCTCTTCCCAGGTCGGTGCCCAAGCATCCGTAACGCACGCGGACGTCGCAATTATCACTGCACTCGTCTTATTGTTGACGGAGATTGGTGGCGCCGCCGGGAATGCATGCGGTAGGTACCTTGTGCCTGGCTATAAGATTTTGGAGAGAGATGACGCGTCATATGATAAGCCGGGGCCATATGGTCCAACACAATGCCTCGTAATCTGGAGAAATATTTGCCATGGTTGACGGACGTGCAGCGTGCCGACTTGTACGGCAGTATTACCTCGGTCACGTCGTTGCCGCGCGGGAACCCCGTCCGTGAAGGCGCCATACAAGGTACGCATGACAACCCTTGTTTTCTAGCATATAATCACCGTTGCACATGGAAAAAATGATGATAGCGTACGACGACACGATGAAAGTAATGGTGATTGCTGCCGTCGTCGTCAGCGTACTACCCATGCTGCTTGCACTGGGGATGCCAAACTGGTACCTGGGAGATAAGCAGAACGCCGTCGACGCTGCTGACCTGGATGGGCGGAAGTCGGTGGAAACGGAAGTCGGGAGCAATGAGACTCGCAACGTCAATGGGGGGGATACGTCACGAATGGGAGATCCCGCCCCATAAGTAGATTAGTTTTGGTAAGCGATGGACACATTTTTCTTGGTTTTCTGGTGGCGCTAACCTTGTGCACAGATCCCAAAATGGTGGAACGCACGTTGGTCTTACTATTCTGCACCACTGAGCTGCTGGTGCTGTAAGCAGGGTCCTGGTGGGAGCGCACAGTGTCTTTCGTGCCTTGTGATGTGACTCCGTTCGAATCTTAATAATTCGCTCTGGTACTGCGTGAAGCGGTGCTCGACTTCAGGCCTCCGTTCTAGAGCAGCCGCGAAGACAAAACCCTTCCACTTCCCATGGCTACCAAAGCAGGTGATTGCGATGTGCGCAGTGTGCCCGCTGGAAAAAGGAGGTACCTGTCAATGTGTTCTGATTACCGATAACAAGCAGCACACTCGTTCACACTCCTAGGGGGATCCGATAACTAGGCTCGTGAAGCAGATACGGTGACCATGCGTGCCTATATGACTATGCCGTTTAAAGGGTGAGGACCTTGTCGTTTTGTATATATATATATTTTTTTTTTCAATCGAGCGCGGGAAATGGTGTGAGTGGGTGTGCCGTGTGGCAGATTCCAGTACCCTGAGCTCTTCCTGGGTCAGTGGCCCACATACATACCGCCGCCGAATACCGAAAGCCCATTCGAGAACCATGACCTTTATCACTCAGATTTGTCGATCCCGCGCTCGGCGATCGTACTTCAATTGCTGCCCGCCGTTCTGAATAGTAATAGTAAAATATTTCATGATTTCCCAACTGCTTAGAACGTTGTTTTTTTCAACACAGTGCAGTCCCTTTCATCATATCTTTCCAGGTAAGCCGCATACGGCCGTGCGTAACCTCTGTGCGCACCGCGCCACGTCGTGCTCGGACCACTGCCTTGTGAACCCTCACGCAACCCCGAAAAAAAAAGTGGACAAATGTGCGGACTTACATATTGTCGGCTGCCCTTGTGATTAACCAGGACCGCCGACCTCAGCCACGTGGAACGATTGTGATCGAAAGAAATGCCCGTGCTCCTATCACGACTTTTCCGACCGATATTTTCCGGGTTCAAGAGCGTCAAGGGAGGTCAGCATGCATGGCCAAGGTTCAGAACACATTGACGAGCATTTCAACTTTGTCTCGAGTCTGTCGGTTAGTGTATGACGTTGCAGTGCGCCACGCCGCCAAACCCTTTCCTCCAAGATGGAGCATCCAGGACTGATTTGGAGTCCGCTAGCGAACGCTCTGAATAATTCTTCACTGCTTCAGTATCCGGGACGTCACAAGGCACTCATCCCCCACTTGGAGCTCTGACCACATAGGGTGGCTATGACGTCATACCTGAGGTGGTTGCGCCCAACGCACATAAGACAGCCTCGCGCCAGGCTAGCTAGCTTCATTGCAAACGATGTACAAGCGACTTGTCTGTCTTGCACGTCCATTTGCGTTGCGCAATTCTCCAATCTCGCTCGAACGTCCAGGGCGCGTCCCCGGGACAATCGGTCTTGTAGCGACTGGTGGTGGCCCTTTCTCGAGTGCACGCGCGCTTCGCTGCCAGCTCTGTCTCAGGAAGGACCCGGTAGTCAATCCGTCGAGCATGCTACGCAGAACTGTGAAGGAGGAATTAGGGAACTCGCTTACTGATTGGGCAGCGCGAGATTGCGGGCGGCGTGTTCACTGTCGACACTGTGAAACCTAAAGTTGACTCTTTCGTAAGTACACCTTAAGCATGGACGCATGGTTCGGTTTGTTACGATGAAACGGCTCATATCGTGTCACTTTAACAGTTTGGAATTACGGGTGCTGTTGCGGTCAAGGTGCCCACTCCGGTGTTTGTTATGGGTCTTGCTGGTGGTTTGCCGTACATCGCATCTGCAGGGACGACCGTGTACCTTGCCCACCAGGCGGGACTGGCTACGTTGGGACTAGCTACGAATCTCGATCCAGGTGTCGCGCTCACCGTTCTTGATCAAGCTCTTAACTTCCAAGTCCATTACGGCGCCGTGCTGCTATCTTTCCTAGGTGCGACTTTCCTCGTGTGATAATATTAATTTTATCCAAGCGTTGCTTATTGGACATCTCTACCTTCAGGCGCACTGCACTGGGGTATGGAGATAGCTGAGTATGGGGGGTACAAAGGCTACTAGACGCCTTTGCCTCGGAGTGGCCCCGGCCATCGTTGCATGGTCTACAATCACGCTACAGCCTACGACAGCCCTGCTTTGCCAGTGGCTTGGATTCGTGGGTTTGTGGTACTCCGATAACAGGGCCACCGCTTGGGGATGGAGTGAGTTTTCAATACGGTATAATCGCTTAGGGATGATGGGGATGGCTGACAACTTGCTTTTTCTTATTTGTCGTGTCCTGCGATTCATAGCGCCGGTATGGTACTCGCAGTACCGTTTCTACCTTTCCCTTCTCGTGGGGACGTGCATCATCGGCTCACTAGCAGGCACATCGTATTATGGTCCTGTAGCTGGGCACGGACTTCTCTCACACGATCTGTACATGATCCGAGCTGAAAGGTTAGCAATTTCCTCACTTGCATACCTGTGATCGCTCTGCTTGAATTACTGACTCTCCTCTTACGCACTACAGAAATTACTTCACACCCGAGCGTTCTGGTGTAGTGAAGGGTGACATCGAAGCTATCCCTGCCGGCGAAGACGCTGATAACTATGTTATCATACGTCGAAAGCACAAGTCTGAAGAGGGATCGGAGTCCAAGGAAGAACAGTAAGAGATACGCATAGCATACCTATTGAACTTGTACCAGTATGTCTTGAGCAATCATTTCAGACCAACTGCCATTGTCTTCAAGTTCTACAATCCGAGGTAACTTGGAAGGATTGGGATTAGTACTGTCACGACGCAGATAGTGAAGACCATGGACTTCCGAACTGACAGGATAGTACAACACACGGTGATGAGTGTGATGCACTACTAGCCATAAAGCAGATTATCAAAGCGCTCTATCCACTCGCCATTCAATGTCGCAGCTTACCGGGACACGGATGCAGTAGGCATACCTTCGTTGACCGTCACCACACGTGCGGTGTGAAGGGCGCTCCCGCAGCCTGTGGTGTGCTGTGGGGCCTGGAAAAATATAATGCCAGTACGAGCGATACCTCAAGTATTCTGGCGCAACTCGGAATTATACATACTGTGAACGGATGCTGCAGGCTCGTCTGCCGTTTCTTATCAGCATGCCACTGTGCTGAGGTAGGTAAGCTTCGGGGGGTTCTAATCGATCGGCATATTCCTGGATGCTTCCGGGTCTAGGTCTGAAATTTTTTTGTTCTGTCCTCCCTGAGCCCTCCACTGGCGCGGGAGTCGGAGATGGTACTGCCGGAGGGGCGCCTGGAGGGCTTTGGCATCAGCCACTGCCACTCGTGATCTCCTGAAGTATGGTCATACAGCACGAGTGCGCACTGACATTTATAATGGACTCCTTTTACCCAGAACCCCCTCCGAAGCAATTCACTCCCCTCATTTTCTTTATTTCCATGCACGTTCCCTTCATTTCACGTAGGGCCCGGCGTGGAGCAGTTGCAGTCGGTGGCGAAGGTGGTATCGGTGCTGGTGCTGGTGCTGGTGAGGGTGCGGGTGCGGGCGGTTTGAAGGGCCCGGGAGAAAGCGAAAGTTCTGGCAGTGGTGGTAAGAGTCCGAGCGGAAGTTCCACCGATTAACGTTTCCCTAAGGATAGTTTCTCTGTCCTCAGGTACTTCGACTGGCAAACTAAGTTCGGTTCCTCTTTCGTCTTCGTCGAGTTCGTCCGGAAGTCTCGGGAAGAGTAGTGCGACTGCTTATGGATATGGCGGTGGAGAGTCCATCGTGATCCCCCCCGATGAGTTGTTCGCCAGGCGGAGTGCTGGTGGGGGAACGAGGGACCAGATATTCGGCAGCAGGTAACCAATCTTCCTGAACGCTGACTGTCGTCTATGACCCGAACTGTGGACCAATAGAACCTATGGAAGCGGATATCCGGGCATCACAGGACGCGGTGTTTCAGGTCGTGGTTTCCCGTTCTGGTACTGGCCAGTCGTGTGGATTGACACTGCAGCAGAGAGTCAACCTTATCTCAATGGTTCAGAGGTATTTCCTTTCGACGCGTATGATTGCATGTCTTTCTTGTTGATGGTACTATTTTCCATGCAGTACGGGGACGCCTATAATACAAGTCGTTTCGGCGGTCCCCTCGTGGAAGCCACGTTTATATCCAACACTTCCAGCCCAAATACCGTATTTCATGTCTTATCTGACAACAGCACCATTGTGTCCCTTATTCATTCCATCGACGCCAACTGCTCGCACTACCTCTCTTCATCCAGCTCTTCCTCTCCAGTAGCCTTTAACGCGAGCTCTGCGACTGCCCCACATCCCGACTAAGCCATTCAATACTATCGTGCAAGTAGCGTCGTACTAACGCTGGATGGGTACAACAATTCAGTAACGCTCAGTAACAATACCAATATGACGGATTCACCCCTTCCGCCGAACATCGATACGAATTTAACAGTTTGCTTGAATCAGACGATCGGATTGGCAGTTCCACTTGTTGACGGTGCTCTCCCATCGTCATTCGCGGCGCGTCTATTGGCTAGTACGGTGTTGCTGGGCACAGCAACACAATTATTGTTGTCACTCGCTTGACGACATCTCTACTGTACTTGTGCGTTGGGAGTGTAGCATTATTCTATTCCGTCTTGTTTCCTGCGTCCTTGTTGTTGTAGCCGCCTAGGTCTGTATTTTTGGAGGTTCACTATTCAAAATTCAATATCAATGTTCATTATTGACAGAAATAAGAATATAGGGCTGTGCGACACGCGATGCATTCAGCGAAGAACCCAACTAGCTCGTGTTTGTCGACGAGTCGGCATCCCGTTTGATCTGGTGAGTGAGTGCTTGGATCCTTTTGTGGCTACCAATACATATCCGGAGTGCGTGCAATTGCGGAGGTGGGTCATACTTTACTAGTATTTCGTAGGGCTGACCGAAGAAGAGAATGATGATATTACCATGATAAATACACACATCACGCACGTCATACTCAGAGGTGTGCCATTAATGCTTCTCTGTATGCTCTGCCGCTCAGCAGTACGATTGCGGGTAGGAAAATCCACCATGGGCGATATCCAGTGATTCCTAGTTGTTATGTACGAAGTAGGATCCAGCTCTTCGTATTCCATGAGGCTTTACGCCGTATTGTGCACTAAAGATCTCAGAGCACTGCTGCCCGAAATTTACAGTATCAGTTCCAAGTAATTTCGAGACAGGCGACTACTGTAAGATAAAAAAAGACGAAGAAAAGAACGTGTGGATAGAATACTTGTACGGCTGGAACACCAAATCTTCGAGCAACTCTGGCTCCGTCGTCGTACCATCGACCGAAAAGCACTGGTATGTCTCCCACGTATCCCGCCAACCTCTCGCTCAGCAGCAAATACCATCTCGTTTTTCGGCATCTCCCCACAAATTGAAAATGTCGACTTTTTCCCCATATACCACATACCAGAATGTCGATCATTTGGTGCCACCGTTCCTTAGGACATGTAACTTAGTGCCTTCAACACCTCCTGAGTCTCTGGGCTATTCACGTGTTGGCTCCATCTCGATGCTCTCTTCGACTTGCTAGCCTTGGCTGAACCCGAGAGACTTGTAGTGGAGATCACCGAGATCCTTCTACTCGTACGACGCGAAAGAAGCGGCACATTAGTGGAAGTTCCGGATGGAATAGGAAGGAGTCCGAGGTGCCGATCCTCCACGGGGAGGAACCGGCACAGAGAACCGGATTGATTTGGAGCGCTTGGAGAGGGACGGAAGCATCGAAAGGTGACGGCTCTTGTCCCTTGGTTTCTCTCTTCTGGGTGAAGATGGTAGTTCGGCCTGTGCACCAGCATTCGTATTCGCCTCGGCAGTGCCTGGGACCCTCTCATCGGGTATATCCTCCCAGACAAGGGCGTCAGCCGCTGAGGGTTTGGGTGAGGCTCGTTCGGTGTCGACAAGCGTCGACACCGAGGAAAATGATTCACGAGTTGACCGGGATGAAGATGGGGGAAACGAAGAAAGAAATGGATATGGAGTCGGTGGAGACGACGAGGGCCCCGCCTTAGCGTCGTCTCCCATGACGAGGAAGGACACATGTCTCTTCTTCCGAGATATCGCAGGACGCGGAGAAAATATTCCGCACCCGGTGTTTGCGGAAATGCGCACACGACCAGCATACGTATCAGCTTGTTTGGGATCCCGACTAACGAAAATGATAGGACTGAGGGGGACGGGCGTCAGCTCCTGTGCTGGAGTGGATGCAGGATGTTCCGGAGGAGTCAAAGGCTCCGGGCACGTTGACGCCTTTGCGGAACGGGGTGTAGACGGGGGAGCTGAACGTTGTTTACGCCTGAACCGAAAGATGCGGAAGAACATGTCTTTGGATGCCGTGATACGAGGATGACCTGCACCCTGGAAGGAATGTGTGGGATGGCCTTGAGGGACAGGGCTCCTGCATTGTGAACAGTCGCTACTTATGCGATCGATTGTCGGGGTGAAGATAAGTAAAAGTCCTCGGAAGATCAACGACCTGTGTCGTTCTTACCACGAGGGCGCTTCGATTTGACTGATCTGTTAATATGACAGCACGTCCGTTGTTACGGACACCGGAACGCGACGCTCAGGTAGGAAGTTACAAGAAATGACTTTCACCTATTTTTCAATAGAGCTTGCGACTACTCACTCCAACGGAGGGCGAGGTCCGAGGTGTTCTAGGGACTAACTGAGAGTAGCCTGCTTGGAGAAGACATAAAAACAAGAAATGAACGCACATCAACGGGAAAACGTACAGTATGATGTCGAGTGAAGAACTACCGACGAAATGTCATAGGACCTGTCAGAATGCAACGAACGGGTGTTAAATGTGACCCAGTCATATCGTGCTACGTACGATGCACTGCTAGGAATGCGCGGGATGCTACCATCATCATCGAATCATCCATGGTCACCTAGCGAGCGATCAGCAGGGTCCCTGCCAGTACTTGCAGTGCCTGTTGAAGGTGTTCATCAAGTGATCATGGAAACACATTTGGTTGTGGCTATGCCATTTCTGTCTCCGACAAATTAATGGGGGAGGAGATAATCTCCAAGTCCATATGCCCTCGTAAGCAAGCATATTATACTGACGTATAGAGTCCATGTTTAGTTGGTATTCATAGTAAGATAACATATCCGTGAGTTACTTGATCATTGGCGGTCGATGTGCTGATGGTTAGCAGCTATTTGGAGGGACTTCACCAACTTTTTTTTTTTTCAAACGGGACGCTGTACTGTCAAAGATGATTAACAATAGTGCATGTCGGCCTCACGGGGCGTCCCACCTGGCCGTCCCCAAAATTTCCACCTTACAAATGCTCCCGAGCTTGTTTTGCTACACTTCGATGCCACAATTACATTCATCTCTCACAATTGGTGGCAGTCTGAACGCATCCTATACTATGTCCTCCATTTTAGACTGATCGCGCTGATGGGTTATCTAGGCTCAAGGACTCACTTGAACGCCCGGCTCTTTGCTTATGGAGGTGAGTCTTCAAACGACTGAGCTGAAGTCGGTTCAAGGGCTCTTTGCCTTCATCTGAAGAGTCGAAGCATGTAGAGTTACAGGTAACGTGTAGCCCCACGCCTGAAGACCTCATGTACGAGTGAGATACACACGTATCACAAAACTTCTTATCGTCGTCGTTGTCTAAGCTATATCTCATCCAACTTCCGCACGGAATACGATGCGATCGACGGTCTTTCCGGGCGTGAAGCCGGGCTTTCAGATTGGATATTAACGACGCGCAGATAAGTTTTTCAAGACGTTTGAATGATTATTCATTATCAGCCAGATGTTTAGAGACACTTCACGATGTTGGGTGTGACCGTTGCGCTCAGTTCGCCTCGAAGCATTTCGGTTCACCGGCAGCAAAAGCTGTGGTGAAGAATTATCTCGGCTACCTTGAAGATGTCTATGACACCCTACCCAAACACTAGACGGCATAGATAACCACGGTCAAACTCTTTTTCTCTTAATGTACCTAGCTTGATTTGCCAAGATTGGTTTAACCTTTGTGTGGGAGACCTTGCAGGGTCATCAGGTCCGCATAAGGCCGACATCGGACGGTCTTCTCGGCGACAGGAGTGGGGCTAAAGGGGTCCCCGTTGAATATCCCTATGGAACCCAGATACTCCAAGACCCAAGCTTGTGGCAGAATCTCGCAAATATAGCGTAACCTTATCCGAATTTGCCTCGGGTCCCCCCAGAGAAGGGTCGTTTGTGTTGGAAGCTCGGGGCCAATGGATGTTAATAGCAGTTATCTTAGCAGTGACGATCAGAGAGTACTGTAGATGGCACTAAGTATGCAAGGAGTTAGTACGGTTTCAAAGCCTTGCGTTGCGCGTCGACTGACTTTTCCATTAGTGGTCAAGTCGATGCCGCTGTCATATATGTCTTTGGACTAATGTAGTATTCGATCATCTTCCGTCATATGTTCGGACACGAAATCTACTCTGACCGGTCCGGACTGGTATCACAATGATAGTTGATATTCCGAGGACAATTTCTTTCAGAGAAGGGATCCACTATGAGGGATACTCAGGGGACTTGGTTCAAGGCGAAGCCGTTACGACGGGACCGGGTGGAAGGCTATTTATTCGCCGACCGCAAGATAACAAAGGATGTGAGTTCTGTCACCAGTACCAAATAGTGGACGCGATCATCATTCGTAAGTGGGTATTGTGCGTCTTAGCTACAGCACAAACCTTGCGTCCTAGTCATGGAACACGTGAATGAGAGTCAAATTATAGTACTGAAACGGAAACACCCTTGCCGTGTTTGTAGGGTCTTTCAGATTGTATCCTTTGGTGTCGAGATAACGCGTAGTAGAGAAGCGGGCGAGAGAAAGGAAAAAACGCACTCGATTTCGCTATACACACGCTTTCACAGTTTGTTCTATAGGACTTTTCTTCGCCCGATCGCCCTGTACCGGGTACACGATCAGGGTACGTGTGAAAGGCAGATACATACATACACATGGAGACAGACCCTGTCGTCCGTACTGGCTAAGCCAGGCCAAGCCCCATGATCCTAAAGGTGACTTTCAGATTGATGCCAGTGGCTGAGATACGCACTGTTATAGACTGCTGAATAGCACTTACCGAATAAGTTGTTGACATGGGAAAGCAAGCAGAAAAATGACGGACGTCGTAAGTGAACTCGCGACGGGTCCGCGAAGACACTTCGAAAATTCAGGGCTCTAAGCTGTCGGTCGAACTGCGTCCGTGGGACGGAAATAGGCTATATGACTGTACAGTTAGCAGTCACAAAGTCACGATCAGTGTGTTAGTGGATCGGGCGAGAGCTCCTCTTCGAAGTTACCCTGATAAGTCTGATAAGTCTCATCAGGCTCGCCGAGCCTAGCTCTCGGCGAATGTACAAGGACAGGGCTGCCGCAGGAACCGGATTAGCGCCGGTTAGGTAAGTACATTTGCTGACTGACTGACTGACAGAAATTCCGGTACAAGTTATTATGCACTACAGGATGGAGGACAGCCTGTTATCACCTAATGACTTGGTGCCGGGAGTGCGACGAACGTGCAAGGAGGAGAAGTGGTTGGGCATAGGCTGGCGTGGCGTCATGAATTCAGAATGAGCTGTGAGCTGCGCCATCCCCTTGGAGCGATATTGCAGCTATTGGGTATACATACAGCATGTGCATAACGACGGTAGTCCTGAATTTTCCGTGACAGTCGGGTTCGTACATTTCTCCTCAGTTGTTCTTCGTAGCATGTTCCTTCCGAGCCGTGAGGCAATGTGCAGCGCATCGAAGCCAGAAATGCATTTCAATAATCTAGGCAATAAACAAGCAAATAAGCACAGATATACCCGAAACGAGCCAACAAGACACCTAACTAGAACAGCAAGTGGGAGTACAGACAAATTACAAGACGCACAACACACTTAGGGTACAGTATACACAACCGAAAAGACTTAAACCAGAAGTCAGCCTCGACATTCTATACATAGTGGCAACTTTTTTTTTTTCGCTTTTTTTTTTCCGGTCCTGTTTGGGCGAGAAAGAGAATCATCACAGCGCTCTCCCGGGTACGTCCTCCAGCTCCCTACACATCTCATCCACGATGAAATCGACGGCCTCGGGATTGAGATCGCATTCCCTCAGTCGACTCTGCCAATGCGGAGGATCGCATCCGGGCTCGGAGCGAAGGCATTTGAGTACCTGTTCCTTCACGGCCAAGGAGGCACTACATATTTTGAGAGCCTTTTCAAGCCGGGGCCCTATCTCCCATCCGTGTTCCGACAGCAGATGAGCCACTGCATCCGCATACGAAGGAGGGGAAGTACCGACAGTACTATTGCGGCTGCGGCTTGCTTCGCCGTGGAGGGGGCTGTCCGACCGCGTAACAACCCTGAAGTTCGGGAAGCAGTCTCCCCCTGTGAGGTCAATATCGGAAGGGATGTATCGTTCGATGTCGGTAACTGTCGTGAAAGATTCTTTAGAGGAGTAAGGGGAAGAAGGCAGTGGTGACGGCATGCATAAACCACTGTCATTATATGGTTGAGGATTTGGGGATACTGGGGATGCCAAGGAAACCGTAGAACTAGCAGCTGATGAGCATGCAGACTGAGGAACAGGCTGTGTTGGAGCAGGGCGAGGAGTGGGGGGTAAAGCAATAGATGGCTCAGAAAGACGGTTTAGGGGGGGTATTGAGCGGCGGGTCATGATTGGAGCAGGGGGAACAGGGTTGGAAGCAGAACGATGGCGTTGGGGAACGATCGTGGGGGAAGGAGGGGATAGGGTCGGCGGCTTCCTTGTACTGCGAACTGCATCCAAAGGATATGGCGTGCAAACCGTCGGTGAATGATTGGCATATGGGCTGGAATGAAACGGACTCTGGCTGCCTCCGGGGGAAGGGGGATTATCTGAAGTAGATGGTGATTCAGGCTCCTCGGCATATGGATCAAGTCTGCGTTCAGAGTATGAAGGAGAGAAGCGATTATAAGAGGTAGTTAGGAAGCTGGGAGTTTGAGGAGAAGAAACCGGGCTATAACGTGAGTTCTCGCCGCGAGTGACGTCGATAACTGGGCTCTCTGACGATCGCGTCGAGGAATACGAGTGGCGTTTATTGACGAAGTCCGGAAGAGGGAGATCGGGGGACCTGGGCAGGAATGTTACTGCCCTGGCTTCGCGGAAAGCGTCATGCAGTGAACAGTCTTTGATGAACTGCGCGTCGAAACGAGTAAGTGGCGGCAGTTAGCCGCACTAAACAAGGAGACGGACCTTCTGTTCAAGCTGGCGCAATTTGGTGAGAATGTGGTCCGTTGACCTGCCTTTGTGCTGCTTGCGTTGAATCCATGTTACTAGAGCCTGTCGCGCCCGAACGGTATCAGTACCGCAATTTGCCAAAACGGTGATGACCTATGTATATTCCGACGTCAGAATTCCGGGGCTTCTATTGCAGAGAACGACGACATACCTCGAAGTGGGTGTCGCCGGTAAAGCTGAGGGTGGCAACCATATCGACGAGGGCTGGGGATGGGAATGGGAATGGGGATCGTGTCAGGCTCTTAGCGCAGTCGGCCTGTTAGCGTTTTATGTAGTGTCAGGGAGTAGGGGGCACCTCTCCCCTAAATGGATTGGGAATCTTCCATTACGTAAATTGCCACTGTCCGATGGAATCAGTGGGTGTCCCGGCCAATCACGTCGGTTGAGGGCCACGCACGTGTAGTTTATGGATTAGGACAGGCTGGAGGCAACTGGCGTTATCAAGAATTTAAACGCTACTGACAGAAAAAAATACCCACACGGCATATGAGGCTGTATGTCTGTAGACTTGGCGCTGAAAGATCTGCCCGTGCTGATATCCTGCTTACTATTTCCGCATGACACTGGAAAGAGTCTCACTCTCTTTCGTTAACACGTTCGTTCATGCAGGGGTAATTACCTAAATGGCTGTCCATCTGGCTCAAGGTCTGTGTGTTTGTGTTGACCTCCAATGATCCGGAATAACAAGACGTACTCTCTTCTGTATTTGACTTGAGTGACCCCCGTGGATGGCTGTCTGACGCGGCCGAGAACGATCAGGTTACCATTTCAAGCTTAGAGGTTTGTGGGGTTCTCCCTGAGCGTGTGACCACCCACGTATATTGTGTAATCAAATGACTGCAAAACTTCTTGGAAAGTTAACTTCCCATTGACCTTGGGCCTCCGGTGTACCAGCATTTCACACTCATACTCTCCAGTGGATATTATATATATCATGGCATTATCACAGAGTTTATGAACGTCGAGCGACGACGCCATTTCACTACATAATATCCGTGCATATATTACATAATCAAGAATCGTGAGGTTAAATTTGCAGGATTCGACATCTCCCGAGGTTCCACCTGATCCGATGCATCGCGAGTACCGAAGGCTATGCTTGTTTATTGTTTGTTGGCCGAAAGGAAAGGCCTATGGAAAAGTGAGAGCTGTGAGGGCTGAGCTTCTACAAGGAGAGTGATCCCTGAGTCCATAGAAATGGCCTCACAGCTGCGCATATGATGGTACCTTGGGGCGTTAGTAAAGAGGTTCAAATCTCAGTCAATCAATCTAAGAGATGCCGTGAACTGTTCACACGATCATCGATCAACCTGCGAGGAGGTTAAGATTCTTTGCGCCACAACGATATCACGGGACTGTGAGACCCTCTGTGGCCTCCGAATTTGAATGCCATTCCGGGGGCCCCGACCCCGTGATATTGTTTGTGTCGTCATTGACACACCATGCACCAGCTTTCAAGCTTTCAAGCTTTCAGGAGCTGTAGCCCGCTGTAGCGCACGAACGCGGGCTGAGTTTAGTAGGAACGTGCGTTAGCTGCCTCGGACTGTCTGTTAGTTATATATACTAGTCAGGACTAATATCAGGTACCAAAGGTGCCCTGACAAGGGGTCGTGTACTGCTCACCGTCAATATTGCTGACCCACATTGCAAGGATGAGAGATGGCAACCTATGGCAACGCGGTACAAGCACGTGTGCTGTCCACACACGAAGCTTCATGATAATTCTACGAGCTCCGCGCGCGGATTCCCGAACCTTCGGGTGGCTGGAAGTTTTGGACTGACATTATTCAATGGACGTGATCACCGATCATATCGACCACTATCGAATTGAAGGCAGACTGAGCAATTCGGTTTGCACTATCTTGCTCAGAGCGCAGTACTCGCATCATAGGCTACAGCCATGACACGCGAATCCGGAGCCTTCCAGCACCAGCGGGGCTCAGATCGTGGAGTAAGTCGGTAATGCGATGTGCTAGTCTGCTCTCTTGCGCCAAATAAGGAAATTAGTCTTGTCGCAGTGACATCACCAGCAGGGTTGGCCCAACCACCGGTCCCATGGGACGTTACAGTAATGACGTCGCAATGCGGTCATACCTCGCATTTAGGAGACCTACTTAAACCTCACCCGGTTCCCAGAGCCTTCTGTATTTTTCGCCTCATTCTTTCCACTTACTTTCAGTTATGTCTCTCCCACCTGCACCTAAAGATATCTCTGAGCATCCAGAAACTGGTGCTGTAACTTCACCAGTGGACAGACGTGCCAAAGAAGCGGACGTCGACAGAAAAGTAAGCTCGTTGCTGTTAAACCCGAGAAAAAGAAGAAAAACCGACTTGCATTCAGCTCCGTTTTTACGGTGTTATCCAAGCCTTTAGACAGGGGCGCATGCCCGACAATCGTCAGATCGACGAGACTCTGAAATATGTTAACGAGCACTCGCCGGTCGATGTTGACCAGCTCTCGCCAGATGGCAAGAAGCTCGTTCAGGATTCCCGCGACATAATCGAAACTGCACGACTCATTGTCAAGCAGAAGAACGCAGATGAGCTGTTCCAGAAGTTTGTCTGGCACACACGCGATGTTTCTATTGAAGCTGTGAAAACGGATCCGAGCGAAGCGTCGCAGGTTAACCAAGAAAAGTTGACGGAAGATCGCAAACAAGGTGATTCTTGAATGGTCTTCCAGGGGTACACGGCACTTACGGTTCTTTGTAGCTGTCCGCCACCTCCGTACCATTTTGACCCTCATACTTACGAACTCGGAAGTTCGGAAACTACTCTCTGACTTCTCGGTCATCGGACGCGACCTTCTTGCAAAGGGCGCCGCAAAGGCGGTGGAGGCTTTACGTCCAACGCAGGAAGAGCTCGCCAGAGTTAACGAGCCAGCGCCCCCCGACCAATTCGTTAGCCGTGGAGGACAGAAAGTAGGGCCTGGGGAGGTCCCTGTGTTGGGCGCCAAGATCCCCGGTACCGATGTCACCGTCGAGCAACATCCACACGCGGACGAACCCAAAGTTGTTACTGGAGAAGGCGAGGAGAAACCAGGCAGTCAAGCCGTAAAAGAAGGTGTGGAACAAGCGCAGCGGCAGTACGGCGATGCTGTCGGTCAGGCCGGTGAAGTGAAAGAGCAAACATATCAAAATGCGCAGCAGAAGGCTAGAAAGGTTGGCGAAGAGGGGTGAGTAGTTCGACATTTTGTTACCGACTGACTAGTTGACCACATAGCAGAGATGTGGGTGGCACTCGTGCCGAGACTTCCCAAGAAGCGGAGAAGAAAAAACAAGGATTCATGGAGCGCGTAAAGGGTGTTCGGGTACGTGAGCTTTGACCGTAATCCTAGTAAACTAGGCTGACGCCCGTGTTTCAGGAGAATGTCGCTGAACGCATACCACAACAGCATAAGGATAAAGCTCAAGAACAATACGAGCGCGGACGAAAATTCTTGGCGGAGGAATATTTCCCGGAGGAGCGTCGAGACCAATTCATCTATCGTGGCAAGAAGGTCATCATCGAGTGTCAGAAACACGAGGATTACCAGGACGCGTTTAGATGGCTCCTGTCGGTGGCCGAAGATTATGCCAATCGCGGGCTAGCCGTCGCAGGACGAGGGAAGGAAAGCGGAGAAGCATTTATATCGGTCGGTAACACATACGTAGCTTGTGATCGAAGCTGACCTGCTTTTAAGGACCCCACTCTGCGTCACGCAATGTCGGAATTGCGCGAGTTGATGGAGCGCTTCGCTAACGGGAAGAGCATGAATATAATCTTCGATGCCACAGATGCTCTAATCGACGATGCCAGGCGGGACGAGGAGTTCCGGAACTGGTTTAAGCGTTTGAACAATTACATCCATAGGGTCAGTGATTTGTCACGCGCAGTGTTGTGTGCCGCTCACCAAGTTGCAGATTTTGCTAGAAGCCGGTTACGTCCTCGATGAGGGATGCAACAGCGAGGGTAACGAAATCCGCGAGTCGGGTCGCAAGTTTTGGGATGGCAAGTATCGCACCCACTTCGACAACCTCTTCAATGCCGTCGGAAAGTGGTTCTCGGCCATGGCAGATGACCCACTGAACAAGCGCTTCGGGGAAGACTGGGCTCGTCTGACGAAGGACCTTCTGTTCGACAGCGAAGGTAGTTTGAAGTTCAAACCGGAATTGTGGTCAGATATTCGTAAAGTCATCGTTCCAGCACTTGTTGACAAGGTATGCAATGCCGTGACGTGTCCGCGCACGTCGGCTGACCATCTCTTAGATTGGGTATATTCCTATCCCACGTGTCGAGTATACCGATGACACGATCGACCTTGTCGTCGAGAACCTGACTCTTCAAGGCCGCAATTTGTTCCCGAATATCGTTACGCTTGATGCACACAACTTCTTGAAGTTCAGTCCCTACAACACGATATCCGATGAGCACCATCACGAATTTGTGTTCAAGTTCGCCCAGATGCAGGCGGACATGCGGGACGTCGCGATCTACTACCGCAAGAAGACTGGTTTCCCCAAGGTTGTGGACTCGGGTATCGCCGATGTTCTCATCGGCGGGAATGGTTTGACGGCTACGGTCCATCTGGTATCTGCTGATAAAGATAAGAGCTCGGTCTTCAAGGTTAAGAGCGTGCAAGTCAAGGTCGACACCCTCAAGTTCAGCATTCGCGACTCGAAGCATGATTTGTTGTACAAGACCCTGATGCCGCTGGCCACCGGCCTCGTCAAGAGACAAATTCAGAAAGCGATTGCAGATGGCATCCATACGGGACTCGAGTACCTGGACGGCCAGTTGGTTGCAGTCAGAGACCGGATGAAAGAGGCGAAGACAAGCAGCGATATCAGTAGGACGCAGGCTCTCCAAGATGTGAGCGTGATACCGCATGATGTCCTACTACGTCCAGAAAGCGCTGACTACACGTTCTTCAGCTTTTCAGACGCAGGAAGGAAGAAAGCATCAAGACGACGGAGAGCAAATCGCAATTCAAGGTCGTCCACACTAAGCGCGAGTCCATCATTGGTGCGGAGACTCCTGCTGGCTGGATTCACCGAGTGAACGAGCGCGAGGAGAAAGCTACGACTGGCGAGGGCTGGAAGAGCGAAGCGTAAGCATGCATCCGACATTTTATCAGCCCTACCACTGATCCGGACCCATGTTCAGTTTTAGTATCGTCGCATGAATACCTTGGTGTTCCTTTTGAATGTCTGGGGCTACTTGTGCATGAATGTTTTGTATGGTCGTGAGTGCCTTTGTGCGATTTATACCTGTCTGCGGACACGTTGTCTGGTTGTTGTAATATGCGTTTTGTCACATGCCATTTTACTTTCGAAGTACGCTACTAGTAGTACCTACTGCATTGCCTCGTAATGAAAGTTTTTTTCGGACTCAATTTCAGGTGGCCCGCATCGTCCGAAACAGTTTGTTGGCGACTAATCTGTACGGTCCCCTTGGGGACGCTCGGTAAATTCAGTCACGATGTCCGAACGATCAGAACAATTACATGAGAAGCAACACAATATAGTCCATGCGAATGCGAGTATCAAGTAAGCGAGTTCCTCAGGCCCCTAACAAACAGTCACAGTCTCATTCAGATATTGAACCACTGGCATGTAACCCGCCTGTAAAAGAGCACCGGCACATGTTAAACTCGCTCAGGAGAGAAATTGCGGCAGAAAGACCTACCCCGACCATGAAGAAGTTAATCACACCGAGCTGGGCAGTCCCGCTGGAGAACGAACTCGGCACGGCGACGGAATAATTGGCGGTCAACTGTCCGACTGGAGGGGTGAACGGACCCTGATAGAGGATGCTGCCCATGACTTCGGTGGGTGGATCGCACTGCGTCCCCAAGCAGTGTTGTAGACCGATCACAACGGCGACGACATCAATGTTCTCGGGGAAGTTCTGTTGTTAGGTGAGCCAATCGGCAACGGTCATGACTGAGCGCACATAGTACGTACCGACATTTGTAGTTGGACAGTGAAGTTATTGCCAGGGGTCAGAGTAGTGCCAGCAGGTGGTGCCAAGATCTCCATCGACTGGGCCAAGGCAAACCCGAGGAGCGTAGCAAGGTAAAGCAGAGTCTTCGCGAAATACATCTTGGAGTCCGCGCCAAGATCAGCGTATGGGTATGAGCAAGGAATGAGTGTGCTAAAAACAGGAGGTGAGGAGGGGCGTTTTTGTTTGGTGAAAGTGGGGCATTGCACTCTTTAATATCATGGTCAGGTCAAGTATGCAGTGCGAGTACATTACGAGTGACTCGTCGATTGTATGTCCATGACGCTGGCAATCAATCACGGAGGCGCCAGCAACCTCCGACCGCGAACGGGTCCCTGCAGAAGTCGCATGACATTCCATGCAGGTTTTCAATTTCCACCGCAGCGCCTTCTGGATCCGCGATGGCGGAATACAGCCTTACATTGAGATCACAGGAACGGACGGCCAACGATGGCCGAGGTGCGTTCGGCTACGTCAAGGATGGGTCACGTTCGTGGTCATGCTGTGTTCACTTGAGCATGTGGTGTCAGGTCCGAAATGAAGCCTGTCACTGAACGATGAGGGCTGAAAGCTAGAATAGGAGGACACTGGTCTACTGCACCCAGGACTGCGAACTTTGAATGAGGTCACGAGTGTGCAGTCTCTGACCTTAAGGCCACCCCCATTCGCGGTGAACGCGGAGACAATAGTGTTCAGCCCGCCTTCGCCCCTGACTCCCAACTGGGACAACTACTGTCACGAGCGAGCAGCGTGCGATGAAATGTTTGCCTCGCTTTTTAGGATTTTGGGTGCAATCTGGGTCACGCCGGTCAATTATGACTACGTGTCGTCGTGCTCGCAGATTGGCAACTGTCTTCCGAGTATAGACAGCTTCTGCTCGGAAAGATCAAGTCCGACGGGTTGAACGCAGGGTAGTATTATGGACAGCGTTTCTCTTCCAATGTCCAGACCTACTGGTAGTTTCATGGCTCACCTACTCGCTTTATTTTAAGATGAAGCCACTCGAAAATGATGAAGCATACTGTACAACCCATCAGCAAATTGAAAGGGAGGGTTTTGGCTTAGTTGTTAGGGAGGTTTGTTTGAATCGGATTGTCGGAGAGGACTTCCGCGCAAAAATGATAACTCGTTCTCCGTTGAAGGCGATTCTACGTCATACAGCCATTGTTTCCTACCTGTAGCTAACTCATAAGCCGCGTGCCTCTTCCCCTCAGTCACGTTTCTTCACCACCCACGAACCTGATAATCGGCAAATGTATCCTTGGTTGTTGTTGCCATTGAGCGATATTTCAACCCAAGGATGCGATCAGACTTCGACGCATCATAAATAACCAGATGTACGGTATGGGGATGTCCGGTACCAGAGCCAGGATGGCCTTTGGGGATGGGCTTCGATAGCTTAGGAGGAGGGTTCAGGGCATTGGCCATATCAACTAATGGAGAATCGGTATCACGAAGTGTAGAATTTCCTTGGATTACTTACTGAAATCTTGCCACTTGAAAAGGCCTCAGAAGAGTCAATAGCTTGGCACCTGGGAAACAACTGTCCAAGTGGGGGTACGTACCGCCACTGATAATTATCCGTTCACCCCCCGCCTCCTGCTTTTCAAGTGCAAGTCGGTGGGCTTCTGCTACATCACGAACGTCGACCCAACAAGTACCATTTTTAGCGAGGAAGTCGTTGCCAGCTGCTTCGGCTTTTGAAGCATCTGCAACGTAATCGTAGAACAGCTTCGTAGATGTGTTGAGTGAAGCAGGATCTGTCAGTTCATGTATAGCAGGCTGTCAAATGAACAATAAGGCTCCTAGTATGTTCGTCAAGTGAGATAGCGAGTACCCCAAAGACCTTATAAAGCATTGCTCAGTGACTGGCGGGGTATACAAACACCAAAGAGGGAGCCTACGAATGGAGGATTGAGGCAAGTCACGTCCCACTTGATCTCTTGTTTATGGTCTTCCACGAACTTCCAGGCAGCTTTTGGTTGTGGGTGAAATTAGTGAAAGGTTGAAACATAAAATAGATCAAGTAACCCACCCTTCTCCGCAGCTGTCTTTGATGCCCTGTATTTCACCATGTTCGGAGCCTTTTCCCCTAGCTCGTTCACCAAATCGAGAGATTGTTGGTTCCAATCCTTCTCAGTGAACGTGATCGGAGTAGGCTCGTCGCGTACGATTGCTCCGACAGACGAAGTAATGACAACACGTTTAACAAAAAGACTGCAAACATATCAATGACGGGACTCCGTTACAAATGACTACTGCCACTAACCCATGCTTAAACGCGCTTTCCAAGATTCCAACTGTACCATTCACAGCTGGTTCGATCAATTCTGTGGAGTTGCTATGGCGTACCGCACATGAGGTCACGTTGGTTGGACACTCACCCTCAGGACGTTGTGCATTGAAATGGAAAGGAGAAGCCATGTGAGCAATTGCGTCTACATCTTCAACGAGTTCATCGAATGCTCCTTCCTGCGGGGTCCCGATCGCACTCAACGTTAGGTCGAAGTTCGCTTTACCGCAAGTTGAGGCTTAAAAGAAGCAGACCTTGGCAATGTCGTCAACGACGGCAATTTCAAGCTTATCGCCGTACTCTGCGAACTGTTTCTGGACATGTTCCGCCTTTTTCGCGGAGCGCACCGTTCCCCGAACGGAGTATCCTTGCTGGAGGAACTCGCGAACGACCCACATTGCAATGTACCCATTTGTGCCGGTGACGAGTACCTTGCCTGGAGATTGGAGGGCGGGCATGATTCAAAGGGATTAGCGAGCCGGACACAGAAAGATGATCTGCGAAGCGCCATTCGCTATTTATTTGCAGTTATTCCAGGTTCTAACTTGCTGACAAGTCCTGTACGTGTGTGTGCGAATATCATACTACCTCTTGACGTCAAGTAGTGTGAGACAGATCAATCGATCAACTACTGGCTACTCCTTCAAAGGCCAGTTGTCCCAAACACAATCCTCCTGGAACATCCAATGAAGCTCAAGTTGTTGGTGCAGTTTTCTACAGTACTTCTGCATTGCACCTTTCTGTGTCTCTTTGGCATGTGCTTGTAGGCACGGTGTCCCACCGATCAGCAAAAGACTTCTCCGTGACGACTCCCGGACTCCGTGCTGAGGATAACTTGTTGCGGTTCTTCGGCTTAGCTGTGGCATTGTTTCGCCTTTCTACCGGGTAGAAGTTAGGAGTTTGTTTTCACGACGGTGTACTTTCGGGGCTGGCTGAGTGTCAGCGTATGGACAGCCATTGGACAACGCTGAAGAAGTACTGATGCCTACTATATGTAACAGGAAGCAACTCACGAGGCCGCCCCTTGATGGTCTTGTCATGCACTCGCAACGTACTCACAGGCTGATGCACAGACAGTACGGATCGCCATTCCTTTCTTCAACGGATATGCAGCGGTGTCGGCTGCCTTTGTATTCTAGGGTCTCCAATTTGAACCGCGCGGCGTCAGATACCGGAGCTGTCCCAGAATCTCCCGATTTAAAGTCCCCATAAATACAATCTACTTCAAGCTGGCCGATCCTCCCTAACACGATCAATTTTTGTTTGTGGATTAGCCACAGTAACTGCGCGAGAAACCTCTGTGCGATAAAAACATCCGCTAACCAAATATCAAGCTGGTGGTATGCGCTGCGAACGTAGATCTCGCTAATTCTCCGGGGACGAGGATCAAGGGCGACCGGAACCTTTGGCCTGGCGAGGGGAATGAGTTTGACAGTGCTATGCTAGCGCTACAAGCCACGCGGGAAGACTGAAAGAGTAAGCCTTTCGAAGCGTGCAGCTGCCACTGCAGCACACTTGTAGGTTGGAAGTGGACGAGTGAGCTGTTCAACGCACCGACTAACAATCTACTCCAAGGTTGGTGATAATACTCTGCAATTCGTTACGCACGGTAGAGCATCATCCATGGCTTACCAAATCGCAGAACCGCAGTGCCATTTTGACAAGTTTTGGAGGGTGGGGACAATGGAGGACCCGTTGAAACAGTCCTCCACAGAAGTTTGCTCCCGTCTGATGGAGGACTTATTTCTCACATCGGAGGCGGTTAGAAATTCAAGCCAGAACCGTGAAGGTCTGTCATCACAAAGGTATATTTTCAACAGCAGCTCCCTGCGGACATAACGACAGCCATTGGACATACTACGTCTCGTCTGGCAAGGAAGCGAGAAGGAAAGGTGTGTTAGTTGGGGTCATGCCATGATTGATTTGCATGTTGTGCGTGGCACACCATGACTGGCTGGCAGCTTTTGACACATGAAGAGTTTAATAAGTTATTTGACTCGCTTATCAAACTTAAAGCTAACGTCTGTACCGTGCAAAATCCTCGGAATGTGTGACTGAATATGTCTCTGGAGGAGTCCTGAGGGGACTCCATACACAAGGGTTCCGTCGTTGTCGGATCTGAGCAAGATTGTGATGTGTCATGATTATGCAGGGAAGTTTGTGGTTCGACAGTCTCTGGGACTAGCTGATTACCTGGCATGCAAAGCCTACAACTCATTAGAGTATTAAATGCGAGTGGTGATACTAAGCAACGACTCATCTCGAGCACAGAAATTAGATCGGGACGAAACTATCACTGGCACTTGAACTCGGGAATGATGTGTCTACTTGTGTTTGCAAGACGGCACATTTCGAGTTCAGTCAGAGTTTCATCCACGGAAAAGATGTTTATGCGATTTTACCATTACACAATCGGAGGACGTGAACGCTGTTTGGGTTGGCCACGGTCGTATCCCTGGCGGCCTTTAACCAGGAATGGATTCATCTTTGTCGACGTGTGACAGAGATTCGAGAGCCATTGCATCCGCTTACTTGGCCCAATGCATGTGCCTGACATGCTCGTGTTACCTACATGCTAACTTGACAGGTAATGTTAAGTAGTTCAAGCACTTGTCAAGTAAACTCATGATTTGTCGATTGGCAGCTTGACTTCTCGACGATGGCCAGGAGGGCGAATGTAATGGTTAACCAATAATGCCTTGCAATGTTACTTAGTCCTTTTCTTTTTCCTGCTTCTCTTTATGTCTTGTTTTAGTTGTTGCTTGTCTCCCGCCACACTCTCGAACATATATAAGGATGTAGATATTCGTGTATTGCACCCAGTCTATCTCTTACAGAGAGACCTTTGGCTGGTTCTTCCTGAGCAATTGTAAGATTACTTCCTATGACAACAGACTATCAATGTGACCATATGGACATGTTATCTTATTCTCTAAGAGGGTTGTTCTCCCCTCAGACCATGTCATGCTAATTATGACTTTTGTGATCACACTGCTCTCTCGCATCTGGCTCTACATAAGTGCCGAGATTGTATGTAATGGTCTAGAGGCTGTAAGACAGCATTGAAATTGGATTTGCACACATTTTCTTGTTCTGCTACTTATTCTATTTACTATGAACACTTGGGCACTGGTATGCTTACAGGGTGCTCATCAAGGCCTTCTGGAGGACAGTGACCACAAAATTTGTACACTCATACAGAAGCCCAATGGCATGAAGTCAGATTTGCATGTGTAAGTGGATGTCTTTTTATCAAAAGCAATAATTACTTAAATGGTCAATAACAGTATCCCTGGTGAACATACTGGTCTCCAGGATCCTGTTGTTGAACAACTATACCAATTTCTTTGCATGCAATTCCATGGAAGTCAGGCTAGAAAACCCTCAATGGACATGCCAGATAGCATCAGCAGAACTACAGCCATCTTAATTTTACTTAATTACAACTTATTACAACTTAATTACTTGGCCATTTATGCCAAGCCACTGAGTAACATCAAGTTAAAAAGACTTGCTTAGGCAATTTCATCCAAAATCACACCAAGTATTTAAGTCCAATAAGACAGTTCAAGCATTATCATGCCTACCCAAGTCATCCAAGTGATATTAAGTCAGTCTAATTAAACTAAGTAATGGCATGAAAATGACAGCTTGAATGCATGGTGGTCCACAAAATGATTAATGTAGAATCTGTGGTAAACATCCAATGAATTATTGAAGCTAATGGACAGTGGAACATGCTCCTGACCAAAAATAGGAATTAAATGTGCTGCTCATATGATGGTGTTGATGTGAACAACAGCAAGGTGGTGAGTTCTGTTGTCCAGGAAGGATGGTTTTATCATCCACATCCCAGTCAGTTCATCAGGTATGTCTGCTATGTAATCAAACCAATGAATGAGAGCACATGGGTATGATAAGCCATTGGTGCATGGTAACAAAAAAAAGCAAAGAACCTGGGCTACATTTGTGCCCTCCATCCCATCATGTGTGTCATCTGTGTTCACAAACACAGTGTCATAATGTTCAGGACCACCATACCAGGATGGTGTTGCTTGAATCTGTTCATGGAATGTGCTCCCAATCCTGCAAGGATCACTTGGTGAGACAAACATCACACTGGCAGAGTGGAAAACCTTGATACAACCTGTGGGAGTTGCCAAGCACTGAAGCTCAGTGTCCAATGTGTTGAGTTGGTGAGACAAAAACTCCTGAAGGAGGTTGGGAAATGCTGGAACTCCAAGCTTGTCTGCAAGCAAGAGGACTTTGGTGGCACAGTTTCCAGCTGTTACCATTAGTGAGATTAAGATGTGTAATAAGATGCCAAAGATTGATGTGATACCTGGCACTCATGCTAGTTTGACAATGGAGTGAATGGTTTCCAACCTTTCATCTGTGATGCCAGGATCATTGACATTGTCAAACTGGTCATGTTCTGGATCCATTTCTCTGAGTATGGGAACAGAATCAATGTGAAGATCACCTAGCTTTGAATTAGTCCAATGGCTGTGAAGCAGTGAGAAACAAATGTACATAGATAGTGGGAGTGGCTTAATGCAATTGAACCCTTCAGCATTCTGTGCTTTTCAAAGTCAACAGCTGCTGCTGTGAGTTTGTCTAAATGCTGATTTGTTAGCAGCATTTGACCAAGTGCCTTATACTTGTTGGAATGTCTCCATGGCTCTTTCACTGCCTTGATATGTTTCAATTCCATGATCAACATACAGAGGCCATTTGGTGCACCAAATGATCTGATGAGTGCCACATAGTGGACAAGTGAGTGTTGATAGGGAAGAGAGAATCCATCTGGGTGGACACCAGTAGAGCAAAAGATTTCATGATAACAGTGGAATCAAGTGAGGGCATCTTGAATCTCCACCAATGTTTCATCAGTGATTGCATCCCTCCAAACAAGGTAGCAGAATTCCAAAAATGCCCAAAAGGTATGAACAATTTTGTCCAGGACATAGCCTTCAATGGCAGGGAGGTAAACCTTCATGAATGTCAATGCAATGAAAGGAATCCAGTGTGTTGGACAAGAAACAAACCTTCATTAGTGCTTTTGAGTCATTGCCTGTCCATTGTGAAAATCCCCATCCCTCAGGAAAATGTCACAGACCTGAAAAGGATGGAACAACTGCAATGCTATTATTCACATATTGGATTAGTAAGTGCATCAACTTGGAGTAAAATGTCTTACTGTTAATTAATATCAGCTAGAATTTCCTTTGCTCCAGCCTTTCCATGAGTTTGCTCAAGGTACTTTGTCACCCACTCAACCAAATGATCCTTAAACATCCCTTTGATCAGTTGATGTAGGATGTCAGGTGCTAATAACAAGTAGATGCTGGCTTGAGGGAACTCATCAGTAAACAGCTGCAACTGCAATGAGTCCAAATCACATCTAAAATCCAAACTTTGTACCTCAATCTCTACATCCATCCCCCATTCATCCCACAATTCAACAAGTGAGAACACATGCTTCAGCATGTCAGCAAGTGAGCAGGAACAAGGCACACCACCTCCATCCAAGTTATCTGGGGTTGCCATACATCTAGAATGGATCATCAGCCCCATCCAAAATACCTTGAATTGTGTCTACTCACTGGCCACACCAATTCTGCACAATGCAAGCAAGTAAAACCTGTTCTGGATAGTCAGCAATATAAGGCCCAAGGCCATAAATGATGCGATGAACATGGCCATCTGGGCAGTGGAGAACCTCTGGGGTCATCATACCAGTCTTGAGTGGTTGAAGAATTCATGCAAGTGCCATATGAAAAGTTTGTTTCTTGAACTTGTGGAAGAGGACATCATCTGAGTGTTTTTTGCTGGCTGCATTCAAGTCTTGGATCAGTGTATGAGGGAGAGAAGTAAATAGTGTAACAACCTTTTGGAATAGGTAAGAGAGCTACTAGGATGATGGAATTGTGATGCACATGCTGAACATGGTTATGAACATTGCCAATGGAAAGGTAGATGGGCCAGTAGTCATTCTGGCCCATAGCAACTGATATGGTTGTTTTGTCACTGCCCAGGATAATCAGGATGAATGTTGCACCATCTGCTTGAGGCTCTTTTGCAATTTCATCCTGGAAGAACAGTTAGTAATGAAAGCCACCAGTAGTGTTGCTGAGGTACACACTGTGTGTTCCCAAGCCCACTTGCTGGACATGAAATCCTTATACCTTTGTGAGTGACTGTCTGCTGAAAATTCATGATACAGAGCATAGTCAATTTCTGCATTAAAGTCAGTATTGGAAAGAATATTCTTGATGACAACTTGGGGGTCCTGGAACCAGACATCATATGACTTATTCATCCAGGAAGGAACACCTTCTGATGGTTTGTTGCCACTGTACTTGAGCCTGAAGCTCTCCCAAGGTGCATCACCTGTTGGGGTCACATCAATGGTTTCATAGAGATCAGTGTGGTCAGCAAATGGTGGGGTATCTTGATGAGGTGCAAGAGACAATCCCCATAAGTGAAGTAACTGGTCAATTTTACCTGCTGACAATTGTGCTTGAGAAAAGAGGAGTTGAGCAGTCTCAAACTCCAGGTGGTTCTGATATGGTGTTGAGTATTGCGCAGAGGAACGGGAGAATATGAAGAGCAATAGACAAGAACACTTGCCTCGTTAGAACGGTAGTAGATTTAGATATTAGCAACTTGTTAGTTGAGGGGCTCAGTTGTCAAGTAGACAGGTGAAGAACGAATGTAGAATTCGATAGGGACCTAGGGAGAAAGTCCCGAGTTTATATACATGAGTAGGTATGCACGGACCAGTAGCATAAAAGGAAACTACTACTCAGTATAGTAAAGAATAGCATGGAAGGTCATGGAATATGACATATGATATGACATCATTGTGGAGCTGATTGATAAGAAATGTCATGTGATGAACAACGTGTTGATACACGTGTAAGTCTGGATCAATCTAGATGTCAGAACTATTTCCAACACTCCCCCTCGCTCTAAAATGGTAAGGTCACAAGACCCATTGACGAGCAATTAGTTTCGAACTTCTACCATGTTAAAGATTTTGTAAGGCCGTCTGCTTTTTGTTTATCAGTTTGAACATATTCAATACTGAATAAACCATCTTGAACACATTCACAAATGAAGTGCCATTGGACGTTGATATGTTTAGACCATCTGTCTGATACAGGATTCTCAGCTATAAAGCGAGCTCCCATATTATCACAGTAGAGAATAGTCTTCTCAGTCTTTATTTTGAGTTCATCAAATAGCATAGACAGCCATTTGATTTGATGTGCAGCATCGCATAAAGCCATATACTCGGCTTCAGTGGAGGAAAGTGCGATAGTCTTCTGTTTCCTTGAATGCCAAGAGATTAGGGAATTGCCAAGAAACATGGCATAACCAGTGGTAGAATGACATGTGTCTTTATTTGCAGCCCAATCAGAATCTGCAAAGCCATAGATTCGAGATTCCAGTCCCAAATAGTATAAAGCCAATTTTGGAGTTGATGCAATATAGCGAACTATATGCAAGGCTTTATTTTTATGGTCTTTGGTAGGATTTGCCATATATTGAGACATGCAAATAACTGCAAAGGCAATATCGGGACGAGTACCAAGAGCCATATAGAGTAATGACCCTATAATTGATTGGTACTGTGACCGAAGAGAAGATGTGGCTTGATAATCTGATGGTGCTTTTTCCAGTTGATATCCCAAAGGTAATGGAGTGCGAACATTTCGAGCAGTCTCCATATTGAACCTTTTGATAACTTTTTTGACATAAGGTATCTGGTCAAGATAAATTTCCTTTTTCAACCTATCTCGGTGAATTTGAATGCCAAGGTATTCCTTGACTTCACCAAGATCTCAGGATTCCCATTTCTTCATAAATTGTTCTTTCTTGGCTTTCAGAAGATGTTTGTCCGAACCTAGAAATAATCCATCATCTACATAGACGAGGAAAATGACAATTCCAGCTTTGGATATATGGATATATATCCCAGCATCCACTTTTGATTGGATATAGCCCATTTGAAGTAAGGATTGATGGAGGGCTTTATTCCATGCCAATGCAGCTTGCTTTAAGCCATAAAGGGCTCTAAGCAACCAATAAACCTTGTGTTCTTGACCCAACACTTTGAAACCTTCTGGTTGCTCCATATAGATTTCTTCATCAAGATTGCCATATAAGAAGGCAGTTTTGACATCCAGGGCTTCTGTATCCCAATTTCTCTGGGCAGTGAATGCAAGTAAGATTCAAACAGTTTCGAATCGAGCCACTGGAGAGAAGGTATCTTCAAAGTCGGTACCAAATCCTTGTGTAAAGCCTTTTGCCACAAGACAAGCTTTATAATGACCATTGCTTTTGATAGCAAAAACCCATCGACACTTTACGGGTTTCCAATCTCTAGGAGGATCCACCAAGGTCCATACTTGTCTTTCTTCAATTGATTTTAATTTGTCTTTCATCGCATTGAACCACTTCTTTTGTAAATTGGGAGATAATTTAAGCACATCTTTATAATGTTCCGGTGATTCTTTAATCCAGGCAGCCAATGCAAACTCAAAAGGATGCATTTCTAACTGTTGATCTGGCATGCCTTTTGGAGAATCAGGAGTGTCCGGAATTGGGGTAAGTGGAGATCCAGGAGATGGAGGAGTAGTTCCTTGTGGATGTTCAGTCCACTGACAAGGAACTTCAGGAGGAATCATTGCAGGAGGTAACCTCGGAGAAGGAGGTCTGTTCTCTTCTGCATATCTCTGAATATCTTCTCTGGAATTGTGAGCATGTTGCTCGGCATTACGAATCCACTGTTGTGCTTGATCCTGATTTTGTTGTATATCTCTTTCAATCTGGACTGGAGGTCTATCTCCATATATGTTTCCAGGTTGAGATACTGGTATAAATTGACATTTAGGATGAGGTTCTCTGTCATCAGCAGGAGGTTGAGCTCTGTGAACATTACATGAGTCTCCTTGAATAAATTCTGGTTGATGAGGATGTCTAAGATGACGAGGGTCAACTGGTGGTGCAGCAACAGGTGCTCTTCTTTGTTGTTGAGCTCTTGGCTGGTCTGCAGCTCTCTGTTGTGGGTTTTGTGGTTGTGGAGGAGTTAATGGACAAGGTGGTTGGCATTGATGAGGTGCTGGTTGGATCTGATCAGGATCTGGAAGTGAATGAAGGCTTTCAGAGTCGGAAGTAGATGATTCATGGTTGTCTTCAGTATCGGGGTCAAAGGTTTCAGATTTTGTAGAATCAGAGCAGAAAGGAAAAGAATCTTCTATAAACTTTGCAGTGTGAGAAAGAATAATCTTTTGTCCATATAGGAACCAATATCCTTTAGTATTAGGCTCATAGCCTAAGAAGATCATTTTGACTGCATGAGGTTCCAGTTTGTCTTTACATTGTTCTTTGGGAACCCATACAAAGGCTTTGCATCCAAAGGTGCGAAAATAGGTGATATCTGGGATTTTTCCTAAGAACAATTCGACCGGAGTCTTGAAAAGAATCCTCTTGAGAGGAGTTCTATTGTACACATGAAGTGCACAATCAAAGGCAAAGTTCCAGAAGCGTTTTGGAACACATGCATGATGTCAAATAGTACCAGCTTTTTCTTGTATGGTCCGATTAAATCATTCTGCTTGACCATTTTGTTGTGGTTGATCAGCAATTGACAATTGATGGGTAACTCCGCATGAAGAAAGGAGCGCTTTGAAAGTAGTACCCATAAATTCTCCCCCTTGATCCGAACAGAGTGCAATAAGATGGTGTCCAGTAGTATTTTGCATAGAGACCATCCAATTGGCAAAGGCAGTATAGGTGTTGGATTTGTTGCGAAGGTAGAGACAGAACCCATAAGATGAATAATCATCCAAGAGGGTAAGAATGTATTTGGACCGAAAGTAAGATTCGACAGGTAATTCAAGAAGGTCAGCATGGACCAACTTGAGAGGTTTAGTTGCACATTTCCAGGAAGGTTTAAAGGCTTCAGAAGATAATTTGCCTTGTGTGCAACCTTTACAGGAAGGTATTGTTCCCTGTATTTGTATGTCTGTATGAAGACCTAATTGGTGAATATGTCTGAGAACTGCTTGAGCAGGGTGACACATGCGATTATGCCAAATAGATTCTTGTGATTCCTTGACCCTTGATGGGCAAAGGACCCCATAGGCAGTAGTAGGTGGAAGCGGTATGCCCACAAACCAATGAAGAGGTGAAGTCAGAGAAGCTACTTTCGCTTCAAGGACAATCTGGCCATCTGGTGCTCTGATAGTCTCGCCAGTAAGTGTTGCTGTGCTCCTATACCCATTATTGAGGAGTGCATTTCTTGAACATAGTCTCTTTGAAAACAAAGGACTGTAAACAACATTATGCAGTGGTAGGTTACTGCCATTTTCCAGGTGAATAACCACTGTTCCTTGACCGAGAAGTTGAACCTTTTTTGAACCAGCAGTAGAGGCCAAAGGTGGATTTTTAAATTCTTGATAAGTCAAGAAATCAGTTTTAAATGGAGTCACATGATGTGATGCTCCAGAATCCAACATCCATAAAGACTCACCCTTTGGTAGGTTCTTTTTAAGATTCGCATATGACAGTGGTACACCCAATGGGTAACAGTCATAAGAATCGAAGGCATGACCATTGAACTGCATAGGTAAATACCCAGAGGCAGATTCGTTTGGATCATACTCAATGTCTGGATTATGCATTTTATGAAAAGGTTTACATACAGATCTTTCTGGCACAGATTTGTGAAATTGAGATAAGGACATAGGGCGATTTTTCTTTTTAGTTAATACGGATTTTCGGAGAGATTCTCCATCTCTATGATTCTGTCCTCGAAATCGAGGGGAAGAGAGATTAAAGGTCCATTTGTTTGGTGGAGCCGAATCACCATTATCCTCAACATTCCTGTTCTCCACCATGTTCTTGCCAGCCAAAATGGAATTTCCCACTCATATTGAGGGTTTGAAGGAACCACTCTGATGTGTCCCATCCTGCTTAGCAGGGGGAAGGGAAATCTTCCTCGGATGAGAGTCCGAGTACTTCCATTGCTTCAGTTCCTGAAGGGAAACCTCCAGCAGGTTGCAAGAGTTGGCTGCTTGGTGACAAATAGAACATGTGCAATTAGAACCAGGAAGTTGAACATGAATCTTGACTGACTCAACTTGATCCGGTGTCACACACCAAAGGTGTTTGGTGAGGTGGACATGGATGTAGCTGATGAATGGAGGTGAAGACCATAGCCCTCATGTGAAGAAGGACAGCCAGCAATGTCGGCAGTCATCCCTCGCACAAGAACAGGTTGTCAATGCCAAAGAAAAAGGAGGCAGGTTAAGCACCAGTAAAATTCTTAAGCGCCCATGTACGGCATTCTGGTTTTCAACATATCTCCACCAATTCTGCAGACACCAAAACCATTCCCACACTTGCTTGTAGTGCTCAGCCATGTGATCCTACCTTCCAAGATTGGAAAGGATTTGCACACTCCACATGTTTCTACAGCACTCCCTCCAAAAGACGCTCATTTCGCTAATTCTTCTGATATGGCTGCCTCCACATCAGTCATTTCGCTTGTCCCCTTTGCTAGGGACCATGGCTACATATATCTACCAGGAGTTCCTACCAGCTTCCGTCCTGAAGCATCCTGGTACATCCCACCCTCATCTGCCCCCTCTCAGCCCATCCAGCTTGGACAGCATGTTCTTTTTGTCAGTATGACCTCCAGGAGGATGTTCTTTGGTTGCCTCAGGTCTGTCATTTGCTTGGAAAGGTCTTATGTGGTCATTTCAGTTTCTCCGGTCCAAGAAGCATATGGATCCTTCCTCCCTGCCCCCTGCAACATCTTCATACCAGTCTCGTCCATCATTCTTCCAAAATTGCGACAGCTACAGTATAATCTACTGTTCTCCACTCTCCCTGATCGCATCCATGACGAGTATGATGCACATCTTGCCTCCTTGTTGCAAGATACAGCAGAAGACGCTCCCCCTTCATCCTCTCTTCCAACAGAGCCTTGTTCATGAAGTTTTTATTTGCTTCACTGAGAGGATAGTTTGGGGGGGAAAGTTGCGATCCCCTATGCTCCTGTCACCCCACAGACCCCCAAAGCTTGACACCTGTTGACATCTGACTCACCCTGTCTGCTTTTGGATGTACTATATCAGCATCAGATCAGTGCTGCCTCTCTGTCATCCCACTTTGGCCTAGAAGTGATCTCTTCAAGATGTGACATGCACAGCCTCCCCCTAATGCGATTCCAGTGCACTTTCCCAGTTCCTGACATTGCTTGACTCATACTTTGACATTCTGACTGTCTTTGACTCACCTATTGCCAATACTTACCAATCTTTTGACTTTGCTTACTGATTCTTCACTTTTTGGCTTACTTATCCTTACCAATGCTTACCAATGCTTTCCAAGATGATTACCCATCGCTTACATTCCTTACTCATCAGTTACCAATCGCTTACCAAGTGTTTACACCTTGTTTTCCATAGGCAATGCCCCTGTACTGTATATAAGTCACTGTACTTAGGTAGCAAAAAAAAAAAGACATCAGAGAGCCCCTCTTGCTCGCAATTTATCATCTCTCAGTAAATCATTCATCAGCTTCAATAGTTGAGACTTTATTAAGGGTCTAGCTATCATCTACTTCGCTTATCATCATCTTTCATCCATATACTTCGCTCCAAGCCCTCCCTGAGCTCAGTACAGCTTAGGACATCAAATTAAGTCACCATCCATCCTTCTGTAGGCTGACAGCAGTCTACCCTATCACTTTCTATCGCATTCTTGCTCCCTCTTCATCAGGAGCACCCCCAACCCTCAGCACTCATCTTCAAGTGTTGTAGCTCGCAAAAAACCTCCCAAAGAACAGGTTCTACCATCTAGGTACTGCATAGGCACACCACCACTCGCTTTCATTGTCTTTTGTGTTGGTTTTGGTTGGTTTTCACCACTGAACCTCACTTTGACTCACACCATCCCTAGCGCATCTAGGCCTACCCTATCCATTGTGATTTGCCCATCGGCAGTGATCGCTCAATGCAGATGGGTAAATAGCTAACTGCCTAGAGGGCGGGGCTCATAACCTATTGTGCAGAGGAACAGGAGAATACAAAGAGCAACAGACAAGAACACTTGCCTTGTTAGAATGGTAGTAGATTTAGATATTAGCAACTTGTTAGTTGAGGGGCTCAGTTGTCGAGTAGACAGGTGAAGAACAAATGTAGAATTCGATAGGGACCTAGGGAGAAAGTCCTGAGTTTATATACATGAGTAGGTATGCATGGACCAGTAGTGTAAAAGGAAACTACTACTCAGTATAGTAAAGAATAGCATGGAAGGTCATGGAATATGATGTATGATATGACATCATTGTGGAGCTGATTGATAAGAAATGTCATGTGATGAACAACATGTTGATACACGTGTAAGTCTGGATCAATCTAGATGTCAGAACTATTTCCAACATTGAGTCATCTGGACTTTGGGGAGTGTGGAGGGGAGGCAGAGCATCTGTCAGTTTGTCATGGTATTCCTGCACAACATTGGGGGGAGGGCATGGTTGAGCATCTTCATGAGTATTGGGTGCATCAATGTTGAAGTTATGGGCCACATGTAGGTGTGTCCTGAGACTGGTGGGCAACATGAACCAGTGGCAGCAGCTTGCAAACTTGCAGGGAATCCAATGAGCAGTATATGCTTGCCATGCAGAACACATTCCAGTCACCAATGGCACTGAGTATAAAAATGTTACTTAACATTTCAGCACAAGTTAGAGGAACTATTGGCTAAGGATGCTGACAGTGGGTGGGAAAGACTCAGTTGTGGGTCAATAGAACTTGAAGGCACATGAAGTCTAAACATTCCCTCATCCCCCCATTCCTACTCAAGGCACACAAGCATGTCCTGATCAGATGTTGCATCTGGTCACCCATGCCAAGAATGCCAATCAGCACCCAGGCCAAATTATCCTGGACATGACACAAAAGAAGCATACCTTGGAGCAAAAATGTCAAGATGACACTCACATGGAGCAAGAGAAGCATGAAGAACAAGTTGCAAAAGCCTGTGCCATAAAACAGGTCACTGAAATCATCAACAAAGGAACTGAGGCAGAAAGGAATTTACTGACATCCCATCAACAGCCCAGGATCAACATCCTGGGAACAGCACACCAGAGTTAGTCCTTTCCCATCACTATACTCCACATGCTTTTACTCACCAAAACCATCCTCTTCTACTGGGACTTCCTTGATGTACAATCTCACTCTGCAAAGGGCAATATTGCAGGATTTGGAAAGGTAAAGGACTGGGCAGAGAAACTTTCAAGCAGCAAGGCCATCTGCTCTCCAAGAGTTAGTGCTTCCAGTACATCACATTCCTGTGCTTCTTCACTTTCAAATGTGACATCCTTTGGGGTCAAAGGGAGTACAAGGTCTACTCATTCAAGTGCCACTCAACCACCACCCACACCTGCAAGTGTCAGCAGTAGAGTTGTGCCTGTTTCATACCCAGGTGAAGACAGTGAATTGGCAGAGATTGGGAACTACACACAGGAAAGCATCAGTAAGGGAAGCAATGCCAGTACTAGGGTAGGTTGCATTCATAATCATCAGCATATCCTGTGCATTGACTCAGTGGAATAGGTATCCATTGAAGTGATTGACAACATACATTCCCCATCCATCAGCCCACCACCCCCATCCCAACCATGCATCATTGCCAAAACTGCAGTGTCAGCAAAGCCTGTGAAGAGTGAGCTATCAATGTACTATGACAGGTTGAGCTCAGATGATGAGGTGATTGAAGTAGATCAGGTGTCAACTCCTCCAAGAGGATCTTTGAAACCAGCCTCTGGTCTCACAGGTATGTGGCACATACTAAATTGAGTGCCCAGCAAGTAGGTTCACACCATTATAGGCTGATATGGAAGGTCATCAATCAGCTGCTCCCCTGTTGAAACACACTAAAACAAAGGCAGAAGATGGAGTTATCAAACTTCCCAACCATCCAAGGAACAATGCAAGCAGCAAGTTCACTAACTGAGACCTTCCACCTGGGTGTCAAGATTGAAATGTCTGGCATGGTATCTACATCCCTTTGTTTGCCCACTGGTGTGGGGGCCATGTTGATTCATGGACTATTGAGGCAGGTGATCTTCAGGATGCAATGCAGATAATCTGGGATGAAGTTTACTGTGGCAAAGTGGAACATTATATTGCTCCTAGGGGGCCAGTCTTCCATGTGGTAAGACCATTCTAAACTTGAGTTTCATAGTTGTGCTGCTAACCCTATGTTGCAATCCTAGGGAAAGCAGTGCTTGAACAAATGGTGAAGCAGCTTCACAGCAACAGCACTGATGGTCATTGCAACATTCTTTATTCAAGACATTGACTTTCATGATCCTGAACAGCAAGAGGATTTTTCAGCAGCCATGTTCCACTGTAACTGTTATCTATTCAGTGGAAATGAAGATATCAACCACTGAGGTGAGTTGTACTAGATATCATCATCATCTTGGTATCTAAATGATTTTTTTGGCAGATGTGGACTGGTATTTGGCAGTCTCCATTTGTATTACAGATGTTCACATCACACTTCAACCTTGTTGCTGGCTGTGCCCAGATTCCCAAGTTAGACAGTGAAAAGATCACTGCTTGAGCTGCACTTTCCCTTGCTGCCACAGCCATAGGTTTTATCATATCTCATTGTCACTAGTCAGCTGATTTCATCTTCCAGGTTTGCTGGGCATTGACTCTAGCTGCACATGGTAACCTACAACTCAAAAAACTCATGTCTGGATCAAAGCCACAGAAGTGTGCTGTCCTGTTGAAAGGTGATTCTGGTGTGACCTGGGAGGTCATTATCCCTGATGGCAAACCATATGGATTCAATTTCCAGATGTGGGGTGAGATGATGAGGAAGCTTTTGCAGCCGATCATGGTACTCTCGAATGTGAACTTTTCCACAATTGTTGAAGAAACTCAGTGCTATGTCAAGGTCAGTGCAAAGGGGAAAGAGAGATCCACCAGAAGTAGTGGGTTCAATGAAGATGATGATGACAATTTCCAGAATCTGTTCAAGTTTCAGTAATTGGTATGTCAGCAATCATATCCATTGCTCCCTCCCCAGATTCACTGTTTTATTATACATGCTCTCCCCCCCTCTTTGCTCACTGCCCCCAACACACATGGTTCATTGTCTCCCATTTGCCTATGACTCCCTCAACCTCAAACCCTACCTCCAATACCCTCAGTCCCCATACAGCATCTCTGCTATTGGCTTCATTGTTTGTGCATCAACTCTATGTGTTATGCCCGAGCGTGGTGACTTCTTCAAATGGAATAGGCACTGAAGCGTGCAAGGGGGAGACTATGGGCCAAATGTATCATAACCCCTATGGCTCAGTTATCCTGAAAGTCTGACAGAGGTTTTGTCTACTGGCGAGTCCCTAAGGTTGTTCATGCAGAGAGAAAACAAGGACAAGTGAGAAGGAAGTTAGCTGAGTTGCAAGCTATCAAAAAACTGCAGATACAGGACAGAGTATGAGGGACTATATACCCCTAAGTATGAGTACCATACCAGTCACGACAGACGTGTCACGACATGTATCCGCAGTAATCAACAAAACAATCAGTGAAATAAATAAGAGTCATACAGTGTCATCAGATGGAGTAGGGAGGCAATGAAGGCTATACCAGCTGGCACAATCAATGCACAGCGTGGAGCCTGACACCAGAACTATAGTACAACATATGAGCAACATAAACAAGTCAGTTGGAACAAGAAGTAAACAAGTCATCCATCAGAGAGGGCAGTGGGATACTGGATCACAGTGGCAACATGGTCTCGTCTGGTATTGGAAATACCTTGACAGCAGGAGATCCAAGTGTTCCCTGGAGCATTTGAGCCCCTAGGATGGCAACAATTAATAGGCATGTGATGAGGCATATGATGCATGTGACCACAAGAAGTTGAAAAAGGAAAGACCCCTGACAGAAGTGTAACATCACCCCCCCTCTAAGGTCCTCAGACCCTTGAGGACAGGCCAGAAGTCGCATTGGCAGGGCAGGCAGAAAGGGGTTGGTGAGTAGTATACACGCAGGAGCACGTGGGAGATGCGACAGGTGACAATGGTGATGGAGACAATGGCTCCTTGAGGGCCGGAGTATAGCAGGAGCCACATCCATTGCAGCACAACCAATGTCCCAGGTAATGACATTGGAAACAGGCATGAACTCACAAGGGATGTCCCTCAGGTACTGGGGACTGTCCTCCGAGGTAAAACCGCAGTTGCTCTGCAGGGATGGGGATGAAGGAAGTCAGAGGGAGAGGGTTGGTGGAGTGGATGGCATTGTGGTACTGTTTGTGCATTCCAGCCCACGATGCATCCTGGAGCAGAACCTCCCAAGCAGAGTTGTGAGTGCCTGTTCCTAGACAAGCACCAACCTCTTTAAGCAACTCTCCCAAGTCAACATACCCTAGCTCAATGGCATGCCACTCCTTCTCCTTCTCCTGATCCAAGATGTCTTCTTTTAATTTTCCTGAAACTGATGGTTCCTCTTGTTTTGGTTTGATGCACTCCAAGATCTGAGAAGCCAGAGGGGCCAGGAACTCTCCCATCTGTTGGTTACAGTAAATGATGATAAGCTCCTCCAGTTACTGCTTTGGTGAGATCCAAGGAAGCCTTCTCCAGCATGTCAATCATTATAACTTTCAACAGTGGTGCACAGTTCCACTCAACTTCCGAGTACGAACCTTCGAGACCAGTCCATTGATCACATCTGACGCTCAGTAGATTTGAGACAACATCCCAAAATACTCAGCCTGTTCTGGTGAGCACCCATCAATGTTGTCCCCATTGTGGAAGATGTCAAGTGCCCTAACAATGTCCAAGTAGTCACTTGCTGAGACTGGTAGTTGCTGCTGGTCAAGCCTGGGCAGTGGTGGCCATTGTGAGGAGGTTGAGGGCTGTGTGTTGAGCACTGTTGGAGTAGGTGGTGAAGGCAGAGCAAAGGTTGGTAGGTTGGGGAGCATGGGAGGAACCCTCTCTGGCTGTCATTCCACAGGAGTCATGGTCAGCATGTGCTTCACCCTTTCCCTGCTGGTTACCAGTCTCCACTGAGGGAGACTCTGGCCTTTGGTGCTGGGATGTGTCTGACCAAGAAGCTCGTGAGTGGGCATGGTCTGTGAGCCCTTCTGGAAGGTGGGGATAGTGAGCAGGGCTGAGACATTGGTGATGAGTATCCAGAGACATAAAAACTGGTGGGGGACAGTTGAAGGACTGGTTGGGGCATAGACAGTGACTGGGGGAATGACCCTGTCGTCATAGGTGTCATGAAAGGATTCGGTGGCAAGGGGGAGGTTGGCATAGTCGTGCTCAGTGTTGACAGAGTGAGGAGAGTCCATTTAATTTTTGAGATGACGAGCGAGCATTGTACTGGTCAAGGGCTTCCGACATGTGGTCTTTTATATGTTCCTCAGGTTCCCAGGTATTGGATGAATGTGGGAACCCTTTCCATTTAACCAAATAGCATCATCTTCCTCTTCATCCATCTATCTTGTGATTAATTATTGACTTGACCTCCCACTCGATCTCGTTGTCAACCAATTCAGGCAACGGTGCTGTGGGGGCAGCACCATAGGTGTCATTTTCAGTGAATGGGAAGATCCAAGAGGCATGGAACACCGGATGGACCTTCCATGTCATGGGAAGCTCCAATCAGAAGGCAACTGGAGAAACAACCTGAGTCACCTTGAATGGTCCAAGATGTCACAGTGCAATTTTATCACACTGGTTTTTGATGCAAAGATGCCTGGTATCCAGGAGTACCCGATCTCCTATCTTCAGTGCAACATAAGACCCTTTTGAGCATGAACGCATCAGGTCTTGGGCATTTTTATGAGCGAGGATTGCGATATCCCGGTTCAAGGCCAGTCTCTCCAGCCTTTCATCAACTGAGGGTACTGCAGTTAGCTGGACCTCAGGGTAAGGGGACGGGTTGTATCCCAGAAGAAGCAAAAATGGAGTCATTTGATGGACTGAGTGGACGTGGGAATTGTGGGCAAACTCGGCTGATGGGAGCTTGGCAGCCCAGGAATTCAGTGCCTCTGTACAGTACAGGCACAGATATCCTTCCACCTCTTGATTTACACACTCACTTTCTCCATTAGTCTGGGGATGGTAACCCATAGAAAGTTTGGTTTTGACCCCTATAGCCTTGTAAAGTTCCTTAGTGAACAAGGATGCAAACTGGGGTCTGCGATCGGAGATTACTGACTCTGGGATCCCAAACCAGGAGTATATGAACTGATGGAAGAGTCGGGCGATCCTGACAGAGTCAATGGTCTTATGACAGGGAATAAAGAGTGTGGCCTTAGTAAGGCCCTGATCAACAATTGTGAGAATGGAGTTGTATTTTTGTTCTCCGGAGATGGGAAGATCTGTGATGAGATCCATAGAGATCTGTTGGAAGGGAAATGACATTTTAGGGGCTTCATGGGGGATCACCGGGGGTGTTGGTGGGTGAGTGACGACCTTGGTTGTTTGGCAAACTGGGCATCCAGCCATGTAAGCTTTTACATCTTTTACCATTCCTTCCCACCATACTTCTTTACACATTTTTGCAGCCATTGCTTTCTGTCCAGGATGACTGGTGGACTCATGGTCATGGTAACTGTGCATACAGTGTTGATGGTTTTCTGGGGGAATATACAGTCATGTCATTCTGAATTGTTTAGTTCCATCTTTTGCAATGGTGACGTTATCCCTGGGTTCCAGACCGGTAGAATCCTTTGGCATTTTGTTCTTGATGCATTCATACAGGTCTGAGGATATTGCATAAACCCCCCACACTCCTTTTACAGGATTCCTCAGAGGGCGAGCATCAAGCAGCCTTTTCTCCTTCGGTGTCTCCTCAAGTGGGCAAGAATAAGGCTTTGAGTTTTTGCATGACCGTGCTATCCATGCAGGGACATGGCCCACCCAGCAAAGACAGTTAATTTTTAGTTGTTTTTGTAATTTTGTTAGGGAAAAAGAGGGTGAAACAAGGCAAATTTGGGAATCCACCCCCTCCAAAAGCCAAAGGTCCAGAGGAAGGACTGTGGCCACAGGGGTGGGCTCCATGGTCTCGCTCTTGCAAGAAAGAGTGTCAGTGGGGACCTGGAGGCGACCAGCCTGCCAGGAAAAACAGATGGGGTAAGATTGAACAGTAGCAGCCCACCAGACCTGTTGTGGAGTGAGCTGTTGAGGCTCGCAATAATACTCCAGGTTCTTGTGGTCAGTAAAGACCACAGTGGGGGTGACTGGGGAGAGGAGATATGGGTGGAAAGCCTTGAGCACATGGATGACAGCGAGCATTTCGAGGTCATAAACTTGATAGCGCTGTTCAGCTCTGACCAATGACTGGGAAAGGTAGGAACAGGGGTGCCACTTGTCATCTGCTCCTTTCTGTGCAAGTACTGCACCAGTACTGAGCTTCAAAGCATCCATAAACAGGGCAAAGGGCTTCGAGAAGTCCAGGATAGTGAGGACCAGAGAGGAGCATAACAAGGATTTTAACTTTTCGAACGCAGCATCACATTCTGCTGTCCATTGATAGGACACTCCTTTCTTCATCAAATCATGCAGGGGATGGGTGATGCTTGAAAAGGAAGGGATAAACTTGTGGTAGAAATTACAAAATCCAAGGAATCTGCAAAGCCCAGTAAGGTTGTCAGGGGCTTCCCAAGTACTGATGGTGTTGGTCTTCGTCAGCGAAGTCTCCATACACCCCTTTCCTATTACCATTCTGAGGAATTCAGCTTCTTCAGCCTTGAAGACACATTTGCTAATCTTGAGGTGCAGTTCCTCCTTTTCACAGATCTTCAGGAACTTGCAAACATGGCTCCAAAGTTCTGCTTTGGTTTTTCCATGGATTGCCACATCATCCATGTACCCTACCTGCTTTCCTCTTTGTGATTCAAAGGTTTTATCCATGTATCTCTGAAAGGAAGGAGGTGAGTTGCACTGGCTGAAGAACATTACCATCAGTTCAAACAGCCCTCTAGGGGTAATGAAGGCCCCTTTCCACTCGTCTCCTTCCTTGACACAGAGGTTGGTAAAACCCCAGCGAATGTCAAACTTGGCATAATATTTGGATTTGACAAGTTTGTCAAACAAGGCTTGCATGTTAGGCAGCGGGCATGCATCCAGGACTGTAAATGAATTGAGATAGTGGTAGTCTTGGATTAGCCACTTTTTCCCATCTTTCTTAGCCATGAAAAACTCTGGTGCCACTTGTGGTGACATTGACAGTCGAATCTTTTTACATTTCAGGTTTTCTTCTAGGAATTCATCTAGGACTTTTAGTTCATCAGGAGACATGGGGTATACCATTGCCTTTTTAGGCTTGAAACCTTCACAAAGTCTGATTTCATGGTCCAATCCAGGTCGATGGGCCAGTAACGGAATGTTGTCTTCTGCAAACACCTTGGCGAATTCCTTGTACATATCAGGAAGTTTGACCTCCTCCTTGCCTGCCACTAAGGCAGCTTTGAGCTCTGTGGAAAGAGTAGTTTTATTAATAACCATGGGGTTTATGCCCATTTCTGAGTTTACCACCTCCAGAGGTGATCTGGAGTTTTCTGTTGCACTACCTTCATAAGAAGGCACCCTGTTTGATGTACTGGTCAGATTCTCTAGTAGGAACATACCTGTCATCCCAACACATGATTTTTCCTGTTTCCCAGTTCATTCGTGGTTTGAACTCTTTTAGGAAGGGCATTCCAAGGAGGACGTGTTCTTTTCCTACCAGCAGTCTGATGTAACATTTGACCCAAACAACCCTGTTTTTGATAATCATTTTCAAGGTTGCTTTTCTCATGACCCATTCAACATCTTTTCCAGTGAATGACGTGGTCTTGAATTTATTTTTGACTCAATACATGGGTATCCGGAGCTTCTGGACCATTCGTTCCGATACAAGGGAGACCTCAGCTCCCGAATCAATACAGGCCATGATTCCTGTGTTGAAGTCTGGTAAAATGACCCTTCCCAGTGGTGAACAGATTCACATTGTCAATTCATCATCTATAGAAGTACATTTAGCAGACAAAATAGCAATGGGACTGACTGTAGCAGGAGATTTGTCAGTCCCCTTTAAAAATCCAACCCAAAGGCCTTTCTTTCTTCTGCAGTTGCTTCACAATCTCCAACGTAGGCAGTCTTTGTACCATCCTCTGAGAGGACTATGCAGATCCCTGAGAGTTGTTTGACCTTGGATCTGCAGTCATGCTTGTAGTGACCTTCAGCTCCACAATTGAAGCATTTAATTTCCAAACCGGAGCATCTAACGTTCCATTTATGTTTGTCAATGTCCATTGCATCGGGATCTCGGGAACCTCCATGGTAATGAATGAACTTCTGTTCATACCAAGACTCCTTCCCTTCTAGGATGTGCTTCATAGCAATCACAGTCTGGGCTTCTCCTGTACACTGTATCCACTTGATAACTGTGGAAGGTGTGTGTCCAGAGTTGAGAACCCAATCGCAATATTCCTTGTTTAAGCCTTTCCCAAAGAAGATCCCTGCTTCACGCAATTCTTCTTTAAGTTGAGCCTTGTTAACAAGCCCTGTAAACTCAGCAATGTAGGCTTCCAATTCTTGTTTGCCTTGTGAGATGTCCAAAAGGCGAAGTATTGCAAGGGCAGTTTGGTCTCCAGATTCAAAGGTAGCTTTGAGACATTCCATGAACCTCTGAAAGGTGTCCATGTAGTAGATTGTTCCGTCGAGAAGCTTGTTTTCATTCTGGTAATTTTCAGCAAAGGAAACTGCTGTGCCTTTGGTCATGTACATGAGTGTGAATGAGATCTTGAGCAATTCTGTGTTGTATACATGCTTATTCAGGTTCAAATACCCTTCAACCTGTGTAACCCAGGTCTGAAGCCCATTGTGGCTTCCATCATATTCTCTGGGACGCCCAACATTAAACTCCCTTCCTCCATTGGGTGGGCAGCAATTGTACGAGTCGTCAGGATTGGCTGGGGCCTTACCCTTACTGGACCCTCTGATGGGGACCTCTGGGGGAGTTACCTTTCTGAAATTCCTGGCATACCATTCTCGTAATGCCAAGTCTGTAGGCATTCCTGTTGGAAATGGGTTGCTATTCTGGGCATGCATTGCTCTTTGGAGCTCTTCTGCCATTGCAAGCCTTTGTTCTTCCAACCTTTGTCTCAGCTCCTCTTCGGAAATGGTCCTTGTAGGCATTTCAGGAGTGGATTCTCCATGACCAAGAGTCATGGACATTTCAGGCAGGTTGCGTGCTTCCTGTTCTTCTTTGAGGACTGATCCGAAAGAAGTATCAGACTTCTGATTGTCTTCTTCTTCTGAACTAAGCATGACTTCTGAATCCCTAAACCAGGATAGATAAGATAACTGGGGATTTGTGGTGGTAACCAAGGGGCCTAATCTTCCTAGCGGGATGGGCAGTAAAGGAGGATTCCTTCTGAGCCCAAGGGGTTTAGGTTGAGGAGGGACTGGCGGTCTCAATTTCTGAGGATTAGACACTTTAACGAGAAGTGATAACAAAGGCTGAGGGAGGATTTATTTCTCAAAAGAAACCTGTCAGCGTGGAGAGCTTGATTGGTGCACAAGTGGCTTTACATGTAGGGAGACACAAGTGCAGGACTCTAGGGAGGTGATCTATTAAAGCCTTAGTGGCTGCCTGTAGAGCGGTGGATTTGGTTAAGGGTGGAGGGGTGCTTCTCAATTTTGTTAGCAGCTTAATGATGCATTGAGGAGCGGAACAAGGGTGAGTCAGTTTTTACATGTAGGGAAACCAACAAGCCTTGTTTGGGGTAGGACTTGGTTTGTTGAAGTTCAGTAACCAGGGATGAGTAGACTTTTCGTGAAGAGGTCGATGAGTCCTGAAAGCTGCATAGAGTTTTTCAATTTTGTTATGCCCAAGCACAGTGACTTCTTCAAATGGAATAGGCACAAAGTGTGCAAGGGGGAGACTACAGGCCAAACATATCATAACCCCTATGGCTCAGTTATCCCAAAAGTCTGACAGAGGTTTTGCCTACTGGTGAGTCCCTAAGGTTGTTTGCACAGAGAGAAAACAAGGATGAGTGAGAAGGAAGTTAGCTGAGTTGCAAGCTATTGAAAAACTGCAGATACAGGATGGAGTATGAGGGACTATATACCCCTAAGTATGAGTACCATACCAGTTGCGACGTGTATCTGCAGTAATCAACAAAACAATCAGTGAAATAAATAAGAGTCATATGGTGTCATCAGATGGAGTAGGGAGGCAACAAAGGCTATACTGGCTGGTGCAATCAATGTGCAGGCAGAGCCTGACACCAGAACTATAGTACAACATATGAGCAACATAAACAAGTCAGTTGGAACAAGAAGTAAACAAGTCATCCATCAGAGAGGGCGGTGGGATACCGGATCACAGTGGCAACACAGTCTCGTCCAGTATTGGAAATACCTTGACAGCAGGAGATCCAAGTGTTCCCTGGAGCATTCAAGCCCCTAGGATGGCGATGATTAATAGGCATGTGACAAGGCATACAATGCATGTGACCACAAGAAGTCAAAAAAGGAAAGACCCCTGACAGAAGCATAACACTATGAAGCACCAGGATCTTATTGGCCAGCTTCATGCTATCAATCCTTTTTATCTTGACTTGCTGATTTTTGACCATTTTTCCTATGCCTCCATAATATCATTCTTAGCTGTCCTATTCCCTCCCCCCCCCTTTACTACATATGCTACTGGTGTGGTACCCCAAACCATTTTAATAAATTGACAATACTTTGCATGTTTAAATCCTTGGTGACTGGAATCTGCTTAAGTACTTATTCAAATGTTCAATCTGCACAAGCTCCCAAGCAGTCCAAGTCATAATTACTTAATTCACTTAAGTGACTTGACACCTTATTTTGACTTGGTAACAAAATTCCAAGTAATCAAGTCAGATCAAGCAACTTGTAGTTTTGCTGATGTATGGCAAGTGATGTTTGTGGAAACTTGGAGGTGGCAAGCAGAAACTCCAAGCTTGAACTTGACAATGAAGATGTCATAGATGAGGATAAGTTGGAAGAAGAGATTGAGGGTGGAGCAGAAGTTGATCCAGATGTTCAAATACTACAACAGGGTAGGTCTAAGGTCTAAATTGAAGTTGACAATGCAGTGGAAACTTATATTTCATGGAAGAGCTCCAGATTGAAGACAAGAGTGAAAGAAGCATTTGAACTCCTGACCAAAGTATTCCAGCTGATGGTGAGTGCCTCCAAGATTTTGTTACAATTTCCTTATGAGGTTTCTTTTAGCTCAATTGCCCATTGAAGGCAATGAGGACCTTGACCTGCCACAATGTTTTCATCATTGTAAATGACTGCAAATTTTACTCCCCTTGAGAGTGAAGAATCAATCTCTGATTCAGAGATTGAAATGAAGTGACTTCTCCATCAACCTTGAAAGAAGATAAGGAGAAGAAAAGTATTTGTTCTCATGCCACCACTACGCCCATCCTACCTATGTCACAGTCAGGCACAGGCCTTAGATGTTGTATCCATCCCAGCCACATCACCTCAGAGGTATCATTTCATTCTAAGCAAGGCAGAAATGCAGAATCTCCCATCAATGCTTGCTGGTTCCCAAGAAAGTATGGACTACTTGAAACTTGCCTTTGGAGTAGATCTCATGTGAGTCCCTGGGAGAACCAGGAGCTTCACTGGATGTAGTGGAAAGTGAGTGATGGTTCTGAAAACTCTTGTACTAGTATGCTAACTGAGTCATGTTGCCAGTAGATCATGCCTTTCAACTCAGAGACCTGCAGTGGAACAGGATGCCAATGCAGTCCCTGCATCCAATAACCTCATACTTGATGCCAACCTGGCAACAATCGGGTACATGTACTTGAGTGACTATGATGTTATTATTTGTAGAAACCAGCAGGATGGAGAACTTTGCAACGAAGCTATCATCCTTTCCAAGATTTTCACTCACAGCTACAGCACATCAGACGCTTTGCACCACCTCCCATTCTGCAAGAAGCTGAATGGAAAATATCAGCTTCATCAGAAGGCTTTCCTTCACCAAATACTTTCAAAATATCCAAATGTTGTAGCAACTGAAGCTGAGCTACAAGATGTCTGTATTCGAAAGGACCAATTTGGACCTATCCTCCACATTTTGGAACCTCGTGACGGCTATGCTTGCAACCAATGCGACTACGCTACCCAGAGCAATATGGCGAGCACAGACTTACTCCACAAACACTGGAATGCCCATCGTAAAGCGAATCCTTCACTTCCTCTATTTCGTCAAAAGGGTGCCACAGCACTCGATCCACGAAAATTTCGTCTATGCAAGGTGCAGACGTTCAACACCAGATCCACCTCCAGCCATTGGCTAGTGGTCCCACCTTTGGCGAACCAGCCGACCACTTCCGTTGCAGTCCCGCAAATTCCTGTTGGCGCCATACTCGCTGCTGGATTGGGCTGCAATACTTAGCGATCTCAACCGCGGTGAAGTTGTGCACCGAGGTAAATTAAGGATTGGTCGGGGGCGTCATTAGGTTGTTTAGGCAAAGTCTGCAAGTTTGCACTCTGGTGGTATCGCCGCTGCGAACGTATATGTACATATGTATGTCCAAAAATATGTACGTACTTGAACCTAGTCTGGATACCAGCTTGTCTATAATGAAGCGTAATCCACATTGAACCAAGCATTGAACGGTAGTTTACTGAAATCACAACGACCGACAGGAAAGTCGCAGGTGACTCTTGGTAGGGAATGTCCAAGAGGTTGTCCAGTGTCGGGTGGAGACTTAGAGTCCCGTCGAGACTCGGACATATCGACGCTCTGGGCATGTCACGTAAGTTCTTACGGTAAATGCCGGAAACAGCCTATCAGGGTGATGCAGCATTCTTAACCAAATTTGGTAGTTGTATTCTGTAAATGGAATGGCGCCTTTTCTCGCAAAGTTTTGATTTCGCGGAGAGCCTGCCAGGGTGGGGTCAGTGTCTCTTTTTTCCTCTGAGAGGTGACGAGCCCTCACAAAACTTTCAGTCCTTCACTCCTTTATTTTTTTTATCGTCTCTCGTTTACACTGATCGTTTTTTGTAGTCATGACTAGCACCACTGCTTGCACACCTCCTCGCAGATCTACTCTCTCTATCAAGGAGTTCAGCCATCTCATCAGCGAGTCTCTCGACATGTCGCATTACTCGTCTCCGTATAACTTAGAAAAACTTGGAAATGGGAGCTCGGAAAAACGAAAGTCTTCACCCTTCCAGCGTGTCTTTTTGCGTCCATCACCTGTCTCTACCTCCGCGGGAGACCGTTCTTCCCCCGAGAAGAACACAGAAGACACGCCAGCCACTCCGCGCAGAATAGGTTTTCCCTGGCCCTTCTCTCGTGGCTCTCCTAGCAAGCGCTCTTTTCATTACGAACCGAACGGCCCTGTAAGAAGATATCCGTGATTCTTCTGTTTGGCTCTCATACGTTTTCCCCTCCAGGACATGTCTAACGAACAAAAACCTCCGGACCCTGTAGATACATTGGAGGTCTACAGGGAATCCCATTTCGCAGCTTCTTCGAGTTCCCTCGTGGCAGGCTCAACATCTAGTTTGGGGTCTCTCATCCCTGCTAATGAACTGCGTTTTTCGCCCACACCTCGAGACCACTCTTTTGACGACAGCCACCGCTCACTTAGAGAATCCACTTCATCTCCCATCACCTTCGCTAGACCAAACTCGCCAGCGCGTACTACGGATTATGTCACCGCACCAGCTTTACAATCACTCTATGGTAATAAATCATCTTCCGCCAGTATCAGTTCATCAGGTACCGAAGTAGTGGAAATTGGCATCGCGATATCAAGTGAAGACTATGTCCGCAACGGCACCGACGTGCCTTCACCTTCTACTCAGAGCGAAAGTGAATCCGAGGACGACCCTACTCCCCGTGCTTCCACGTTCAGCAGTGGTGTTATCGCTCCCGCTTCCCCAAACGTTGGTGATTCCCTCACTCTGACACAGCGCAGGCGCCTTCAGGCACTGTCGTTGATATTGCCTCCTCACGGTGTGCAGTTAAACGAGATACCTGATCAAGAGACCGACACAACGAGCGTATCGTCTTACACACCGATTGCACAACCCATACCAATGACTCCGATGCAAAATCCTGTCCCAATCGTATTGACGACTCCACCTTCTGATACCACTCCAGTTGTATTTTGTGGAGTTACAACTAGGATGTCGCCATCATTATCGAGGCCGCCCTCCTCCCAAGGTTCACTGAATTCCGCTTATTCTGGCGGAGGTCGCGCGAGGTCAACATCAAGAGGCACAAGGTCACCACCCCCATTGCTTCCCGGCCCGCCGCCAAGTGGGCCACTACCTGCCGTACCAGCTGTAGAGCCCTTAAAGTCGCCAGTACCGCAAGTATTCCTATCGAGTCCTGAAGTCTCGGTCCCAGTTTCGGCATCCTCACCTATGTCTTCCCAGCTTTCCTTATTCCCTCCTGTCCCGCCGCTCCCGCCAGCGCTTAAATCGAAACAATCGATATTGGCCATGCAACTCCCTTTACCAAACTCGGGCTCGAGTAGTACTGCTGTTACTAACAAACTTCAACCCCAAGGACAGGTATACTTTCGTCTTTCCATTTCGACTCGGACGTTCACTGATACGTGTTCAAAAATACAGGTGCAACAAACACAGGGACGGGCGCAATCACCCCCTAGGTCGCCCTCGAAGCAAACACAGTTCCAGACCCAGTCGCCTCCCGGTGCACTTCGTCTTCCTTCAAGGATGTGTGGAGGGGCAGTGTATGACCCAGACGGTTTTGCACCATCAAACTCAGGGCCTGGATTACTTCCGAGCCCACCTGCAACCCCAACTAGGGCTATTAAACGGGCCAGTGCACCTGGATCGTCATCCAAGATGGGTCCCTGCATGCCGTCGCAGTCGACGACGGATACCCCTGGGTTGGCGCCTCCTCGCTCGCTGAGACGACCAACTAGTCTTGGCGTTGGAATTCTCGAGGCAGCGTCTGTTGCTGCTGCTGTTGGAAATACTACTGTAGATGGCGATTCTGCACAGGGAAATGTGAGAAGAACGAAAAGTATCCTACTGTTGGGATCGAGGAGCAAGTTTGCATTTCCGTTTGGCTCAGGCAGTTCTTGCACCAGTCGCAATACTACGACAGGTGTCGGGATGCAGAAGAGGGTGCAAATACGCGCTGAGAGTGGGGAATGGCCAAGATGAAGCGGAGACGGACGGGAGGCATGGCTATGGTTGTGTGGGCGTTGGAATAGGTGCAGTGATTGGTGGAGAGAAGGAGGTGAAGGAAAAGGATGCGAATGCAGTAAAGAAGGGTAGAAGAAGGTCTGCTCTGGGATTGAAGAATATTTCTCTTGGAATCGGAAGGGACAAGGATAAGGAGCGAGACAGGGACAAGAACAAAGAAGGTATAGTTGTGGTTTCCACATCACGCACGGAACGCTAAGGTTATTTAAACTAGCGGGACGAGCGAAACGTACTTCCGACCCAACGCCGACGCTAGTTCCACCTTCCACAACATCGACATCGGCGTCAATGAGTGCGCCATCCGATCCAGCGGCTCCACAAATTCTCGTTCTACGCGAGCGTCGACACTCGGCTCCCATTCTCTCTCGCATGCGTTCGCGAACGCGGTCGAGACTCGCAATGAATGGGGATGCCGCGCAGGAGAATACGAATACTCAGAGGGAGCCAAGCATGGACTGGACGCTTTCGCTCCCATTATCGACCGATGTTCCAGGAAACAGGATCTCACCGTTTGCCAAAGGTGCTGTCAATGCTGCAGAAGCCCAAGGAAGCGAGGAGAGTGAGGTGGAAGAAGAGGAGAAGGAGGATTGGACGCTTTGTATGCCTTTGAGGGCGCGAATCGAGGTGGCTATAGCGCTGCCTGGTATTAGGAGTGGTCGTGGAGTTAGCGGCGTTCTAGGGGACGACGCAGAGGACGGAGTCAACCTAGTTGATTCCGAGGTTGACTCCAAAAGTGACCCGGGTCTCGAACAAAAGCCTGATGACGAACACCCGAACGAAGCCTCACATGGGCTTGAGCCCTGCATCGAGCGTGAAGAAGGCGCATATCTATCGGACAAGTGCATTGATATACGGGAACAGTTACCTACACCGAGCCCGTCGCCAACTCCGTCGTCACCTCTGCTTCTCCCGGGTCCCTACGTGCGTGTCCATGGTCAAGGGACAGAACTGGAACACGGAATCCGTGCAAGGACAATGCACGACAGCGATGGTGGACTGGACATCGACAGCGGGAGAGGCAAGCGTGGTTCGGGGTGGAACGCGTTGGGATGGTTCGGAGATGCAATCCCTGAATCCGTAGAAGAGATGGAGGACGAAGTCGGATTATCTCCAAACAATTTCGACTCCATGACGAGGAGACGAAGGAACAATTACCACTGCGAGCCACAACAATCTACCCCGCGACATCTGAGCACGGACAGTACAGCGACGGTCGCAACCACAACGACCGAGACTACAATCTACTACAGTGCACGGTCAAGTTGGTTCGTAGCACAGTAATGCTTTTTTATGTCCCCTGCATGCTCATTTTTGGTATTCTTTCAAGCTACTCTCGCCATTCCCCCCTCAACACGGATTTTTTGCGCCTCATCTGAACCGCTATTATCATATCCACTGCGCACCACTATTGCACCATATAACTTATGTTAAAATCTTGGTACCACACACGTATATAATATCCCTCCGTATGTAGATGCCAACCCCTATGCCTTTACCTCCCATATGTTTTGGTGTGCTGCATCGCTTGTGCACCTTTATCATTGGTCTCGCGGCGGGACTTGCAGTGTCTCTCTGCCTCTACATATACCTTACCACTTGCTTGAATTTTGTACTTATCGCTTTGCTCTGGATCCCTGTAATTGGACGATGGTCAGACAATTTTGCTCACCGGCTGCAGTAGATGCCATGCAGACAGGAAGATGATTACGACGCGCGTCGTTCTTCCGTTGTCACAATCTACAGCCGATGCGCGGTGCTAGTGATACAATCTGAGGCGTCGCATTGGAATACACGTTACTCCATACGGTCCCAACGTGCAACCTCACGTCAGAACCTGTTTCGCTTTCTCTGTTGTTTAGCCGCCGCCGCAGCCTCCGATGGTCCACGGCTTACAAATAGTCTGTGTCAGCAAGAGTGAACGTGAAAGAAGTCACTTAACTTCCACACTCACCCTCTATTCCTTATCTTCACGTTACCTTCCGCTGGTGGATCGTCGATGTCCATGCTATCTCCCGCGCCACTTCCACCAGTGGGATACGATCCGGCTTTACGATTCGATTGTTTGGATTCCTTTAGGCGTTCTTGGACTTCTTTCAGATTAGCCACGCAAAGTTCTTCGTGTAGCTCGATTTCGCTCCGTACGGATTTATCATGCTCTGCGATTTCGACAAGCTTCTTATCCAAAGCTTCGAGTACACATGCTGTCGTACTCGCCCTATTGAGCGCATTCCATCAAACCGTTGTCACCAACCATTGGAAGGGGCACGGGACTTGAAAAGAGACAAATAGTGCAGAAACATACCAATTCTGAAGGGCTGTGAGGACCTTTTCAAGTTGTCCAGGTTCTAGGTCTCGGCCCATCGTATACTCGATCTCGAGTTGTTGTTCCTTTTGATCGAACTTGCCACGGAGGATGTCCAAGTAGATTGCGTCGATGATCAGATCTTCGAGCTCGCGGATCGTAGGCATTTGCAATTCTTCGAGAAGCAACGAGTACGGGAGTATCTGCAACCATTAATACATGTGCGCTCCAAAGAAAAAAAGTGATGTGAATGCACGAACCCGGCGTTCGGTCGCTAGGGACACTATCGAGAGGTATTTCAATTTGGTGATTTGTGCAGCGTTTAGTGGTGGGAAGGAGTTTTTGTTGTCTGTAGTAGAATCTCAGCAGTCTGATGGGCATATTGACAAAGAATGTCTATCATCTTACCCAAGTAATACCTATACGTGCGATAAGAGAAGAGTTGCAGCAGTGAAATGTACGGCGCGTATTGTTCGCTCATGGACAGCTAATGACGCCACGTTAAGGACCCACGTGTGGTTTGCAAGATGGAAAGAATAAAGACTTACCTCCTGGATGTTTGGCATGTCTAAGAGTTCGGCGAAGACGAATACGCCGGGGGCAGCGGTGGCGTCTTGGATGAGCTTTGCAGCTGCAGCACCTTTGGCCGATTTGGACATAAGCAAGAATGGCTCCAGCCTTGCTGCGAAGTTGGCACCCAACTCCATATTGTCGATGTCGTATGTATGGAGGAGGCTGACTCGGTGTTGAGACAAATAAGGCAACACCGTCAACTACGATGTACGTACTTACATATCGCTAATGCATGGGCCTCGTTCTCGTAATGTGTACGCAAGGCCTAACCAAACTGAGTGACAACCAACTAGGCGATAGCATGTCCCTGGCAGGCGCTCATGATAGCTCCTCTTTATCGTCGAACCGCACCATATCGTCCACTTCGACGGAATCCTCGTTTCTGAATGGCTCGCCAGCATCCTAAGAAACGTCATCTCTCCGAATTTGAGAAGTCACGTCCCACATCTAAGCTTTCCTCAGTACGCCAATTCATTCTTTCTGACAGGCGGTATTTATTGACAGCGAGAAATCGGCTCCAGGAACCATTGCAGGCGTCCGCTGCAGATACTTCATCCACAGCTGAAACATCCGCTTCTCGGATGACGCTTAGCGGGAGGAGGCGCTTCCTCCGAGATCAGTCGAATCACAGTCAGCCAGATTCCGTCGCACCTGAGATAGCTGGCAAAAGTGCAGGTGGTAGACCACCGGAGCACCAGGGTCAACCCCAGGCACTTCCATCTAAAGATGTATGTGATCTGCTTTCTCTGGCGAAAGTGTCTAATCAAGTCCTGGTGGACAGAATAAAATAGGGTCCGGCGAGGCAGAACTAGGACCTACCTCGGGCTTCCTTGACGCTGGGCGAGTACTTAACAATATGGACCCCTTATCATGTCCCGGCAATCGTGCTGTCAACGTTGTCACCGATGCCAGTACTGCATTCACCGATATTCAAAACTTCACCAATTCATATCTCAAACCTTTCCAAGTTTTCAGTGAAGTCGTCGCGACTCTTTCCACGGTATTTATTTCCATTCTTCAGTTCGTTCAATCCAGTATGATGGAGTCCATGCCCTAGGTCCACCCTTATGCCCAGATCGCGCTGGGAATCTTGACGGCTGCTTCTCAGGTGCGCCCCCAGCCTTATATCCATTTGTCATCTCATGCGGTGGTTTGTAGTTGCTCATGAAACAAGTGAATCTGGACAAGGCGGTATCCGGTCTCCTGAATACGATCCAAAGTGTCTACGAATTTCTTATCGAAGAAGATACCATCAACAATATCGATAATATGAAGGAGACTCTTGCGAAGATTGCAATGGTGATAAGCGACTCTGCGCATTTCATTAAAGACTATTCAGAAACAAAGAGCTTCTGTGAGTCTGTTGGAACCATTCTTAGCTCAACGTAGTATTAATGCCATTCATTCTCAGGGAAAAGGACAGGAAAGAACATCCGTTCCAAAACGCAGACCATCGTCGACGACTACACTACCACCCTAAATGATTTAATGCAACATTACCGCGACCGTGCGTCCAGAGACATTCAGATCAATGTGTACCGCGTATTGGAGGACCTGAACCTCGAAGGCATGGCCTACGCTGGTGGTGCGGGCCTTGACACAACCAAGACATGCCTCGAAGGCACGAGGACAGAGATTTTACGGCACATCATTGACTGGATCACCGACTCTCGTGTCGACACCCCTCGTATCATGTGGCTTCAGGGCCAGGCTGGAAGAGGGAAATCGGCCATCGCACATACGATTGCCGCCTGGATCAAGGACGCGGGCGGACTCGGTTCCTGCTTTTGCTTCGCCCGTGACAGGCTGGCTGAACACCGCGAAGAGAAGATTCTGACGACCATTGCTCGTGATCTGGCAGACCGCGATCCGGCGCTTTCGGCGGGCGCTGGCTGATGTCGTTTCAAAGGATCACTCTCTCAAAACCACGCGAGATGTAATGCAGCAGTGGCAGCGACTCATCCTGGAACCATTGTCCAAGGTTAATGGGCAAATTGTTGGGAAAGTAGTTGTGGTAATTGATGCGTTGGACGAAAGCGGGCCGGACGCATCAAGGAGTCGTATCCTCTCCCTTCTCACATCATGGGAAGCGGCCCATCTGGCCACTAATTTCCGCATTCTTTTGACCTCCAGACTATTACCGGATATCGAAGAGGCCTTAAGTAGTTGCCAACATGTGACAGTAACGTCCCTGGATGACGTTCCCCTAGAATCTGCTGAGCACGACATTCATCTATTCGTTTCTAATGAACTCCGCCACCGCCACCTCGGCGGCGTCATTGGACCCAAGGAGATAGATCAGATCACTCAGAGGTCAAACGGCCTGTTTGAATGGGCACGGTTGGCTTGTGAGTTCATCAAACGGAAAAGGGCTGGTCGAACTCTAAGGGAACGCTTCGACGATGTAATTGCTCTGGGAACTGGAGAGGGAGGGACCCTTTTGGACAAAACCTATACCACAATACTGGAGAGTGCCATACCACCGACAGACCGCATGTCCCTGGATCGGTACCATTCAGTGATGCAACAGATACTGACAACGTTAACACCCCTGCCTATGTCGACATTGCAGCTCATGCGCAAACACTTTCCCAATAAGAAGGACCATTATGATCTTGCTGTCATCCTGGAATTCATGGCACCAGTGTTGGGTGGGATTGCGGATTCCTCTCCTGTTCGCCCTCTCCACGCATCTTTTTACGACTTCCTGACGGATCAGTCACGGAGTGGGGACTACTTCATCAACATCTCTGGGGCATATGACCTAGCCTTCGCCTCGCTGCAGATTCTGTGTAAGGAGCTGTAATTCAACATTTGCAGATTAGAAAGCTCCTACTTGAGCAACTCCGAAGTCCCTGATTTACAAGATAGAATAACCAGGTGCATTCCACTCCATCTATCCTATTCGTGCCAATTTTGGGGTCAACACCTGCGGAAGACTGCCTTTCACTCAGTTCTTGCGGAGTTGGTGAGCACTGTTGTGGGGAGTGAAAAGATTCTTTTCTGGCTGGAGATTTTGAGTATCATTGGTGTATTAGGAAAAGCTGTGGATCTCCTTGTCCACACTGCTACATGGCTCCTGGTGAGTACTCTACACTTGGATTTAACATACCCTAACATGATGTCAGAAGGACCAAGCAGGGTTTGAGGATGCATTAGAAATGGTGCAAGATGGAATCAAGTTTGTTCACAACTTTGGCAGTGCAATCTCACACAGTGCCCCACATCTTTACATATCTGCATTGCCATTCACTCCTTCAAACACAAGACTCTCAAAAATGCTCATACCAAAATTCCATCACCTTATAGGAGTGCCTGTAGGAGGACACAGGGAGTGGGCAGCTTCTCAGTTAGTCTTAGAGGGGCATGCCAGGGCAGTCACTTCAGTTGCATTCTCCCCTGATGGAAAGAGGATTGTGTCAGGGTCATCTGACAAGTCTGAGGGTTTGGGATTTTGAAAGAGGTGTGCAGATTGGGATTCCTCTTGAGGGACATACAGATTGGGTGCAGTCAGTTGCATTCTCACCTGATGGCAAGAGGATTGTATCAGGGTCACATGACAAGACTGTGAGAGTGTGGGATGCTGAGAGAGGTGTACAGATTGGCAACCCACTTGAGGGGCATGCTGGCATAGTCTGGTCAGTGGCATTCTCTTGTGATGGGAAGAGGATTGTCTCAGGGTCAGAAGATGAAACAATTAGGGTCTGGGCAGCTGAGAGAGGTGTGCAAATTGACAGCCCTCTTCAGGGGCACACTGATTGGGTCTGGTCAGTAGCATTCTCTCCTGATGGTAAGAGGATTGTCTCAGGGTCAAAAGATGGGACTGTTAGGGTGTGGCATACTGAGAGAGGTGTGCAGATTGGCAACCCTCTTCAGGGGCACACTGACTGGGTGCAGTCAGTTGCATTCTCTCCTGATGGAAAAAGGATTGCCTCAGGGTCACTTGACAAGACTGTGAGGGTATGGGATACTGAGAGAGGTGTACAGGTTGGCAGTGCTCTTCAGGGGCATACTAATTCAGTCCAATCAGTTGCATTCTCTCCAGATGGAAGGAGGATTGTCTCAGGATCATTTGACAAGGTTGTGAGGGTGTGGGATGTTGAAAGATGTCTGCAGATTGGTCGCCCTCTTCATGGTCATGCTGATTGGGTTCAGTCAGTAGCATTCTCCCCTGATGGCAAGAGGATTGTCTCAGGGTCACCTGACAAGACTGTGAGGGTCTGGGATGCTGGGAGAGTTTTGCAGAGTAGCAACCCTTCTCAAGGGCATATTGACTAGGTTCGATCAGTTGCATTCTCCCTTGATTGCAGGAGGATTGTCTCAGGGTCACTCGACAGGACTGTGAGGGTTTGGGATACTGAAAGAGGTGTACAGATTGGCAGCCCTCTGCAAGGGCATACCAATTGGGTGCAGTCAGTAGCATTCTCTCCAGATGGAAGGAGGGTTGTCTCAGGGTCACTTGACAAGACTGTGAGGGTTTGGGATGCTGAGAGAAATGTGCAGATTGGCCATCCTCTTGATGGGCATGATGATTGGGTCTGGTCAGTGGCATTCTCTCCTGATGGCAAGATGATTGTGTCAGGATCACTTGATAAGACTGTGAGGGTTTGGGATGTTGAAGAAGGTGTACAGATTGGCAGCCCTTTTCAGGGGCACACTGACTGGGTTCGGTCAGTTGCATTCTCCCCTGACTGCAAGAGGATTGTCTCAGCATCAGAGGACAAGACTGTGAGGATGTGGGATGCTGGGAGAGGGATACAAATTGGCCATGCTCTTCAGGGGCATACAGGTTGGGTCTGTTCAGTGGCATTCTCCCCTGATAACAGGAAGATTGTGTCAGGGTCAAAAGATGAAACTGTAAGGGTGTGGGATGCTGAAAGGGGCATGCAGATCTACAATCCTCTTCTAGGCCATAGTGATTGGGTCTGGTCAGTTGCATTCTCACCTGATGGCAGGAGGATTGTCTCTGGGTCATCTGACAAGACTGTAAGGGTGTGGGATGCTGAGAGAGGTGTACAGATATACTGCCTTCCTCAGGGGCATACTGGTTCAGTTATCACAGTTGCATTCTCCCCTGATGGAAAGAGGATTAGCTCAGGCTCATTTGACAATACAATGAGGACATGGGACATTCAAGTATATGAAGATATGATTGCCAGACATCACATCATGACATTGTCTGCATGTCATCCAAAGGGTATGTCTGTTCCATCCTGCATTGCAGATGGTGAGTATTTCACAGCCATTATGTGTTTTCATTGTACTTACTCACAAAATTGAAAGCCTTTAACACACTCCCCATTTTCTTTTCATCAGTTCCTTCACATGCACTGCATGATAGTGAACAACTTCTTCATGGCTTCCAGCCAGATGAGGTTGATGGCTGGCTTGAACCAGTCAAGCTTCACACTGATGGCTGGTTCAGAGGTCCAGAGGGCAGATTGCTGCTTTGGTTACCTCCAACATTTTGCATGCCATTTTACTCAAGTTGTAACAATGTTGTGATTCCCAATGGTTGTTGTACAGAGTTGGACATGAGCCACATGGTTCATGGGGATAAGTGGTATCAGTGCTTGAAGACAGTAGGCTAATTTTGACATGACATATTGTACACTATGTGTGAATATGTATCTACATTGCAATGGCATGAATTCCTGCAAGAAGGGTTGCATTTCCATTGTTTTAATGAGTGGACCATCAGTATTGAGGCTCAGACATGTATGTCAAAGTAGAGTAGACTTCATGCACTTTCAGTAATGCTACATGGCTTGATACATGCATGATTGGGTGGTAGGAGATTGGACTTAACAACAATAGTATTTAACCACTAACAAGCCAACTCTCTTTTGTTCACAGCCCATTACAGCAGTTTGCAAATGTTCATAACCCTACTTTCCATCTTGCTGTGAAGCTGATGTGAGCAGTGGGTTGGGGATGTGGAATGGTCTAGCCTGTGATAAAGGTTGGTTCATCAAGGTGGCATATTATACTTTGTACATGTGGGTAACTGTGAGTCATCACCTGATCAGTAAACACCACAGTCACAGATAGTCCATGATTATCAGCTCAGAAGTCTGCTGAACTCGACACAGGCTTGGGTGGTATATGTTTTGCATAAGGAAGTAGAAATTCTGCTACTGTTTGGGCCCTAAGGTTGGTTCTGTTCCATCAAGCAGATAAGTAGCAACAAATTGCAATTAATATCTGCTAAGTGCATGCTAAGTAGCAGTGAGGTAAATTACACAGGCAGTAAAATCAAGGGATTGAAAACATAGATGGACTAGGAATAGCAGTTGGGGAGATCTATTAGAAATCCTGTTGTGGAGTCAGTTGATCATATAACCAGTAGGGAATGAAAACATACAGATAAGTGCATACTCATTGTCAGATCCTGCATCACTCAACAGCTTGGGGTCAAGTTCCTGCCCAATTGCAAGTGAAGCTGAGCAATAGATCTTCTTTTGGTGACCCCAGTGAACTTCCTCATTGGGGCTCCCCAATTCTGGTCTGAAAATGCACATGCAGTCTTGCTATCCTTGCCTGAAGCCATGCTGTATTTGATGGGGGTCCACACAAACCTCATTGCCACTGTGGCAATACCATCTTCAACATTGATGGGGGACTTTAGCTTGACATCTCCAGATCTAATGAGGTTTAAGCCACATGAGAGCTAAAAAAACTAATCAATAATGCAGCTATGACAATAACTTGGTAAACATTACTGCAGCAGCACAAAGTCCAAGAGCACCAGCAACACCATACTTTGCCAAAGATGAAGTGTCAAGAGCAGGGAGTTGACCATATCCTTTGGTTGCAACCAAATGGCTGCTCAGCAGCAGCTGTTGCACAAAAGTGGAGTGGAGGGCCTGTCACAAATTTCTTGGGCACATGATAAGAACCTTATAATACATGTTAAGGGTGGCTGTTCACACTTCCGTTATAAGCCATGCCAATGCCACCCATGTGTCATTGAACGATTGCCAAAAATGGGTATTTGTACATAATATTTTACACATTTGCACTATATCTTAGATAAAATATCACATATTTGCTATAATCTAGCCAAACTTGACCATTATAATGGCAAGTGGTCCATTACATGCTGCTTACAATGGGGGCACATGACAATGGACCAAATAAATTTGCGACACCTTCTCAGGAACAGTCATGTTGAGGTCTTCATATAAGAATGTGAAATGATCAAGTAATAGTTTGCAGTGTTGGTGGGCAATGGGCTTGAGGATTGAGGAAGAAAGCTATGAGTTGTGCAATGGCTGCAGAGACAAAGCCATGCCTCCAATCACACAAGTGTTGAGGCATCTATGGCAAACACAGTCAGCTACAGATGAAGTCAGAATGAGATAGACTTATGACAGAAACCATGGGTGGTCTGGGAAGAATGCTACTTGCTGTGTTCTTGAGTATGGGGTATATGACAAGCATAATCTCCTGTAGAGCCCTGAAAATGTCTTGCTTGGCAATGTTGAATGCATCCTCTTGGTTTCCAGCCCATAAGATTAGCATTGGAATAAGTTCCCTCTTCCACTTCTGATGCTTATGCAGATCCAAGGGGAGATCTGAATTGTTGAAATACACTGATGCAGGGACAGTCTGCACTAGACTTGACAAATCACTTGCTACAATAGATCTCTTGCTAGTAGACATGGCTGATAAGCTGGACATAGAGTCACAAGCTCATACCCTGATCTTCTTTGGAATGCCCTTTGTAACTGTGACATGCAACTGAAAGAAGATAAAAGATGAAGAAACATGGGGAAAGGTGGTTAGCACATACAGTGAGGGACAAAAGTGTTGCAATGTTTGTGAGGTGTGACTTGCTGCCAATGTAGCTCAGGCTATTCTGTACAGATAATCATGATACATATACCATTGGAAAGGGGTGACTCTAACCTTTCCAGAGCACTAAGGTTCAGTCCAAACAAGGCAACACATGCCAAGATATACCCTATTCTTTCCAAAAAGTGCATTGCAACACTTTTGTCCCTGACAACTGAAATAGTATGAAGTGGCCTTTTCATAGTGTTTCCATGCAAGGAATGTAGGAAAACTTTTATGCTGGGTTTGAAATTTTTCATTTCTTCCCAATCGAGCACAAATTTGACATTTCCTGGATAAACCATTACCATGAAGTCCCTCTCTCAGGACCAAATCTGCTCTATTGTCTATATGCTTGAGGATGGACATTCCATCAGGCAAATCTCCTCTGCTACTGGAGTCCACTACTCCACAGTGTCCAGGGTCCACTCTAAACACTGTCCTGACTCAGTCAAGGCTGTTGGTGGATGTCCAGCTAAGCTTACCCCCACTGATCTACACCATGCTGTTTGCCTAATCAGCTCTGGAAAGGCAGAAACTGCTGTGGGAGTCAAGAAAGTCCTCCAGATACTCTCAAGACATCACTCTCAGCTAAGGCTGTGTCTAGGGGGCTAAAGAAAATGGGGTTCAAGTCAGTAGTGAAGGTGAAACAACCTTTCCTCAAGGCTCAGCACAAGAAGGCAAGGATGGACTTCACTGTTGCACATAAAGACTGGACTCTGGAGGATTGGAAACAGGTTATATGGTCAGATGAGACTAAGATTAATCACCTGGGGTCATATGGGAAGAAGTGGGCTTGGAAAAAGGCAGGGGAGGGGCTTAGTGAGAGGATGGTACAGGGTACAGTCAAGTTTGGGGGGGAAACTTGATGGTGTGGAGGTGTATGAGCTGGAATGGCACTGGATATGCATCCAAGATTGAGGGGAGGATGGATACTGACCTCTACACTCAAATTTTGGAGGATGAATTCTGGAATAGCCTGGAGTGGTGGGGTAAACTGCTGATGAGATCATCTTCCAGCAGGATAATTACCCCAAACACACCAACAAATGGGCCAAAAAGTGGTTTACAGACCATGGGATCAAGGTCATGCAGTGGCCAGCCCAGTGTCCTGACCTCAATCCTATTGAACATCTGTGGAGTCACCTCAAGAGAAGGCTGGCAGAGTATGAGACAGCACCCATGGGAATGTTGGAGCTTTGGGAGAGAGTGGAAGAGGAATGGGAGGCAATTAAGCCAGAGGTGTGTCAGGAGTTGATTGAAAGCATGCCTAGGAGGGTTGAGGCAGTGTTTAAAACTAAGGGAGGGTATACCAAGTACTAGGAGTGGACTAATACTATACATTGGAAATTGAAGGACAAAAGCATTGCAATGCACTTTTTGGAAAGAATAGGGTGTATCTTGTCATGTATTGCTTTGTTTGGACTGAACCTTAGTGCTCTGGAAAGCTTAGAGTCACCCCTTTCCAATCACCTTGTTTACAAGTCACTGCACCTCAAAATTTGTTGCTCATTTTTCGACATCCATGAACATTCCTCTTTACAAAGTCTGATTCAAATCATGCAGGTGAAGATTTGTTGGTGCACATTTATGTACTTGCATTTATGTATGATTGTAACAAGCTCAAATGAAAAGGTGGTTAACTCACAGACAAAGCTCAATCAATGGTGGCATTGAATTGAAGGCATGTGCCCATGTACAGTTGCATGCCTAGACTGTCCCCATTCATTTGTTCAAACTCCAAGCCAAAGGGTTTACATGCAGACAGAGACCAATTGATGGTGGCAGTGAATTGAAGGCATGTATCTTTGTACTCTAGTTTGGTGCAAGTGCAATCTATGTCACTTTGGCTCTTTCCCAGTCTAACATTGTCTTATGATCGAGAGCCACAAGCCTTTGGTCCTCTTGTCACAGATATTCACTCAGATGTTGAGTTGTCAATGCCAGTCCTTATGACATGTCCACCATTTGCAGTACTCTCACATATGCAAATGGCACTCATTACATTGATGTCATTATCTCCAAGACATCAACTGCCTATCTCCCTGCTGTTTCAATTCCACAGCACTGCTAATCAACCCCATTTATTATGGCTCAATTGGCTTCAAAACCATGGCAGCCCTGCAGAAATACAGAACATGTGGTTTCGAGTTTGGCAGCTGCAAAGAGTATCATCATTTGCCTTACAGTTGCAGGTGTATGCCCCACAATTTGACCAACAGCAGCTGTCTATGGCTTCAAATGTCTGATCTCTGTCATGATGTTGTGAAGCCCACTGACATCCTCAAGTGCTTGGGGGTCATCAATGTCATGTGGTTACTGGGTGGGTATGTATGCAGCACATATCCTGCCTTTCTGGATGGCTATTCAGTTCATGTTCAACAATGACATGTGAGTACCCAATACTGACATTGCTGTGCATGCACTCATTATCTGAAGGGATCTTCTCTCCCATCAGCATTTCATCAAAAGTGAGGAAACTTAGAAGATGGCCACCAAAAGCTCTGAGGAATAATAGCATGTTGTCGAAGATTTGTTTGCATATAACAGGGGATGGAGTCAAGGCGAGGATGGCAGACAGGGTGCATTTAGAGCATGGGTGGCGACACCAACATGGTGAGAAAGGGGCAGTGACCTCCAATGGCACTGCAATGGAAATGTTAGACTGGTACAAATATTGATTGCTAGCCATAAATTATGGGATTCAATGATGTGTCCATAAACAAGGTGCCTGCCATCCCCAACAGCCCTATCCTCTAATGGTATAGGTATCATGATTATCTGTGCAGAATAGCCCAACCTACATTGGCAGCAAGTCACACCTCACCAACATTGCAACACTTTTGTCCCTCACTGTACTACTCGGTCATGACATTCTTGTGCCCCAAAACACAGATGGCATTGTCCACATTGCCATATTTATCATTGATGCCACCACCCTCAACCTCAGAGGTTGAGACATATTCCATCTTGGCTACTTTCCTCTTGACATTGGCAAGTCTGGCAGCAGTATCATTGGCCTCACAATCCTTGGCCATTGCAGGAGTAAAATCCATCTCAGCATGAAAGATACTCAATGAGAACATTTTGAAGGGCAGGGACATCCAAAATCAGAGGCCTCACCAGCTTGCTAGCTTTGCCATCTTTTGCTCCTTAGTGGCAAGTTGAAGTTTCCTAGTATCTAGGGATTCAAACTTGTAGTTGTATCAGGAGTAGTGTTGTGCTCAGCTTGGGCTCAGGCCCTGAGGCCAAGCCCCATTTAGGTCAGGCTGGGCAAGCCTTCAGAGTGGCCTATTGGGGCCTGTGGCCTGCTGGTGGTGCCAGCCAGTTTCCTGTGTCCTGTTTACACATACATCCCCTTTGGTCCCTTCCACTTCTTGTCCCAAAGCTGTTCTCTGATGGTCATGACTGCTGTGCAGTGACTCAGTCTGACTTGCAACTGAGGGATTTACTTCTCAGAGTATGAGTACTTACTGTTTACCAGCTCATACTGTTTGGTGCACAGTCTGCCATACATAAGTCCTGCATGTATTGTACAGACTCCCCATCTTGAATCTACTCTGCATCTGCCCTTAGCTCTTTGGTCACACCTCAGAGGGCTTCCCTGTGCAACTTTGGATGGAGAAGTATAGTGTTCTGTCACTATAGGAGTCTCCATGTCTATCCTGTTGACTTCACTGTCATGTGCCTCCCTCTCAGTTGATTCATGACTGTTATGCAGTCATTGGCATAACAGATGCATTGGGTAACCCATCCACAGCAAGGGCCCCATCTAGGCTACTGAGCATTGTCATGCTTCCCTGGAGGCACTTGGTATTCTTCCCCATCACTCAGTCAACCCAACCTATGGTGACTGGTCTCAGGCCAATTGATGCTATGGTACCACTTGGTCATGGTCAGTGTGAGCTTATTATTGGTGACTGTCAGACTAGCAGGATGACTGTCACTATTGCCACCATTCTCAACTTGTCAATAGTGTTTTGGATCATTGTATGGCTACTCTCCTTTAATTGTTTCATGCTGCACTTTATCCTGAATATATTGATTTCTATTCCCTACCTGTGAGCTGAACAAAAAACCAGAATAGTGAAAATAAGTACTAAGAAAGCTGCAGTTGATGAGAAGTTGGATAGTAGAAATAGTGGGGGAAATATCATAGATAGTTGAAAGATAGTCAAAAGATAGTACAAATAATAGTGCAGATAGTAAATAAACCTACTAAAATGACTATTCTGTCTTTTTTGACTATTTCAGTGCAAATAGCACAAATAAGACATAAATGGTATGAAAATAGTAATGTGTGAATTTCCTGATGCACTAGTTCAATGAAGAGGAGGGTTGCTGCCAGTTATCATAGGCACTTGGGGACATGCTGTGAATGACCTGAGCACAGATTGTCTTCAGTCTGGTAGGCTCCTTAGGCCTTATGTACATAGTACAAAAATGAGGCCATCAAGGTAAGGCATGCATGCAGACCACATCAGCCACATGGATATATACCCCTATGAAGTTTGGAATACAAAACCTATCTGAAAGGAATGCAGCATGTCTCACATACCAGTGCAGTGATCTTGTCTCACGACATGCAAACGATGATGGTGGCGGTTCCCTCAAGGTGTATGCTGGCATACAATGGGAAGGATGTTGCAACAAACGAGTGTTGGCACAACCGAGATATTTCACTGCCCAAAGTATATCCACCCAACCTAATACATATCATTGGTACCTAAGTTCGTTTGCAAGCGTTGTGTCGACGGGGAAAAAGGGTGAATTTGTGAACGTCGTATGCTATACAATACATAATTGAAGTCGACGACTGACACTGATTAGTATTTCATTCTCAATTCCATGCATGCAAGTATGCTGGTTCACAACTCCAGCAGGCACTCTAGAGATCGGGTTTAGAAGCTGCTGTCGAGGAAGGGTCGGAAGCCATTGATGGCCCCCCCAATGGTAAAATGAATCCCATGAAACTGTTTTGGATGTGGACTACGAGTGAACTCACAGCTCGACGGTGAGAACGGCGGACTCTTCCCGTCCTCCTCGTCGCCGCCTTTCTCAGGTTCTTTTTATGTTGTATACATACAATAACTTCTCCCAGGGTTTGGTTTAATACTCCACGTTCCTCGTCGACGATGTCTGCAGTGCAAGATGTGTCCATGACGACGACAGCGACCGACACTCTCGACTCTGCAATCCGCGTACAAGTAACCCCATCTCAGGCGTCCTACTTCGCGGGCGAGCCGTTCACGGTGACGATTACATTCACGAACACGCGCACGCCAGAGTCGCCCAGGGCGAGAAGTAGCAGTAGTAGTAATACGCACAGACGGGGTTCCCATTCCATCAGCTCTGCCCCACTGGCGAGACCCCCTACGTCCCCTGGTATCCCCAGACCATCCACGGGTATTCCCCCGACTACTGCTACCGCCATCGCCCGCACGCCGAACAATAGCCATGACCTGCCCACGCGGAAGAGACTTATCGGACAACAAGACCTTTGTAACAAAAGTAGTAATAACATCAAAGGAGGAGGGTGCCAGGATGTGCTGGAACAGAAGAGACGAAGTCTTCTTGAGAAATCGCGCTCGTTGTCGGTGGACATTCCTGCCCCGGCCCTCGATCTGTTGGTAGGCCAGAACCGAGAGTCCCAGTATGTCAGAGCGTACAACGAGTTCTCAGACGTGGCAGTTGGTGGGCGTCTCTCAGATCTCTTCATGTACACGTTTGATGATCTAGTTGCCCTAGGTACCACGCCAACCCCATCTTTGCCTCGCACGTCCGACTTTCAGCTCCCCCCACACCATCCACATGCACGCAAACAGTCCCTTGCCGATGGGCAGACCCGGTTCTGTGAAGTACCCCCTCCACCCCCTCCACCTGACCTGGCGAGTTCATCCACGTCGACTTCGACGTTCTCACTAGCCCTCGACCCGATCGCAGAGTCTCCAGTGACACCTTACCCCGGCACGCCGTCCCCCAAATCTCCCCCTATCAACGAACCCATCCGAAAGTCTCCTGCACCGAAACGAGAATCTCAGCCACAACCACACCTTCGACCACCACCTATACAATCCCCGGGACGATCCTCCCTAGGTCACGGCACACCTCCACCTCGCAATGCCGTCCTCCCAAACTACAACACTGAACTTATCCTCTATTCATATGCACAGCTTCTGGGCACTCTTTCGGTCACACCTCTCCCAGGTGTAACGATGTCGCCGGAGCATGCCAAAGCACTGACTGCGCTCCGCATGCGACTGCTCAAACGTCCTGTTGTTGGCGGCGGTAGTATGGATATCACGTCCCGACACCGCATACAGGAACGCAACAAACGACAAGGGCGGACGTTATCGCTTGCGAGCGGATTGTTTTCGCTGCTTTCGCCAACAAGTTCGTCTTCTGCCCCATCGTCCCCTCTGCAATCTTCTTCACCGTGGAGATCAGGAAGACCGCGTACGACTTCAGTCACGTCAGCGACGCCTAGTACTGTGTCTTCCAGTCCTTCGACGAACGGCTTCAACGACACGGAAGAGGAAAATGTCGATCCCGAGATGCCATTGCCAACATTTGAAGTCCAGCCTGCGATGCTCGCCGTCGATCTATCCCTCGCTCCAGGAGAATCACGAACCTGTGAGCACCGAATTTCGCCAAAGAAAGAGAGAACGCGTGTGGTGCTGACTTGCCATTCCGAGACACGTACTCGCTTATGTTGCCTGCAAATCTGCCACCGACGTTCCGAGGCAGGTCGCTCAAGTTCTCTTACGAACTCATCATTGGCACATGTCGTGCGAGCACTTCTGCGATGCAGTCGTCGAGCAGTCTGGGTCCCACAGGAGCAAACAGTGTCAGTCGCGTTATGAAAGTTCCGATCCGTGTTTATAATCATGTTGCTGGTGCGAGTTTCGGGTTGCTGTGTACTGAGCTTGAACGACTAACTAATTACGTTTCGTGAAGTGAGTGCGACTCCGAGGCCTTATAACTTGCTGTGGCCAGTCACGAGACAACGCACGACCGCCGAGTTCGCGCCGAAGGTCGTGGATGGCCCACTCAAGGATGTGAGTGGGACGAACAAGGGTTCAGCACCGCTACCAAGTACGCATCATTGATTCACAAAATAAGATTTCACTCAGGTGGCGTGATGATGATTTATAGCGAAAGTTAGCTCGCGCCCTCTAGATGAAATACGGGAGTACGGGCGCCGGCTGCTGGGGACCCTCGATGCAGGCTGTACTAGTGACGCCACTCCCAGATCCGTCGAGGCAGGTGACCCCGAGCGTGAGATTGAGTCCGAGAATGGCTCTCTGACAGGGTGCAGGGAGGCTGTGGAGATCTTAACGCGGAACCCAAGGAAGGGTAAGTGACAATAATACACACATTACGCCGGGGTGGTGTGCCTTCATAATTGATGCGTCTCCCCAGTTTCTTATGATGTCAACAAGGACGGGGTCAAAGTTGCCGTACTGACTTTTCCTAAATCGGCATATCGACTTGGCGAGACCGTGATGGGTGTGGTGGAATTGAATGAATTGCGGAGTCGGGCGAGAGTGTTATCGGTGAGTAAATGGCGCGGAACTTGTTTTCCCCTCAGGGTTGGCGTTTGTTTAAGTGATGTTTGGCTTGCCCCCAGTTGTCGGCTTTGCTAGAAGCCCAAGAAAGATTACCCGGGCCCATATCGACTGCTGGAAACGTGCGGCACATGAGGCGGGTACACGCGGAACACCATTCGTCATTCGTGGCATCGACGCTGCGAACAACTTTTTCGCTGGATATACCCTCAGATGCGAGTCCGGCGTTTCAGGTCCAAATTGGGGAGGAGCAACAGGGTATGGGAGGACTTTCGTGGCGGGTCAAGCTGTGTCTGTTGGTTGGGGTGGCGAGTGAAAGTATGGAGGTTGAGAGCAACGGGTCACGATTCAAGCACCTTGTTCCGAGATGGTCGAGCGGGGGAGTGGGGCGTTCCGTACAGGGCCTCGGAATCGATTGCCCCGATGGAGCGGACAAAAGGGGAAAGTGAAACGGGGCCGGCAACGTGGACACAGTATCTGGTGTCGTCTTTGCTTGGCAGTGGCGAGCGACGATATCATGATGGTGATGAGGAAGAAGTAGACGAAGAAGAGGAAGGCGAAGGTGAAGAAGAAGGGGGGTGGCCGGAACCAAAGGAGGAAGATAAAGAGCGAGGGTGGAAGGAGGTGAAGGTGGAGACGGTGGAATGCGAGGTGCCAATTAGGGTGTGGCCTGGCAACACTGCCTTCAACGCGATGGCGGTAGTTTTTGACGTATGACGCAAGGTGAACACTGGACAAGGTTTTTCTTCAGTTTTTGAAAATGGAGTGGGGAATGAATTTGACATTGACGAGCGTCTCGGCAGCGCCCTTCCCCCCCAGGACGGATCTTGGCAAAACGTTTTGTTGTCCGATATGAGCTTGCTACTGTTACGATTAGGATACCACGTAAATAACCACCTGTGTCCCGACTTTGTACGGATGACTCGGAAGTAGCAGGCAAGTGTCGGTCTAACAAATCAAACACATAACAACCCAACACAAACCCAAGTTTTCTTTTTCCCCTGCTCATACCATCGGATGCACGCCTTCAGCAACAGCCCAGCAGGCGGTGGTCGCGCTGCCCCGGGGCTGCCCTCGTCCGTGCCCATCCGTTCAGCGTCCTTCTCAAACCCACAGTTCCCTTCAACCCTGCGGGGCTCATCCAGGTTCTCTTCCACCTTCGAGGATGACGAAGACCTCGAAGAAGACACCTACGACAATCCAGGGCCGTACGCCCAGTCATCGACCCCAGTGCCTCGCGGCCGTCCGTTTCCCTCGTCTGCGGATCTGACTCGTAGCAGGTCTCAGTCGCTGGCTACGACAACCCGTCCGATTTCCAGTCCATTTCAGTCTAGCACACAGCAACATTTCTGGTCTTCTTCCCCAACCTCAGAGTCTCCCAGTAACCCACTTAACATTCCATCTCGCTATGCGGACATAAAACCACCTGGGTCTAGCCGGTATGGGTCGCTTGGGACCATTGCCAGATCGCCCCTGGGAACCACCCATTTCGACTCGTCGTCCGGGAACGGCAACAGCGGCAATAATGGCTACAGACACAATACCATCGACCCTTCCAACATGAGTCCGTTCGTTAGAGACGTCAGCCAGATCCTTTTGGACAACGGCTCCGCCCTCCGCGAACTATGGGCAGGTATGAACCCGCCCAAGGACGAGCACGGGGGTGGCGGTAGTGGCACGACGAGCAGACGTCATAGTGTCAGCGTCGTCCAGCCGAGACGGCCCACCGTTGTCGGGTTCAACGCCCCCGGCCACGACACCCAGGACGAGTCAGCCGCAGCAGCACGTTCAAATGTGTTCCACGGCCCTTTCGGCCGTGGCGGCTTGATGTTCTCTGACGACGATCTCGCGGATGACCTGGGCTCGCTTAGTCTTTCCAAGGACGGGCCTGGGCCTTCGTCCTCCGCTCATCCCCCGAGTCAGCCATCATCGCTTCCCATTTACGCCCCCCTGTCGAGAAGCCCTCTGTCATCAGATCGTATATCCCCCTATCAGCACATCAACCTGAATATCCCAACTGGTACCTCTTTCGCATCCCGTCAGCGCTTCGGATCTCCTAGTGATAGCGGGTTGTCTGCCGGTGCTAGTCCCCCCCGCAGCCAGTTGGAACAACAGCTGATAGACGCCCAATACCTCGTTGGTGGCAACGGTCATGGCTCTCATCAGCACCAGCAGCAGCAACAGCAGTCATCCCTCACAGCTCGTTTTATCCCCGGAAAGGGCATCCAATATCTTCCTCAGGGGAACAACGATGCCCCGTCTTATAACCGCACCAACTCACAGGGTTCCATGCCGTCCCCACTCTCACCCACGACGGGTCGTCCGATCCAGCCCCAACAGGGTCCATTTTACCCGCAGCAAATGCAACGTCGCACATCCGACGCACCTGTCCCGAATCTGAATGATCTCGGCAAAGGCGTTCCGCTCTCATCAGTCCCAGCCTCGTGGCCACTCTACATCGTCGAATTCAAAGCCGGTCGTACCGATCTTTTCTACCTGACCGACCTCAGTCTCGATATTCGGGTGGGTGATCTGGTCATTGTGGAGGCGGATCGAGGAAAGGATATGGGTACTGTCGTCAACGATTCCATTACTCTCAAGGAAGTGGAGGCGTTTGAACGCGAGCAGAGGGAACGGGTCACATTCGGGGATGGTGGTCCGCTGAGCCCTGGCGGTCAGCAAGGTTCAAAGAAGGAGATAAACCCAAAGATGATCTATGGAAAGGCCCAGCCTCATGATAGACAGTGCGGTCTTCTATCTCCCGGTTATTGACTTCAGGTTTTCTGATCCGTGGGCTTTTTTTGTAGACAATTGGTTAATAAGGCGCAAGACGAATTAAAGGCACTGCAGCTTTGTCAGACCAAAGTCAGACAGAAGAAGTTACCAATGGAGGTCATAGATGCAGAATATCAGTGGTTCGTGGCGCACGAGTTCTTGAAACCGTCTGGCAAATTTGCTGACGAGGAAACGAAACACAGGGATCGGCGAAAATTGACATTCTATTTCATCGCAGAAAAGCGCATCGACTTCCGAGAGCTCGTCCGGGAACTGTTCAGGTGCGCTACCGCCGTCGCGCATTACCGTTGTTGCTGTGGTGCACGCTCGCTTACTGTCTCGTTTCCAAGGTTATACAAAACCCGTATCTGGATGGCCTCTCTTCAGGGCCCCGGCGGTTACGAACAGTAATTGGCTAGCCCATTCCCAAGGCCGAAAAAGAAAAATAGCAACAACCGTGAAATCAAGATAATATGCCACGATATATCATGACAATTCTGTCCTTGTCCATTCGGTCGTGTCTCAATATACAAGTAGATATGCAATCTTTCTTTCTCTCCCGACTTTCAGGCTTCCTTTGTTTGTTACAATCTAGGTCAACCTAGACGATCCCTAGGTCCTAAGTGTACGTGTCCCCCCACTTGCAGTCTTACTATTTATTCCAGCGTGGTTTGTCAAGAGATTTCCCGTCTCTGTTTCTCCCTGTTTACGCGTTGTCTGCTTGTCGGCGCCTATACAGTGTACTTTAGACCGTTCTCAGATCGTTCGATTTTGTCTACATACATACTCTCCTCTCGTGTCTTTCCGGCGCCGAGTAGGTATGACCAGATCTGGTTAGGAGGTTCTTGGTTATCCAGCCCTGTATCACTACTGTACAGATATCAGATTAGTCTTAGCGCTGTGCGGCGTGATCATAATCCATTGAAGACGTGTATTATCCAGACTATGGATGCATCCATGCCCCATCATAGGGACCCATGGAAAAATTGTTAGGACTTTACTTGGGGAATAACCGAACGGCCATAAACTTCGTTCTTAATGATTTCTTCTGCTTCCTCGACGAAACAGCCGAATGACCATGTATCAATACAGATCAATGATGGTGTCTACCCTAACGACAAGAAGAGCTCTCTATGATACAGCGATGCGCGCGCGCGTCAACATGCTGCGTTCCCGACATTGTTATTTACTTTTCGTTCCGCGGTGACTGTCGAGTGATGCGGGGATTATGACTCGAGAGAAAGTAACAGAACGATATGGGACGTACCCCATGGTCGACGGTCCATCGGACATTGCTGTTTCGATGCGGGCGTTCCGAGCCATTTAAGTAGACAATGCATGTGAAAGACGTGACTACACTGTCCCCATACTGTTCATTCTAAACTTTCAATAACCACAGGGATATCTATTGCACCGATGAAGAGAAGACACGTACTGAGTGGACAATCATCTCCAGGCATTTTACACGCCGGACAACATCCCTCATACGGGATTCGACAGATCCCACATACATCACCCTCGTCGTCAGCTGCTGCATCGTTGTTGTTCCCGGTATTCCATCGCCACTGCGCTACTGCGCTCCAGTGTTTGACGTGGACTTTCATCGTCTATATGAGTGGATTGGCGCGTATGCGTGCGTGTAGGGGTATGTTGGTTGAGGTTAACCGCATCGTTCAAGCGAATGTGGGTGCTCCCTCGTCTTCCATCATCGCGGAGTTGTTTGGCGTTGTGTACGCGTTGGGGTATATCACGTGATCTACGTGTTGCTTGTGCCAAGAGAGGAAATTTCATCTTACACATGGGAAATATCAACTAGAACATGGCTGGCACTGCTGGCAGGCACCTTGTTTACCATGCCAGGGCTGCAGTCACAACCAGTGGGTTTTGCTGTGTGGAGTCAATTGACAGGCAGATGTGCAGATGTCAAAAAAAGTGTCTCATTTTTGGGTTGGAGTGACCTTGTAAACAAGGTGATATCTTGACATAAACAGATGATGATTCTGAAGATACAGCAAACTTCAAATCCATAGACCAGATCCAAGCAAAACTCACTTACATGAGTGCTTTTGTTTAGTTGTGGAGCTAAGTGACTTTATGCACTGCAATTGATATTGCACTTTACAACCAACTCCCTGCACAAATTTCCCATCATTCAAGCACATGAGATGCCCCTTGTTTGATGGTCCATCTGCATCATCATGCAGTTTTTGGCTGTGCACATACAGTCTGCTGCCTCATGGCCCTGTGGGGTGTAGAGTACTGTAGCATGCTTGTCCTCATTTTCCTACCTCTCCCACTGTTACATCTGGTCTCTCCTGTGCTCTTTGTCTCTGTGAAATGTTTGGCAAGAAGACAGGCAAGATTGTTGCTGTTCATAGGTGGATTGCATGGAGGAGAAACAAATCCACCAGGGTGCCACATGATTACTCTGTCACTGGAGGCTTGTTTGATATCTCTGCATGAATACTTGCCTTGAATTTGTGCCAGATCTCCCCTGTCCTAAATCAGCAACTTTCAATGGTTGCCATTTCCTCCAAGACTTCTCATGCCTTTTCTATTCATAATGCCTCTGACACCATGCAGATAACTTTACCTGTGGTACAGGAAGTCATGGGCTTAATCCCAATCACTGGTGCTGGGCTGAAGGCTGCGATCAGTGGATTTCTGGCTGTTCTTAAAGATATAGATGTGAATTTATTCCATCTTTCAATCATCAAACTTGATTCTGACTCATGGTGTTATAGCAACATGCCCAGAACAAAGCTGGCTTGAGTGCTCTCACTTGTCTGTTGTATGATCTCAGCTGCCATTTGATCAATGCCCCAACTGCTTGGACTCCCAGTGAAACAGCAGGGTGACATATGTTGAAGTGGTATGTTGCTCAGAAAAATATATGTAGGGTCTTTTAACATCCAATCACATCAGGAAGTTGGAAGAAAGTGTGAACAAACTGTCAGGAATGTGAAGTCATATCATGGTCAGATCCCCCTTGCTTGTGGTGGAGATAGCTGGATGTTTGAATGAGATTCACAGCTATCTTTATATTTACTGGGTAATGTTGCTGACTTGCAGTAATAGTTTCATCCATTCATTTTTGACCTATTCTCTCTTTGGTCCAGTTCTCATCCCAAATGGACACTCAAGCTGGTGTGCACCATCTCATTACACTGGAAAGAGCCATCTAACAGAAACTCAAGGAGTAGAGCATATTTTGATGATACTTGAGAGGGGACAGTCATTGCCACTAGCTATGACCTCTGGTTGTGCTATAGTGGTCGATGCAACAGGACGGGAACACAACATGTTACTTGATCAGTGTAACTCCTTCAATGTTTGTTATTGCTGCATGAGTGTTGATGCATGAAGCTTACTGTATTTATTATAGTGACTGGTTGCCTTTCCTGCCCAGCATTCTCAACCAATGTCAGCCAGATGAAGCTCAGATCCAACAGTGGTATATTAACAGGGGTCAATATGATTTCATGATCAACAATGGCATGAATATAACCAAACTGATAAGGGAATGTGATGCTTGGACAGCTATTCAGCCAGGGACTAAGATTGTCATGAGGGTTATTATGGAAGAAGTTGTCAGGATGTTTTCTGCAAGGTGTCAATGCTGCTGTGGAACTGGGAACAAGTTGGAGGTTGACATGGCCACAGTCTTGAATGCATTTAAAAATGGTTGGGCCATGACATGGTATCTAGTTTCCTTCTACAGCATGGCAGGGGCTTATGATGGACTGGAAGCTACCACTGCCAGTGACAATTTCAGGTTATAAGCACCACAGATGAAAAGGGAAAGAAAATGCAGGGGAACACATCACAACCCAGTGATGATAAACTAATGATGGAGGAAAATAGTCTCATTCACAATTTTTTGGCAAAGCAAGTGGTGTGTGGGACACATATATATTCCTGTGTTTCAACCATGCTGATGTTGGTGATTTTGACAACTACAGCTGGTATGTTGTGATTCCTGATTTGCACACCATCTGCTGACCACCATGCCACTGTTCCTTGCCTTCAGTCAGTAGGTGGCCATGTATTTTGGGTGTTGGCTAGTTGCTGACTCTTTGCTGTTATAGCATGCCTGTGGGACATGTGTGCTCTGGCATTTTGAACTTCCAGTCAGTTGCTGATATTTGAGTTACTACTTTTTGCCCTCAGCCAGTGTGTGTTCCCACCTTTGGAGCTGCTGGCCAATTGCTAACCCTTGCACTTTTTTTATTTTTTATGTAATTTTATTTTCAAGTCTGAATATAAGTGCGTGATGGTGTTCTTCACTAGGTCGCACTCTTCTAGTGTAGTTTACTGGCCATGCAGTCATGTTCTTTCATGGTAGTATTGTAATTACAGTAAACTAGTCATGCAAGATGCCTTAATTATGCCATGCATGACACCCCTATCCCACCCCCTATTTCTGCTTGGTACAAGGTCACATGACCATGAATCATGTGACTAGGGACATGCACAAGAGCAGATCACATCACTTTCAATCATGTGATGTGGCTGCAGTAGTCACATGATAGTCACATGACATTTGTGTGCCTCAAGTACCTAAGATAGGGCTCATGCACACACAGCAAGTTTTCCACAATGATCTAGACATCTCCAGGGAGTCATCATCTAGTAGTGTGAGTCTGCAAAAAAGCAAGAGACATGTCAGAGAAACCACTGAGATACAGCCCCAAGATGATAGGGGTAACTCTGGGCAAGCAAACAAGCAGGTGATGACCTCAGGACAATGGCTGGGGTGATCAACATGGGCCTCAGGAAGGTGGTTGGGTACTCGTAGATAAACACAGAAAAAAAGGAGCCACCATGACTGGACCATCAGATGCTGAGCTACACATGAAACTGTCTCACTGCCCTCTAAACACAAAAACAGTGATATCTCAATAGCAGCTCCATGGAATCAGACAAAAGAGGCCCCCCCAGAGAGGTCTTGGCAAGGGGAATGAGTAGTGCAAAAAGTGATAGGAAAGGCACAGGACTGAGTGGAGAGCCACAGACTTGTCCCCTGAATCTGATGGTAACATCATCACCAGCGACATCAATATACAAGCAGCACATGACAAATATGTTGTAGGGGAAGCAAAAACTACACTAGTAGTAATCTTCATTTATATACTCCTCAGTGAAGTTGTCCTCATATTGTGCAGCATTACCCCTGTTAACCCAATGAGGTTCACCTGCTGGGTTGGAGGGTAGTAGTCATTGGTATATGGACTGTTGTAGTAAGGATGGTTGGTTCGAGATGGAATGTGATGGAATCCTTGGCAAGATGGAGGAAATTGATTGTGGTAGCCAGAAGGTAATGCCTAGAGAGAATGCAAGTTGACAGTGAAACCTCTGCAAAATTGAATTACTCACATGATATGGGATATTAGATGGGCCAGGATCATGATAGTTCATATGGTCACCCCAAGAATCCTACATAATTTTTCCTTAGTCTTGTTACTGAAGGTCAGAGACCTGGATACTCACTTGTTGTCTGGGAAAAGACTGCTGGGCTAGGCCAGCCTCTCACATGTGAGGATGGCTTGGAAGATTATCCCAATGTAGATCCTATATGATGCTTTATTAGTCTTGTTATCAGACCATAGGAACCAAACCCTACCCCATATTGTGGAGCCAGTGCAGGAGGCTCAGATGGGCCAGGCTCTCAAGTGTGCACATTGCTTGGAATTGTGGATGGATCACGACGTGAATCTTGTGCAATGGGGCGCACATCCTGGTGTTGATCACATGGCACAGTTTGATGGTCAGACTGTAAAGCCTTGCAAATGTCAGCAGATACTGGATATTGAGTAAAGAGCAGAACTTACCTGGGGACCAATAGTATTGCAATTTGATGCCTCCATGTGGGGTCACTTCTGAGAGGGAAAAGGGAGTTGTTGCTGCAGTTGGGGTTGTGGCTGTCAAAGGACTTCTGTGCCTTGCTGCTGGTGATCTGTTTCCTTGAGGGACTTCTGCCACTCTGGATCATCTGAGATCTGCTGCAAAACAGTACCATTGGTAGCTTTGACAAGCACAATCTCACCCTTCAAAGGGTCAGCATCCAACTGGATGAATAAAATAGGGAATACCTTCATTCCAGCACTCAATCTCAATTTCCAGCACATCATCCAGACTATCTTGTTCTTCCTCATCATTGGTTTGCCCATCATACAAAAGACCCAGTTTTCTCTGAAGGTAAGGTACTACAAGTTGATGAAGAGGGCCAGCCTTAAGTTTCTTGTACTCAAAACCAGGGCTTGGTGGAGATACACCATGGGGCCAGTTGACAATAGTGAGGTGGCTCTTCCACAAAAACTTGAGAAGCTGGTGCCAGGAAACTTTCTGGGGATCACCAACTTCAATGCCATGTGTGACTGAGCAAAGGATCAAGATAAATGCATGTACAGCACAAGAATAACTTACTGTGCAGATCTCTCAATGTGGCCAACATCTTCTCCTTCATCATGCTTCTGGATACTCTGTGGTTGCAGTCTCTCAGAGTCTCCTTTGTACAGCAACATAGTTCCAGCACAGAACCCACATCTCCAATGGAACTGGTGCCAGCCACCCTGGCATCTGCACTGTCACCATTCCTGAGACACCTACAACAATCCAATGAGGTTGAATGAAACATGCAAGAAATAAACTTACTTGAAAATCATGGTATACTTATCCATGAGTGACCAGACATCAATGCCATTTTCATTGATCAAGTTTCTTATTGTCTTGGAGCCTCCAAATATGCCAGAAGTTTGATGTCCTGCAGGGTCCTGTCCAATATACATTACCACTCCAACTATCTCAATATCCTTGAGATTGGACCACACCTCCACCTGTGGAATGATCAGAATTGATGGCTGAACAGTTGCAACCACATACCAATCCAGAAAATTGTGCCTTTGCATTGTCCACTCTAGCTGCAATAGATTTGACAGATTGCTTAGTTGGTATGGTGGAGGAGCTCTCACTCCACTCATAGACAGATTTTAACTTTTCCCTCCTTGCTGCAAAGTCATCCTTGGGGATGCCTATCATGAGGGTGTTGTACTCCTTCATAATCAAATTGTTGATTGAATTTCAATTGGCTGGTCAGGATGTTAGAACAGTAGATGTGAGAGGGAGGAAAGCCATACCACCATCTGGTTTGGGCTGCATGGTCCAATACCACAAGTGGAAGAGGTTGGCCTCATTAATTTTGGTATGAGAAGCCTTAACACTAAATCCTGCAGCAACAAGTATGTCACATGCAGACTGCCCATGCCATCAGCCAAGTTCTTCCACCATCATCTTGATGTCCTTCACAAAAGCACATATTTCATCTAATGCTGCTGTGGACAGATTCCCTGGCTTCTTGAGGTTTGGGAGTTGGGTGTCATGGTCACTGTGGTTTGCAGCATCAATGTCCTTGGCATCTATAGCCCTACCTTTGCCCTTCTTCTGAAGTCTAGTATAGATCAGGCCACCTTCTTGGCAAGGATGGACAATGTCCCCTACAGGATGGGCAGAGTCATCAGACTCATATGCAGGTGGTGAGGACAGGGGAAGTGGGGACTGGGCACAAGAAATGGTCTGAGCATTGTGAGCACATGCATCATCATCATCTAGGAGTCAACATGTCAACATGAGGCAGATGCATATATAGATGGTAACAGAACAGGATCACAATTCTTTATCTATATAACAACCAAGGGAATGATGGGCAGCAGGAAATGGTCATGAGTATCCAAAGCACCAAGCTTTGAAACACCAGTGGGTAATAAGCCCACCATTGCATGACCAGAGAGGCACCAAACCCTGAAATCAAAAGAAATGAGAATTATCTGAAAAAAATGTGAGAGAATGAGGGATACAAAATGGAAAAACCTACCATGAGAGTCACTCGAGCTCTCCATCTCCTTGTCATCATTCTCATTCTCATTGTAATTGGAACCCTTGTCATTGTCATTGCTACCAGGCAGCTGGTCATCCTCTTTCTCACTACTGGATGGCAGGTCATCCTCATTCTCACTACTGGACAGCTGATCATCCTTGTTCTCATTACTGGAAGGCTGGTCATCCTCATTTTTGTTGTTGTCAGGATTCTCCTCCACCTCCTCCATTGCAGAGTCCTCAACACAGATTTGGTCGTCCAGGAACAGGGAAGGGGAAGGGAGCATTGGGGTGTTCATGATGGAAGGACAAGGTGTCAAGGAGCATCTTCTATCTCTCAGGCCAAACATGTGCTCTTCCCAGCCTTCAGGAGGCTGGACTGCACACTGCAGTTTTGGTTTGCCAATCATATCCTTTGGAGTAGATTGCCATGAGCAGAAAATGATGTTAGAGTAATGGATGAAAAATATACTACAAGACATACCTCTGAGTGTTGCACTCCATCATTAGAGACAACAGCACCACATTTTTTTACTTGTTTGGAAACCAGGGCATTTTGTGAGTATGGTATCCTTCAGTTGTGAAGAATTCAAGTGTTCAAGTCAGCAACGGAGTCCCTTGAAGGCTCCAGGATATCAGCAGAGCAGGGCATGGTTGTATGGGGGTGTTGAGAAATGGGGGGAGGCAAGGTGAGTATTTAAGGTCAGAGCATGTCAAGCCAAGATGAACCACATGGGAAAAAAAATCTGTCTAGAACATGTTGTCTCAGCATGCAAAGTTCTGGATATAGCATCAGCAAGGACATATGAAACCATGAAAAGAGGATGTGATGTAAGGGGGACAAAGGAAAACCATGCAGGAAAGAAGTGGTTGTAATGCATAGTGAGGATGACACACCTATTAAAATGGAAACATATGGGTGGAATTCCAATCAAAAGCCAGAATGGCAGTATTCTGTCTGTGCAACCCAGAAAGTGGGTTTCCTCAGGACTGAAAAACCACAAAAGTTCATCAGTGTCCAGCAATAGAGAAAGGAATGGGCTTACTAGACAGAAAATGAATTGTTCAAGCCCCTAAGGGTGGTCACTGACAAGAGCAGGGTCGACACAGTCCAATAGACACAGTCCCTTTCATGTAATTGATAGCCAAATTGAGCATATAATGTAGACTGAATGTTGGAGGTATGATGACCTTTGGGTGAAGTTGTTGCTGAAGCAAATCTCTGGTACTGAGTGATGAGGGTCATTGTCATCCATGCAATTGATCACCAGATTGACACCAAGACCACCCTTGAAGGCTCCAAGCCTTCAGGGGCTGTCAAGGGCACCAAGCCCATGACATTTAGCAGAGAGATGCTCCAAGCATTCTGCTGCTAAGTCATAGAGCTTGAATGGTAGAAATTTACAAAGGATGGAAAGTGCTGAGTTGTGACTTGCCTCACAGTCAGGCTGCCATACACAATACACAGCCTCAGGATTTATACTTCATAGTAATTAATTGGAGACTGCCACAAGAAATACTTGCCAACAGATAATACAATAGCTGTTAGTCTTTGCATGGATATGGTAAAAAAAATTCCAGTGGGAATATGCATGCAGTCATCCACTAGATATGGAACCCTTGCTTCACAATCTGGGTGGCCACAGACAAGAATAGTGGAGGGATCAGTCGAGTTAGGTGGCATTAGATGTATCAATACTGGTGGTGCAGGAAATTCTGCATAAATGGGGGTCGAGGGGGATAAGGTGGCAGGTGTATACTCTTCATGGGACAACAATCCTGAAACCCCCAGACTCAATGGGCATAATGCCACCATGGGGTATGTGGGTTGCAAGCTGGATGACCCTATGAAGGCTGCAATATGATCAGTCCAGAAATGTCACTCAAGAACATACTCACATTCAGCATGAGATGTTAGTAACAAAGCACTTGCTAGCATTTCAGCATCTGCTGCATTCAATTCAAGGTTTCCAATCAGAGTAATTAGGGTGCCTGTGCCAAAATGTGTTAGTCATCAGGAGTTAGTCAGAAAAACACATACTAAGGTTGCTAGAGCTTATATCCAATCCAGTACTGGGCAAAGGTATTTTGGACATGGTGTGTCAGGGAATGGGAAGGAAAGGCTGGAGAGTGAATGCACAGAGAATTGTAAGTATGATGGCAGATCTCCAGTAGAAGGCTATCTTGTTCCCTTTCCCCATTTGTTGGAAGCCATTGTGGGAAAACCAGAAGTTTGACCATGATGAATCGTGCACTTAGATGTGATGTAACTCTTCATAATACTCTGGAGGAAGTAGCAGAAATTGATGGATAAGATACACTGAAAAGATAACCACATACCTGCATTAGAACTTTGCATGGTTGATCATGAGGCAACCTGGAGAAAATTTGTAGTAGAAAGGAGAACTTGAGATCGACAATCAGAATCACTGCCCTTGAAGGTAACATTGCACCAAGTCTCTGATACCATAGAGGAACATGCCATGTATTTGATTGGCAGGGATAGATATGAATGGATGTGTTGCTAACTCGAATCTTTGGGACTAAAAGGCAAGGGGAGAACTGCACTATTGTCTATGCAATTGATCACTGAATCCATACCAAGGGTAGATGAGTGGGGAGACAAGGGCATCACTATAGAAGGCATATACTGGCCAGGCAGAATGATGGAGTGCAGCCAGAGGTGGGGAGAACAATGGACCTAGTACATGTAGTATGTGCTGGTAAATGGGTCAGTAGACTGCGAAGCATAATGACACATAACTTAAGTCAAAAGCACTGACCTGCAAAACCTTCATTAACATCACTGAAAGATGAGGGTCAGTCTTGACTGTTGTTGTGCAATTGATCATCAGATCCACTGGACACCAAGACTGCCCTTGAAGGCTCCAAGCCTTCAAGGCTGTCAAGGGCACCAAGCCCCTGACATATGGTAGAGGAACACACTGAGCATTCCCCCAATACCATGTGGACAGTGTACAGAAGATGAGAGTGTCACTAAGTACTAGCTGTGGGTGGTGTGAATGTTTGTTTTGGCTGTGATGATGTGACAATTGTGCAATTGTGAAATGACATGTTAAAATTCTGTCATTCATTGAAACTTTAGTCACATCAGTAAAAGTGGCCAAATCTATTAACAAAGTAGCAATGGCACACTAGTACTTGTAACTAGGACTTGCTATAAGTAGCTTATCAACATGTTATTACTGTAATGCATGAACATGTCTCCTGTGAATATTACAATAGGCAGTCTGGAACATTGAGGAATGAAATATGGAACACAAAACTTATATCTAATCACCTGATTATTTGACAATTTAGAGCCTAGACTCAGTGTCTTCCTTGAGCATGCTGTAAGTCAGGCATTGCATTCATTTGTGGTGCAGGTCACATGCACAGTAGTACCCATAATATTTCTCACTACTACTAGTAGGTGCTACCTACTACTTCAAGTTGCTGACACCCCTCCATATAAACCAATTCAGTGCAAGGTAAGTTTCCCTCTGTCTTTTCCATCTTACTTTTCCAGATGGCCTGGTCGCTCTTTCCATGAACATTTGGAGTGTTTGTCTGTCAGGTCTTGGGGGTTTGGTGCCTGCAAGTTCTTGATAGGCTTGGGGCCTATCAAGAGTTATCCTCACAGTTTCTGGGGCATTTCTTCATCAAAATTCAGGTGTTAACATAGTCTATATGTGTGCAGAGTCAATACACCAATCATTGTCACCTCTTTGTCAAGAAGATGTTTTTTGAAAGTAAGTTTTTATTCTCTTTCATTCATACTTTTCTTTCAAACATCTGGTCAACTTATGCTGTACTCAGAGCCAAACATTTGGAGTGTTTGTCTGCCAAGTGCTCTGGGGTTTGGTGCCTCACAAGTTCTCAATGGGCTTTGGGCCTATTGAGGGCAACATTCTCGTTTCATTTCAGTTACACTGGCCTTAATGCTGCATGATTCATTTTTTTCTCCCCTTGTTGTCATCTCTGTCAATTTAAGTAAGTACTGACTGACTAGCATACAGGGTGGATGTTAAGACAAAGGCAGAGATCTAGTGATGGTGTTTGGAAAGGCATCCATATACCTGAATACACAGAGCCTCCAGGATGAATGTAGCTAGCATTCACCCTTATGAATTATCATTGTGCAACCACCCTGGCAACAGTGCATTCTTGCTGTCCCTAACTCAGCTTAAATTGATTATCATTATTTTCAGGGAGATGGGGTGCATTCAATGCACACATCCTAGCAAAGTGTGATGACCACTGGATCACATTGCCAAATGCTGTCTATGTTCCCCAACCCTTCATCTTTGATGGAGAAACAATCACACCCCTGCATGATGGACAGTTCAGCCATATAGACTGTTTTCAATGGCCACAGTTGTTCACAGAATGCTACACATGGAGTCTGTGTGTCCCCCAGAAAGTGGCCTATGGAGATGACCCAATGTGGAAGTGGCTGTGGTGGAACATTACCCAGTCAGTGGAGGATTTTGTGCTGGAAAGAGGGTCTGCCTTCAAAGTTGGCAGGATTCATGCTGACAAGTGGAACTCAATGGAGACCATTTATAATCAACTAGACAAACATTTGCAAGATTGGCTAAAGAAGCACCCCCACTATGAAGGTCCTCTGACACCCAATTCATGGCTGGGGTCATGTCAGCGATGTCTCCTGCATCTGAAGGTATGATTTTTTTCTGGTTCAGATTTTGTTAATTAAAATTTTCTCTAGCAACTCCCATTTACATTTCGAGACACAGTCATATTGGTCACTTTTTGTCAACACCTCCTCCTAGACATCTTTGGCATGCTAGAATATCTCGACACAGACCTTGACCCTGCTATGGGCACTTTTGTTGATTCATTTGACTGCTGGATCAGGGCATTCACAACAGACCCCAACATTTGCCAGCACCTTTTTGAAATATGTGTGCCTGTCTGGATGGTCTGGAAACCTGATTGTGTACCCCTGGACATGCAAATGTTGAAGACCATCAAGATTATGTGCCCTCATGACATAGTCATGGATCCTGAGGTTTTTGAGGTCAGGCAGATGCTGAAATGGCACAGCACCTGGTACCACCCTGGTGAATCATGCCACAGGCACACTTGACAAGGCCTGGTGATTGGGCTTGAGCAATTTGTGGCTCCCTGGCTGGAACCAATGCACACCAGCAGTGGTGTGGCCTCGACTCCCACAAGCATGGGTCCCATGGCTTCCAATGCTGCAAGTTCCAGTGGTGCAAGTTCAAGTATGGGAGCTGCTAGGATGGGCAGGGCTCAACAACATAATCAGCCATGTATATATCCTATTCATTTTGTCTCAGTGTGTTTAACATTTTGCTCAGATCCCCCTGCAGGCTCGAGAGGAGCCAAGCCATCAGTCATTCTGAATCCCAAACTGTGGGAAGACCTCAGTGATCCAGCTATTCCCCCTGCTATTTCTGCATGGCACACTGCCCTGAAGGACATGAATAAGGATGCAAAAAGGGTTAGTCCCAATGTGCCCAAGGTAGCTTACTTCTTTCCCAGCCCAAGTCTGTTTGCAAGGGGTGAGTCCTCTGATCGCCAGCAGAGGTACCTGAGGAATTGGCTAGTCTCTTGAGCAGGTTGGATCACTCATCTTTCTGCCTTGGATGCATCTCCTGTTATCCCTCAGTCCTGGTGGGATTTCCTGAACACAATTCCCAAGCAGATTTCATCCACATTTTCCAGTGGCCAACTATGTGAATCTGCCACCCTCTTCAGTCCTGAGCTTGTCAGCCTCCAACATGACATACCTAGCCATGTACAATTCCAGGATATTTCAATTTCCCTTGCAGACCTCACTACCATTGATCAGATGATGAAAAGCAAGACTTTATGGGATTTATATGAACACAACTTCCAGTTCAAGTTGGTTGCTCTTGGCTGTGATGATGCCTAGCTTGTGGTTGAATCAGGATTCAGAGTGGCTCAATCATGTCCAGCAGGTATGTACAATTTTACCTCACCAGGAATGTGCTGTTTCTGAACTCTACACAGATTTTCCCTGGTGATTCGGAACTCACCATGTGTGCTGAGCCTTTCCCTCAGCAAAATCAAGGCCTTGGCTCATCTGACTTTCAATCAAAATGGGAGTACATAGAGAAGCTCTGAGCATTACTTGCTGTATGGCCAGGATGCCCCTTGGACTTGGCAGAGCCAATGATGCCATTAGCATCATCATTGCATGTCTGGGCAATGGAAAAGAAGTTGGCTATATTTTATGTACAGTCATTCTTTGATACTTTTGGTCATCCACCCCTTCTTCCCCACCTTATTCCAACTGCACCACCTGGTTCAAATAGTTGGCAACCTCCTTCATCATTCCCCAATACCATTTTTACTCTGTACATTTCCTGAATGATATTTGTAGCATGCCACAATTGCAATCTCATTTTGTTTGTCACACACTTGCTCCATCTCTTTCCCCATCACCCTCACTAGTCATGTGTGAAGGTCAATTCACTTTTCTATGCTGGAGGCTAACTATTGGAGACATGCTGGTGGCATCTTGGGGTTGCCTTCCAGCAACCAGGATTCAGTGTCCTGGTCACAGTCCTGTAACTTGGTGTTGCAGGATCATCATCTACCACTAACTCACCTAGACAGTTTATGTATCTGACCAAATTTCATAGGTGTCTTTTTGTCGACTGAAACAGCTTACTAGGCATGGTCCCTCTGTACGAGTTACTGCCCTGACAAACCAGATTCCTGACTTGCTCCATGTGGATGATCTCATGGTCCTTGTTGACCATCAGACTGCTGAACCTTCATGCCATGTTCCCAGAACTGTGGGGCTTTACCTTCTTGTTGAGTGCTTGCTCACCTTACCTGGCCATTGCACTTTCACACAACACCCCAGTGATTCCTCTGACCCACACATCTGATGCTGCTTGCCCATTAGAGTCTTCTGTGGGTAGTGAATGTGGCCTCTCCCATGATGCTGCTTTCACTGCTTAACTGATGGGCTATATATTAGCCAAGACCCACTCTTGTCACTGTCTAGGAATGCCCAAAAAAAAAATGAAGCAGTGGCAGTGGTGGTTGCACACTGTCATCCCTTCCCTCCTTCAGCTGTACCTTGCATATCAATGACTATCCAATGACTTCCAGAATCCAGTTGAATATGAACTGCCAACATGTGGTTGTCATCAGACTCAAAAACTGAGAGTCATTTGCATTGATTTCAATGGCAAGATTTCTGTGTTCTTTATCATTTTCCTCTGCTTAGATGCATTCATGGCAGCTCTGCAATCAGTTGATCTGGCTGTCTGTCCTTGTGCACCTGCAGCCCTCCAACTCCTTTGGATGGGCTACTTCCCCTGTGCCCCACTGGGGCCAACACTTGCTGTTAGCCTGCAGCTTCTCAGCTTTGTCCAACAACTCTTCATGCACATACCTCCAAACACTTCAGCATGGTGTGAGTCTCTTGAGGCATACCTTGCAGTTATGGGTTATGAGGTGGACACAAAGGTATGGAATTGTCATGTTTTGTATCGTTACCCCATTTTTTCCACTTTGTAAAACACACATTACTGCCATAGTGACTGTAGTACAGATGACTCTGCTATGTAGGTAGTATATCTTAATCTGATGCATGACTATTTCATGGTTATAAGTGCATGCATGTGTGACATGTTCTGTTTCTTGGGACTGCTGTAGTGTTATATTGATAGGGTAGGATGTTTGTTGGTATTGTTTGTGGTGATGTTGCTATATTATTAATGCATACTTTGGTTGTTCTTCTCAGTCATGGATCATTGCTGATGATACTTGCAGGAGGGTATACACTGGAGGTTCAGTAATGCATATCACTGGTATTGTATTCTGGAAACATCCCTTGATGAATATGTCCAACAACAACTGCAAGAATCTGCTAGTCCACCATCAAACATCCCCTCTGCAATCCCATTACCAAGTTCCCCAGACAATGATGTCCTCAGTTCAAAGATGAGGCCATCAGAATACCTATGACAGCATTGTCCTCTATGCTTTGGTGGCCAGAGCTTGCAGAGCAATAATAGTGAACATGGGTATGTCACTTGGTGGATATAGTTTTGTCAACTGCTAAAATTTCCTTTGTTCTAGCTTTTCTGATGTTGATGCAATTGTTTGCATTGATGCTTGTTTTACTCAGAAGTGCAGAAATGGGCATCCGGATGGTCCAGTAAACCCTACAGCTACAGTCTTTCTTTCACAAGAAGATATTTGTGCTATGGAGCATGAGGTTAATGAGTTGCAAAAGTCAAAGTCTTCAACCCAAAGGAGAAGTGGACAGGCTTTGAAAAAGAATTATCTTGGTGATGGGGAGGATGAGTTTGAAGAGGGAATGAGGATAACAATGTCAGTGCTGAAGGGTTGTAATGAGTCCTTTACTGCAGCTGATGAGAGGTGCCAGAAAGTGAGTCTTAATCATTTATTCTGACTCCATTGGTCTGATGGCAGTGTAGGCAAGTACCCAGATCTTTTCAGATACTGGTGTCGTGGCCTTACTCTGTTGTCATGACTGTGTCATTTACCTTGCAAATATGACTTCAGCTGGGGAGAGGCAACATTATGCACTTGCCCTCATCAAATCTCTTTTTGGCCATCTCCCAGATAATTTTCATATTGGGCTGTTATATGACATAGGGTGTCAACTGGAACAGAGCTGCAGGAAGTGGGGTTTTCTCAAGTCATTTCTGCCACATATTTCTTTTGCCATCTCAGTATTTCATGCCTTTGGTCATCAATGGGCATGTCAGCTTATCTATCACCCCTGAAAATGTGAAGGATTTGGGCTATCTGATGGAGAGGGATGTGAGCATTTTTGGAGTTCAATCAAAGGGCTGATACCATCTCTTCATGTTTCTGGGGTATGTGTGCAGTATGCCACATCTGTTTCAAGCTAACATATTATTCAGTATCATCAATGCCTCCTTGTTATTGACTTCCAGGTGTGCCACCTGGACATGAAGAGTCTCACTGGTTTGGACCAGTGGCTTTTGCATTGCTGGAATCATTGCCAAGAAAAGAAGGCTGCTGCAAACAGAGGCCTAAGGAGATGTGGAGTTGATATCCCAACTCTTCAAGCTGAATGGGTTGCTCAAGTCTCTGCACAGACAAAGCCAGCTCCTCATAAGCTGCTGATATAAATAATGACTCCTGCTCACCATTAAATTAGGTCACAGCTCTACAGCTGCTGAGAATATGATATTGCAAATCATGGAAACTCAGAAATCATTGGCAAATTATGAGGCCAAGCTAGAAGTGCTGGAGAAAGATCTTCTCCATGGGGTTGCTGACATGACAAGCTTGAATATCCAAATTGCAGAGTGTCATCAAAAGGTTAAGTGTTTTAAAGAAGCTTTGCAGAACCAGAGGGCAACCCTAAGCATAGTTGGGCATTCAAATCTTGCTAGTATCCAAAAGAGTGCTTATCTTCAAGTTAGTGGCAGTGTATTTTCTACATGGTTTCATCTAATTGAGACCATGTTCCATAGCTTTGCATGCATGCATTAGCAATCAAGAAATGTATCAGAGATTGTCTGTGCCAACAAAAGTTTGAGTTGGAAAGACTGGAATGCTCATATCAGAAGACTCTCAGTGGTAAGAGGTCATCATTCATGAATACCCTTGTATTTGACTTGCCTTGAAGAACAAAGACTTCAAAACCACACAGAAGCATCTGTGAAGTGATGAGAACCAGGAATAGCCAAGCTTGCCAGTAGCTACAATAATCTGTGTCTGCAAATTGTAGGCCTCATACACAAGGGAAAAGCTCCTCAGGGGTCAATAGCCCCACTCCTGATCCCAAGGGACTCTTTGTTCAAACTGGATGTGGATGATGATATTTGGCAGGATATTGGCCTTGGGGATGATTCAGATGGGTTACTACCCCCATGGTTAGCTGATGAAAAAGTGCACTCAGGGATCAGATCACTCCTTGAGCTGAGGCATTGTGAAGAAGAGGAAAGGTGCCTGTTGCAGGAAAGAAGAGCTTTGACAGAGTGGTTTTCTGAAGAGTGGGGTTGTGTGCAGAAAACGAGACAGAGTGCTGGTAAGAGACATGTGTCATTGCATTACCATGACTAACACACATCACAGATGTTGATCTTGCATATGAACTTGACTGCAGAGCATTGAGACTAGCAGGTCTGTGCATCTTGTGGAAGAGGCAACTTAGAGGCTATCCTGGAACACCTAATGAGAACTGGGGTGCAAGTGATGAAGAACTGCACAGCATAATGCAGGGTAGTCATGTTATATATATTGATAGTGATAATGAGGAGAGGTTTGATGGATTGGAGTCAGAGGGTGAAGAGGATGAGGATGAAGTGATGGATGATGAGTTGCTATGTGTTGCTGAAGAATTTGCCCTGGCAGATGAATATCACCAACAAAGTGATATGCCATTGGAAGAATTCGGTTGGGGAGAAGAATGGGAGAATAACCTACTGGATATGGATCCACCATCATCTCCAAGTAAAAGAGTTCAATACAGATAAGGGTGATAGAGGCATATTATAATCTATTTGGTGTGTTTAAATAGAATTTTTTTTGAGCATCATGTTTGCAAGACATATGCATGGGTAAAATGTAGAATATCCCACTGGTTGGCAAAGGGGTAGGTGGGATGTCCCAATGTAGCCTTAGAGGTTGTTGTGGGACATCCCACTGCTTGACAGAGATGGGGTGGGATGTCCCAATGTAGCCTTAGAGGTTGTTGTGGGACATCCCACTGCTTGACAGAGATGGGGTGGGATGTCCCAATGTAGCCTTAGGGGCTGTTGTGGGACATCCCACTGCTTGCCAGAAGGGGGGAGGGATGTCCCAATGTAGCCTTAGAGGCTGTTGTGGGACATCCCACTGCTTGCCTAAGGGGAGGGTGGGACATCCCACTGCTTTCCAGAAGGGGGGTGGGATGTCCCAATGTAGCCTTAGAGGGTATTGTGGGACATCCCACTGGGTGACAAAGGGGAGGGTGGGATGCCCCACACCAGTCTCAGAAGGGGGACAGTGGGATGTCCCAACTTAGCCTAAGAGGCTGTTGTGGGATATCCCACTGGCTGCTGGAGAGTGGGGTGGAATGTCAATATAACCAAAGAGGGTGTTCTGGGACATAGCCTTGGCTAGTGTTGCTGTGGCTCAGCTCCAAAGGCTGACCTGCTCAACAACAAGCAGCTTAGTCACTATGACAACTATTACCACATGTAGCCTTGTGTTGCCACATGCCAAATCCACAATAATTATTTTAATACTCAACAATATAGATGTGGTATGGCCCTTGGCTGAGGACAGCTCCCTGAGCCACAGCAACACTACCCCCAGCTGCCAGAGGGGGAAGTGGGATGTCCCAATGTAGCCTTATGATGGAAATGTGACCAGAGCTGGGATTGAAGCAACCTCTTAGGTGATAACCAGTGCTCTAACAGTTGAGCAAATATATATTGTCCAGGTACTAATATCAGTAGCATGGGGGTAAACCAGTGACATGGGAACAAGACTATGTGAAGAGCAATGCACCATTCCCCACTTGCTCAGAGGCTGTTGTGGGACATCCCACTGGTTTCCAGAGGGGGGGAGGGATGTCCCAATGTAGCCTTAGAGGCTGTTGTGGGACATCCCACTGGTTGCCAGAGGGGGGGAGGGATGTCCCAATGTAGCTTTAGAGGCTGTCATGGGACATCCCACTGCTTGCCAGAGGGGGGGAGGGATGTCCCAATGTAGCCTTAGAGCCAATTGTGGGACATCCCACTACTTGCCAGAGGGGGAGAGGGATGTTCCAATGTAGCTTTAGAGGCTGTTGTGGGACATCCCACTGGTTGCCAGAGGGGGGGAGGGATGTCCCAAAGTAGCCTTATGAGGAAAATGTGACCAGTCCTAAGATTGAACCAGTGACCTCCTAGGTGTTTACCAGGTGCTGCAACCAGTGAGCCATATGGTCTGGGTACTAGTGTCAGTAGCTTGGGGGCTTATACTAGCACTGTGGGAACATATCTCCATGAAGTTAATGCACAGAATGCACCATCTCCAATGTGGTCCCTTCATCTGGCCACTTTTGGAGTGTAAAAACAGTGCACACCCCCTAGGGTCATGCAAATGGTCTGATTGCCTTTTGACCTTGTGTCATGTGATGGATCAGGATTTACTACTGTGTTTCCAGGAGGCCTTACTATCAGCCACCTTGTGTCCATGTAACTCACATGATCTGGACTTACCAAGGATGCTGCATGACCCATTGTACTGAGCATGCATGGGTTCCAGCTGCAGCTCATAACCTGATGAAAATGTGACCAGAGCTGGCATTGAGCCAGGACCCTCTCAGTGTCAAGCAGCTGCTCTGACCATGGAGCTACCTTGCATTGGATTTTCTATGGTGCTTGTAGGATTAGTGCAGATTACTACTTCAACACCTTAGAGGCTGTGTTGGGACATCCCTCTGGTTGCCAGAGGGGAGGGTGGGATGTCCCAATGTAGCCTTAGAGGCTGTTGTGGGACATCCCACTGGTTGGCAAAGGGGAGGGTGGGATGTCCCAATGTAGGCTTAGAGGCTGTTGGGGGACATCCCACTGGTTGGCAGTGGGGAGGGTGGGATGTCCCAATGTAGGCTTGGAGGCTGTTGGGGGACATCCCACTGGTTGGCAGTGGGGAGGGTGGGATGTCCCAATGTAGGCTTGGAGGCTGTTGTGGGACATCCCACTGCTTGGCAAAGGGGAGGGTGGGACATCCCAACAATAGCCTTAGAGGCTGTTGTGGGACATCCCACTGCTTGGCAGAGGGAACAGTGGGATGTCCCAATGTAGCCTTAGAGGCTGTTGTTGGACATCCCACTGGTTGGCAAAGGGGAGGGTGGGATGTCCCAAGGCAGCCTTGGAGGCTGCTGTGGGACATCCCAAGTCCCCTTATGAAAGTCAGTGGGATGTCCCATCCCAGCCTCAGAGGGCTATGATGGCACATCCTCCTAAGTTACCTTTGCAGACCAGCACAATGCCCCATGATGACCTCAGAGGCTCATCTGGAACATTCTGCCCTCTGCAGATGGTGTTGCAAAGGTGACCAACTGCATGTTCTATGTGGGGGACTTTGAGATATTGGCTTGTCACACAAGTGTTCAAAAACCATTCACTTCTTCCTTCATACAGTACAAATTGCATGAGGTATAGACACAAATTGATTGAATTTATTATTGCAATTTTCAAGGCAAATGTGGAGGCCCAGGTGGGTCATCTCCCTTGCAACTAGTAAGATGTCCCAATACAGCAGAATCATATTGCAAAGATGTACATGAAAAGTACTATTGTATACTACTATGCATGGTGGGATGGGAGGGGGTGTATAGGTCAAAGGATACTTTGTGGATTAAATCTGTCAGAGGAGCAAGGGGGCTAGGATTTCTGCAGCTATTTCAATGCTAATACATCTGCAAAACTACCTGAGGGAGTGAGCAGGTTATACCTGCCTCTGTTTGGAAGTGACTTGTCATAAGACTCACTAAGACACTTGTTGGCCAATGAGAGAGCTTGCTCAAGTGCAGAAGAGCTGTTAACAGCTGTGTCATGTAGCTGTTTCCCAGATGTATAAACTGCACTTTCAGGAGTAGGGACCCCAGTCACCCAAGGCAGTCTTGGGACATCCCAAATAATTGCAGTTGAATGGATGGCTATGTGGGAAATCCCATCTGTCCCAGGGCTAAAAATCTGCAGAGCCCTGGGACATGACCAGATGTCCCTGGGCAGACCTTGGTCTGGGAGGCTATTAGGCTGGATGGTTTGGAGAAACTATTCAGCCTAAATGCTTATGAAAAATGGTTACCTGAAGTGTTGACTTTGATAGTTTCCTGCTGGAGGGAAATCCTTCCAACACTGAGGAGACAGGAAGAGGACACAGCTTATGGGGATTTGCAAGGTAGCAAAAAACTAATGTACAGGGTACCATACTGTCTACCTATATACCCTCCAGAAGAGGGCATAAGAAGAGGGTGTACAATAAACCTGTAGATAGTAATCCACTGCAGACACTAAGCAATGAAATAGAAATGACTCAGTAAGAGTCAGTGAGGCCCAAACTGGCTATGCAATCAAAGTGCAACAAGGGGGCAGTGGAATGATGGACAGGTGAAACACAGCAAATATACTGTATAAGGATAAACAAGAAACAGGACAAAGGAAATGTACAAGATGACAATCAGGGTGCAGCACCATGCAGCCCTTCCAGTCCATCAGCCAACCTTCCCCTATATGGATGCTCTGAGATCCAGATGGCCCCCCAGACCATGACTGAGACTAATGTGATGACCTGGAACATGAGGTATGTGATGACATAGGTGTTGTGTGACCAGAAATGGAAAGGGGCATGCTCAAGTGGTAACATCACCCCCCTCTGAAGCTCCTCAGACCCACTGATTAGGGATGACATAATGAGAATAGATGGAACAGTGAAATAGTTTAGTGATCCCAATGGAGTCTATCATCTTGTGGCATGGGATAAACATTGTGCCCTTAGTCAGGCCCTGATTGACAACCATCAGTATTAAGTCATACTTCTTGGGCTCCAACATGGGAAGATCTGTGATGAGATCCATTGAGATCTGCTGGAAGGGGAAAGGGGAGTTGGGGATGTCATGTGGGGTGACAGGTGGAATGGGCAGGTGAGTGATCACTTTCATCATCCAGCACACCAGTGTGTGACATGTCTTCTGAGAAGCATGTGACTAGAGGAAGGCTGAAGGGAGAATTCCCTAGGATTGTTTCAAGGGGTGCTGTGTGGAAGGAGAAGTCGAGGGTTACCATAGAAGGGGTGGGGAGTACATGTGAGGTTAGCAAGATGGGTATATGAAATTCCAAGAAGCTGAAATGTGGCAAGAAGAGTGTATTTGAGGTGAGAGGGATATGGAAAAAGGTGTGCAGGGTTGGGAGGTGCAAGAGACATGAGGATCACTGGGGATGCTGTAGACACTGTAAACTCAAAATACACACTTAGACTCTGAGAACTTCTCAAACTCACAGAACACACACAGATAGCAACTCTAAAGGTGGGTGGTTTATTTCTGACATTATGGTGGAATTATATAGTACAAGGGAAGTAGGTATGAGTTGGAGTAAGGCAGGGTGGAAAAACAAAAAAAACCTGGAAAATAAAGGAAAGGATGACAGACATCAGTGAATTGCAGATGCACATGAAATAGTCCAGCAGGTAGTAGATAAGAGTAAAAACAGGTCAACAGTAAGGGGTATCTTCCAACAGAACTAGGGTATGTGTACAAGTGAGAGGTGGAGCTGATGGGAGGGGGAAGTGCAGGAGGGCAGAGCATACTGGCATGAAGTCCAGCTTGTGGAATTTAGGGTGATAGGGATAACTGGAGTTTTTTAGAGGCCTCTGGCACAAATGAGTGATGACATGGTTAGGCAGTGTGGCTACTGAACTCCAGATGACTCTGGGTGAATGCAGAATTTCCAGATCAGCTTTATTGATGACTGGGCAACATGCTGAAGGTTGGGACACACTC